TAATATAACGGGGATCATGCTAACAGGACACCCCCTGTCAGGACCCATAGGGTCTGACAGGCTGCGTGGCTATACTGACTGGGTTAGTTGGCACGTGGGCAGAGCGCGTACTTAATACGGTGTAAGAGCATGATTGCCTGACGGCAATCATAGTGGCCTTTTTGGTCCGCGTTCCGATTACTGAGCTCTTACAGTGATCTTAACAGATATGGTCTGGTCTCTTATTGAAAATTCATAACACATGTGCTGAAATATTGAGTGAGCTATCGCCTTAGTGGTCATTTCAGGTGTTAGTATTATATGATTGTAGAAAAGATGTTTATCATTCAAGTATTAGCTCTGAATTATCCTTGTAAACGGGGTTATTTGCAATTTTATACAATTGTTTGCATGACATAGGATGCCATCACTATCATGTTATTAATAAATCTATTGAGCGGCAAGTCTAGTATGTAGAGTCTATTTGTGCTAGAATATTGAGTAGGCCCGCATAACTAATTTTTGTCGAAGGTTCTGACCCAGAACCCAACCAAGCCCAGAGCTGGATCGAACTGCATGAACCCGGTCTCAACCTGGTCGGTCCCATTATTAGGTCCATAAGCAACCCCAATTTAGACAAAATTCGACATAGTTTTGCATAAAAAAATTAGTAAGTTACTAGACTAGAGCTACTAGCTTTCGTTTTCTAGCTAAAGTCACAGAAAGGGTCACAGAAAGAGGTTGTTCAGATTCACGGCGTATCTAGACTAGATGCCTAATGTGTTAGGCATAGATTTGGTAATCAGTAACTTATTGCCCCTACTATTTAGTATAGATTAGGAGAAGGGTTCTCTCTTGTGTGGGGTTCTTCTTTTATCAGGAGAAAACCAGGCTTAAACAACCTCGTCGGCCTTGATATAAATACAAGGGATTTCTATAGACATCAAATTCAACTGTGTCGGTGAAGAGGGTGATATAGTGTTTATATAAAAATATATATCTTCCAGTTCGAACACCACACTACCCACCTTTAGGGAAATACCTTACCGTAAAATATTTAAAGCTATTAGTAATAAGCGGGACTATAATAACTAAACTAGGACTCAATGGTTATTGATGTACCAACCAAAAAAGCTGTACAGTAGCTTGATGCACACACTAAGAACGGAGCTGAAAAGGAGTCAACACTCAAACTCACAGATAGTCACCAACATACCCGCAATCATCACGCAGGGCCTGAACAAACTCATGAATATAGCATAGATGCCAGCCTATAAAGGTTCCATGTGGCATACCAGCTAAGCCCCATCAAAACAGAGTAGATAATCATACCGTGTGACGAATAAGGAGCTTTTGGTTGATATAAGTGAATATAAAACCACCAGACCGAGTCTTCGCTCCCGGAGCGAGATATGAAGGAATGCGTGAGGGTCATGCCTTTAGACAAAGCGCGGCCTTGATATATGCCCTCTCCCCCCCCGACAGAGAGAAGACCTTCCAATCGCGACGGACCTGCAGCTTCCCCAGAGTACAGGCTTGATTTGAACGCCCAGTGAGAACGCTTTTTGACACATAAAGGACAAACTGGGATAGCTGAATGGATGCAGTCACCGAGGATGAAGCAGTATTAACAAGTCCAGTACGCTGAGGAGCAGCAATCAGGACGAGAAATAGAAATATGCTGCTGGGAAAGTAGAACATGCTTTTTCTGAGAGGAAAAAGAGCATGTACGCTATACTATCTATAGTGATGGATCTTCCCCCATACCCTAATCCTGGACATCTAACTGAGCCAAATGTATGCACCACAAGAGTGATTTGCCAATTTTGAGTATATCATCCCGCGTAAGAGACGTGAGATTGTGAGACCACTAAGCTTAGCAGCTGAGATTACATCCGTACCAGTCTAGAAGACAGAGAAGAGGGAAAGAGACAGAAATAAAGAGAAGGTGATGAATTTTCCCACTCCACCGTATGCTACCATCTCACGCCACCCATGAAAAGACACAAAAATCCAATTTTCTAGACCCGTGTGAAGAAATACAGATATGCGGTTCTCTTCATTGCTTCAATGTCTTCAGACTTGACCACTTTTTCGTCATTGAAGAGGACCCATGATAGGTGGCTTTGACCGGGCAAAGTTTTCCGAACGAAAGCAACATAATGTCTAGTAATAGTTAGTAAGCCCCGAACCTGGAGATCGGGATGGATCGCTCACCCTGCATGGACAGAAGTGCCTTTGTGGCATACAATCGACCGTAATTCATACCGAGCAGGTAAGCTGTCGAGCCCAACCTGGCTATCATGAGTTTGCGTATCATCATCTGCACCCATACTTTCCTCTTCCACTGGCTCGTCAGGGTGACTGAAAACCCAATCAAGGGCCCGATTGACATCGCCATCAGTTGCAGCGAGCGCCTGTCGAGCGCGAGGCTCCTCGATGCCCATATCACCTAGTTGAGCAATTTTTGTCACATCCTGTTCAGTACCATCAGATACAACGTTCTTTTGACCCAGGGCCACCGGCTCATCGATGTCTGGATCTTCCATGTGGGCAAACAGCCAATTCATGGCAGCTTCTGGATCAGAGTTTCCAGTAGCATGGAGAGCTTTCTGACACCTGACAGCAGGGAAGCCCATGCTTAAGAGCTGATCAAGAAGCTGTGGATTCGGTTCAAATGCCGTAGGCTCATCTACTTCTGGAAGTAGCTCCTCACTAGCGTCATGCTCAGCAGCCATGTAGGAGCTGAAGTCCAGTGGCTTGTCATCAACCAGGACAGGGATGTCGAGCTTCGTAGGGACCCAGTTGACCAGCTCAAATCGACGAGCGTTGATTGCTAATTCGTGAGGCAGCGTCTTGAATGCCGACCGTTTCATGAAGCCACTCTGGCTAGCACATGCAGGACATGTCAGCTCAACAACCTCACCTGAAGTAAAAATATCCAGACACTCCGACAGAAAAATCGACTCATACTGACTTCCCGTCTCGTCCGAAGTAGTGACGCGACGTGCGGGAACTGCAACAGAGATGTTGTCTTGCTCATCCACCCGATAGCGGACTTTCTTACAGTGTAAACACTGAAGACGCTGCTCAACTAGGAAACGGAATAGCTGTACTGGATTATCCCGCCTACCAGTGTGCTTTGACAGGCTGATTGCTTTGAAAAGGTGGAGAAGGAATTCAAATGCATCCTGCTGTCTCATGGTTGCAAATTCCTCGTGGCCCTGCCCTATGAGATACTTGAACATGGTCGGTGACAAACCCTTCTGATGGACAGCTTCTGCATCCGGAGACGAAAGAAGGCGAGAATCGGGTCGAGAGTACCGTCCTGAGAGGATCCCATCCGCGAGCTTTCGTAACTGAGTCTCCAGGTCTTGCGCTGGTGCTTGACAAAGCGGTGGTTCTTCGGACGGGTGATAGTACCGCTCACAAAATCCGGCCACCGAGAAGATGCATTGCATGATACTGGACAGATAACAGCTGTTTCCAAGATTGGCCAGACCTGTAAAGCCAGGACCAAACACAGGGGTCAGCTCCCGGCCATCCTCAGTCGTCATTGAGAATTCCCATTGTAGGTTGTGTTCGACTTGCATTTCCATCAGGCTCTTCTCAGTTTTTTCACGTCCGGCCAGGTAAATTCCCCAATGTGCAAGATGCGTGGCCAGCTCTGGGTCCACCCTTTCCTCATTGCACTTATAGCAGTAGACATCAGCCGAGCCCTCTGCTGTGATGGAGCCTAGCTTGACGGCAACCGCATGTGATGTTGAGTCGGCATGAGTAAGACCATGTGAATTGCCGCGACTGCCACCGAACTGACTTCGTCCACAAGCTGTATTCCCGCATTCCAAACACAGCCAGAGGTTCTCTGACAAATCACACTCCGTACAATGGCTCGAATCTACTCTATAATTAGCGCCACAGTCAAAGTAATGGTGTGAATTGAAAATACCTTTGGATGCGGCTTGCTCGGACTCTTGTTGAACTAAGCAGAGGGTATGCTCGCAAGGAACAAATTCTTGCTCCCAGGCCTTTACTTCTTCTCTCTTGGAAAAGGCCATTGCGGTCATAATACCTTCAATTACCACAGATAGATTGCCAATAGTCTGATCGACGTTGTGCTGAGAGCATTCGTAGCAAACCACCGAGGTAGCAATGTCATACCTATCTTCTTCTGTCTCGGCAGCGATGGTAAGCTTGGAAATTTTCGGCGGAGGCTCGTCACGCTGTTTCTACGGTATTAGTATCATTGATCTCGAGCTGGAAATGTGATTGAGGTCATACCTGGACCTTTTTGGGAGTTCTTCGGATATTTAGAGCTAGGGAGTGACCAAATCGTTGGGAATGGAGTAGAGCATGATTCCTTTCGCCAGAACATCCACCATTAAAACAATTTAGACAGACGTTGAGGCCGCATTCGTCATCCTTGTGAGAGTCAGACCAACTGTGTGGTAGGCAGAACAGGAAACAAAACCACATACGATAGAATCAAAGCACTGAGTGCAGTCCTCTCGGTATACAGCCTGAGAAGGTCCGGGTGGAATCAAATCTGCAGCGCAAAATAATCAGTCAGTTCATTGTGGCCAGATGAATATACAGGTCGTATTGTCACAAACCTGCGGCACTGGCATGGACACAAGAGGCCATATTCAGAGGACGAATCATGAAATCAGAAAGAGAAGAAGAAGTGAGGCTCTCTGTAGCTAGGACTCCGAAAGCTCCTGTCAGGAATTGAGTAGGCAGAGATGGCAAGAGGAATCTCCGATGCAGCAGATCAAGGCAGAGCTTGGATGCGTGGGGTAAAGCTGGGCCCTAGGCCTGAGGCAACGAGGGTCATGTGGTGGGGTTCAGCCACTTAACGCGTTATTTTCCTCACCACGCGTCGTGCACCCAAGCCAACCTCAACTCGCTTTAAAAGTCTACACGTCCTTTCTTCCATATTTCTTTGCCTTCAATTCTCTTATAGCTTGTTGGATTCTGTCCGTTTCGAATCGTTTCTTATCTTCATCGCAAGCCATAACATCATGGCTTCTGATGCAGCATCCCAAGTCACCGTTGGGGCTCTCAGGTTTGAATTCCAACAAGCTGTCCACTAAAATACATTCTAATAATCATCATCACAGTGCCATCTTCGATGAGACCAAACCCCAGGTCCGAGAACCGATCGTTCAGTGTGTCCAAATCAAGGCGTTGCCACCTCAGCCAAACCATCCAGACCGATACCGGGCTGTTTTCAGCGACATTGCGAATTATGTCCAAACAATGCTTGCCACCCGTATGTTGAATACGATCATTCTCTTAACCTTAGACATATGGGGTAGCTGACCGACCGAAAAGAAGCGAACCACGTGGTGACAGATGGTTCCCTCAAGAAGGGTTCCTTTGTACGACTGAAGTCATTCCAATCAAACTCTGTCAAGGGCAAGAAGTGAGTCGATTTGAAAAGTGTTGCTGGATCATACTGATCAATGGTAGAATCCTCATCATCTTGGACCTTGAAGTTCTGAAGGAACTGGGCGAGGCTGATAAGATTGGTGAACCCAAGCCACTTGAAGTGAAAGGCGAGGAAGAGGAGGCTAACCAACCCACAACAATTTCGAGCAACGGATTTTACGGCTCCAAGATGGAGGGTGCGCAGGCTCAACCGGCCAGCCGGGCCCAACCCATGCGACCCTCTGCGGCTGCCACTGCCCATGCCACAATCTACCCCATCGAAGCTATCTCTCCGTATTCCAACAAATGGACAATGAAAGCGCGATGCACCAGCAAGTCCAATATCAAGACATGGCACAACAAGAATGGCGAGGGCAAATTGTTTAGTGTCAATCTATTGGACGACAGCGGTGAAATCCGTGCCACTGGTTTTAACGATCAGTGTGATGCCCTTTATGAACTCTTCCAGGAGGGAAGTGTTTATTACATCTCAAGCCCTTGTCGTGTCCAAATTGCCAAGAAGCAATTCACCAATCTCAACAACGACTATGAGCTTACATTTGAGAGAGATACCCTCGTCGAGAAAGTAAGCACACTGCTCACTGTTTATTATGCCTTCTCCCCTTACCTTCTTGCTTACAGCGTGGCTAACTCTCACGCCCTACAACAGGCAGAAGAACAAAACGATGTACCCCAAATTCGATTCAACTTCACCACTGTTGCTGATCTGCAGACTGTTGAAAAAGACACGACTACCGATGTCATTGGCGTATTGAAAGATGTCGGTGAAACATCTCAGATTGTGTCAAAGAGCACTGGCAAGCCATACGACAAGCGCGAACTTACGCTGGTAGATAACACTGGATTTTCTGTCCGCTTGACAATCTGGGGCGCAACAGCGAAAAACTTTGGTGTCGCGCCCGAGTCGGTTGTTGCGTTCAAGGGAGTTAAGGTTTCAGACTTTGGTGGAAGGAGCCTGAGTCTTTTGAGCTCGGGCTCAATGACTGTTGACCCTGATATTGGCGAGGCTCATCGGCTTAGAGGCTGGTATGACGCTCAAGGCAGGTCGGAAAATTTCACTTCCCATGCATCATTGTCCAATGCTACAAATTCATCCACGAAGACCGACAAGTTCAAAACTGTTGCACAGGTTCGGGAGGAAGGGCTGGGCATGTCTGAGCAGCCGGATTACTTCTCCTTGAAAGCCACTGTGATCTACATTAAGCAGGACTCTACCTGGTGCTACCCTGCCTGTCTCTCTGAAAACTGCAACAAGAAGGTAACAGAGCTTGACCCCGGCCAGTGGCGCTGTGAAATGTGCGACAAAACCCACCCCAAGCCCGAGTATCGCTTCATCATGCCTATTAGTGTCAGCGATCACACCGGCCAGCTTTGGCTCAGTTGCTTCGATGACACCGGAAGAAATATTATGGGAATTTCGGCCGATGAATTGATGCAACTTCGTGAAGATGACCCTATCGCCTACGGTGAAGTTTTCCAAAATGCCAATTGTCAGACATGGAGCTTCAGGTGCCGAGCAAAGATTGACAACTTTGGTGAACAGCAACGGTAAGAAAAGCCATGCAAATTTGGAGTTGCCCGAACCTTGTGCTAATTATGCCTCTAGTGTGCGATACCAGGTCTCCTCTTCTCAGCCAATCAATTACTCCGAAGAAGCCTCTCGCCTTGCTGACATCATCAACTCCTACAGCATTGAGTAAGTGAAGATGAAGAAAGTCAGGGGCATTACCCGATATCCGAATATCTTCATCTGATGCCAGTATGCATACACTAAGAATTTGATTTGTTTGAATGTATTTCTTTTCTCCTATGCTGCTTTGGTTTAAAATGGTGCGACTGGTAGTGTATGCTTCATTCTTCTTCTCTTCTGCTCTCCCATCCAATATTCCATGCCAGATAGAAATACTGTAGAGGCGGTGATAAACACTTGTATTCATTAGGAAGGCGGTACAAATTCCTATTACCTATGCATTGTCTAGAAGGCGGAGTATCATGGCAATAGTCATAGTTTTTTTTTTTTTTTTTCTCCTTCCCGCCTGCCGTTCAGAAACGGAGAATTCAGGTTTGCGTTTGAATTGCCCTTTCTCTGTTATTATTCTTCAACAGTTCCCACATCCCACAATCAGTCATGGGTAAACGTCACCATGACTCAACGGAGCAGCGACCGAAGAAGAAGTCCAAGTCTGAGAAGCCCGCAAAAGCTCCCAAAGACAACGAAAATGGAGACGAGAGGTCAACACAGAAAACATCTTACTCTGAAGCCCCTGCTCTCTCCAAGCTTCCTCAATCGGAAATTGACACCTACATGAATGAAAAGATTATCAAAATCACTGATCCTCTAGTCGATGCGCCCAAGTTCCGTCCACTCCTCTCGTTTGACTACTTGCCAGAATGTGATACTGCTCTGTACTCTCAACTGAAGGCATTCCCCGCACCAACGCCGATTCAGTCTACCACCTGGCCACTTTTGTTCGCTGGTCGTGATGTGATTGGCATTGCAGAGACTGGAAGTGGCAAAACATTGGGTTTTGGCTTGCCATGTCTCAAGAAATTGATCGACTCCAAGCCAAGCAAGAAACCCTGCCACCCGAGGGCGGTGATCATCTCACCAACTCGAGAGCTTGCCATGCAGATCTATGACCAGCTCATTAAGTACGCCAGCTCCGAGAAGACCACAGTGACATGTATCTATGGAGGTGTAGGCAAGGATGAACAGCGTTACGCCCTTCAGAAGGCTGCCATCGTCGTTGCCACGCCGGGTCGTTTAAAGGATCTGCAAAACGATGGCTCTGTGAATCTTAGCAAGGTTAATTACCTCGTCTTGGACGAGGCAGATCGCATGCTTGACAAGGGGTTCGAACAGGACATCAAGGATATTATCCAGCCAATGCCTGTCTCTAGAAGACAGACAGTCATGTTCACAGCAACATGGCCTCGGTCAATTCAAAACCTTGCAGCAACATTCATGAACGACCCTGTGACTGTTACCATTGGAGGAGACCCATCTGCGGATCCTCGCGCCAACACGAGAATCAAGCAAGTTGTTGAGGTTGTTGATCCCCGAGACAAGGAAGGCCGACTTATCCAGCTACTCAGTCGGTCTCAAAAGGGTCAATCGCCGGAGAAGGTCTTGGTGTTCTGTCTCTACAAGAAGGAGGCTATGCGAGTGGAGAACCTTATCAGAAACAAAGGATTCAAGGTTGCTGGTATCCATGGTGATTTGAATCAATCTGACAGATTCCGCAACCTTGACTCTTTCAAGAAGGGCACTGCCACCGTCCTTGTGGCAACCGATGTGGCGGCACGTGGTCTTGATATTCCAGCCGTGATGCTGGTCATCAATGTCACCTTCCCTCTGACTGTTGAGGACTACGTGCACAGAATTGGAAGAACTGGTCGTGCTGGGGCTGAGGGACATGCTATCACTATGTTTACTGAAACTGACAAGGGACTGTCTGGCGGGTACGTTACTCACATCTCAATAAAACTCAACTACCGGTGCAATGCTAATTTTGAACAGATTGATCAATGTCCTCAAGGCCGCCAAGCAAGAGGTTCCAGAAGCTCTGCTGAAATTTGGAACCACAGTTAAGAAGAAGCAGCACGATTCATACGGCGCTTTCTACAAGGACATCGGCACGGACAAAGCGGCTACGAAGATCACATTTGACGATTAGTTGCACTATTGCCTTTTTTCTTTCCCGCGTGAGGATACTGTTTGACAAATCCTTGTCAACAGGCTCATCAAATATTCCTTTTCAATGTAGAATCTATCATTTTTGTCGGGCATTAGGAACAAGAACAAGTAAAATCGATATAATAGAAGTATAATCACTTACATCACAAGAACATATATGCCACTACAAGCACAAACTTGGAAAAATCCTAGCCGTGAGTTCTCGAGTGTTTGTTGAGTCACGATTGCACTGGCTAAAGCTCCAATGATGAAGCTAGCAGGTCGGATGGCTACTTCGCTTGCGGGGAGATGTTCTCCATGTCGGTGGAGGTAAGATGTAATGAAGCTGAAACTCCAAAGAGTCCGAACAAACATATTCACGATGTTAGCCAGGACCAATCCGTAAGCGCCCAGATTTCCTAGCTCAAGGAACGTGTAGGCTGCGACAGCATAACAGGCGGAGAAGACACCCATCCACCCTGTTTGTCGCCGAATCTCGCTAGGATTAGCTGCTGATGATACAAATGCTTCGGTGATTCCATTGAGTGCCAGAAATGGAATATAGTAGCAGTAGACTGAAAGCAAATCCCCAACTTTTGGAGAAGCCCACTGGCGACCTCCTAGGATATGCAGCAGTTGTGGAACCATCATGGGCCCCAATGGGAAAATAAGAATTGAGAACAGCTGGTAGGCGTGCAGAATGTCTACAAGATGATTTTTGGCCGTGCGGATTTGCATGCGACTCAGCTTCCCGCTCTCATTTGGACTCATGAGGGTTGAAAATAGGTTCCGGCTGCTCTCCTCCAGTGGCTGGAAGATGATACGTGCAACAAGACCACCGTAATTTGATGCAAGGGAGTATATACCTTGGTCTTCTAGCCCTGAAAGGGCTGCAAGCATCATGGTGTCGCCTTGCGTGAGCAAATGCTTCACCAAAGATTGGAAAAACACATTAGCAGCAAGTGACGTTAATCGGCGCGAGAACAGTCCCAGGATATATTTTGATGGATCACTGTTGTTTGTTAACACATTATCCACAGTTTCACTTCGGCCGAGGCGCGGTTTGCTTTACCTGGATTGCACGCGTGTTAACAAGAAAGAGAATTGCTTATCCCTTGGTCCCGTCAGTAAGACCAAAGAATAGCCAAAAAGGAGCGCAAACGAATAAACGAGGTGACCTAGCGCAAATGGGACCACACCAGGGTTATAGTTGGCCCGAGAGCTGTAAATGAAGGCAACAGATGTTACAAAACTCCTAAGAAATGCTGCTGGCATCTCCACGGTAGCACGCTTCTCATACAACATATGCTGTTGAACCACCGCAAAGAATGGCTCAATACTGAGTTCTATGAGAGCTGCAAGACCGGTAATTGCCACGCTGAGGTGGAAGAATGCGATTTTTGAAGCCTCATCTGACACAAAGCGCTGATATAGAATAGTGAAAAACAGAGTTGCAGGGATACCAAGAGCAAGACTCAGATAAGATACGTTCACCACTGCCTGAGATGCCAAAGACTCTGTATCGTTTGCTTGACCGGGTTGACTTTTGCTCTTGGTTGAAGATGACATTGGCTGTCTTTGAATGGCCACTCGAATGCTCTCTCTTGAGAAATACAAAATCGAAATTTGGAAAAGCTCGAGCTGGGCTGCTATCCCGAGTACAACTGGCGAAAGTGTGCGCAGAATCAGCTGGTTTGAGGCAAAGGTGAAGATCCTGGAGGCTAATTGAATCATGATCAAGAACGTTGTGCCTGTCGCCGACGAAGTCAGGATCTTGCCCATGCGGGCATCACCGGGTTTAGCCATGTATATGGCAAGACCCAGTCTGGGAAGTTGAGATGTATCAGAAATATGGGCGAAGGGAGTGTTTATAAGGGATAAAAATGCTGTGAAAGCGGAGTGGGGGCTTCGGTACATTGGCACTCAAGTACGAAGTGCGGAGCTCGTCTTTGTATTATTCACTTCTAGGCTATTCAGCTACAATCAGTTCATACGAATGTACAGCTAGATTACTTTAAGAGACAACTACATTTTGGACCTATTCTCACGGATATTCACTGAACTTATTGTGTATGGCAAAGAAAAACCTATCCATGAGCCAGTCCATGCAACAAGCCAAGGAAACTAGAGCCACTAGCTACGGTAATCACCATAAAACCATGTTGAAGCACGCATTGGGATGTCAGCAATCAGCCCAGTAACGATATGTTCTCAGGAGTCATCATCCTGCTTTGATCGAGTTGGTTCTAGAATGGGGGCAGATAGAATGGATAACCGCCATTCTTAGCCTTAAAAACACTCAAAAGGAAGCTATACGTCCCAAAAAGAACAGCTGCCCAGATTAAGACAGCTAGCTGCTGACCTTTGACATCTTCCATGCGAGGAACCTTTAGCGCAAGTGCGATTGTAGCAAAGGAAAGGACAGCATCTAGAGAAGCAGTTAGAATCAATAAGGCTGCACACACGGGGAGACAGAATTTCAGGACAGAACGAGCCTTGTAAATTCATACTTACAGATAGCAGCCACAATCTGTGTCTCCATCCCAAATTGATTCTGGAAACCGCCAGCAAAGTAGCTAATGCCACCTCGTCCATCACCTGCAACATATGGAACCTTCCGAATGTGATTGAACATTTGTCCACTTGTGAACAGCAGAATGGCGATCAAGCTGATTGCAGCCCACAAGTTCCGATTCTGCACAATTGGCAGCACATATGGGTACAGTACCGCAGTGACAGTGACGGAAGCCATCAGAATGGTGATTGTCGTCACAATGCGCATATAGTTAATAGGTCGAACAAGTGGGGGCTTTGGACCGTCGGGAAGTTGACGTTCGATCCAGGAGTAGATCTGGTCGGCGGAAATCGGGCTGTTGAAGTTGGACACGTCAGTGAGAAAAGACAGTAGGGGCAGAGAGCTGAGAGACATACCCGGTGAAATCGAATCGAAGAGGATCTCCTTCCACCTTGGCAAATGGACCGATGGTTGGAGGGAAAACAAGCAACACAGGCGCAGTTTGAAGCATGAGCTGCTTGAGTCAGTCAATGGCACGCTTCATGGGTTCCTGTCCAATTGCCTACCTTTTGGAAGACTGCCTTTCCATTATCAAAGTCAAGTGTTCCATAGACCACCTTCAGATCATCGGGCTTGGTACCCTTATTCCAGCTTCGTGCAATCAAATCCCATTCTGGTTCAAAATCACGGCACAGAAGGCAGCCAAAACGAGCATCTGTGGCAGTTAAAATCACCACAGCAAAGTAGTCTCGAGGTTCCGAAGTCAATTCCTCATATGATGCGCTATCCAGATCAACAGGCCCCGAGCGAGACAGGGATTGATATCTTGCAAACTTGTCCGGGGTTGACTGTGCGGACAGTACGCCGGACACGACCGACAAAAGCAGGAAAAGGGCCGTCCAGGGCTTCATGTTGACATGACAAGGAGCTGGACAGCTTTTTATAAGTTGAATCTGAACTGCAATTGAGAATTCTCGATTGCAATTGAAGATGATTGAACACGTCGAGCAGTTAAGTCCAGGTGTCCACTATCAACCAGGAACTGAGCATTGATTACATAAGACATCGGGGTAATCGCTCCAAAACACCGACGCGTCTTCCCTTGCGTGGGCCTCATAGCATTGGATATAACACACCACATATTCTTATCCAGCTTTATTGGGCTTGTTTGGCCATACTATTCTTATTCTAGTCTTTTTGCCCTGCCTTCCCCTGTTGTCACCATGGCAATGGCCCAAGAAGCATCTGTCGATGTGTGTGGACGCCCCGAACTCAAGACTACATTCAAGGAATACTAACTTATTTATGTAGTACGAAATGTCCATAAGGACTGTGCGCCTGGAGAAGGAATATGAGAAAACCTTGTCAGACTCTGCGCGTCTCCTGGAAGGCGAGAGAGATCGTGTGCGACGCATGGAGCACTTGTTTTTGGAATTCGAAAATGAAGCTCTCCGATCACAGTTGGATGAAGCAAATGAACATCTCCTCGGGTTCACAAACGCTGATTCCGAGGCATGTGTTCAACTCGAGGAAGCCTGTCAGGAAATTGATCGCTTGGAGCGTCACGCGCAAACTTCAATGAGCGAGATAGACCGACTCAGAGTATGCTACGACCTTTTTGTTTGATAATTTCGTGGAATCCGTCTCATTGACAGTAACAGGAAGAACTCGCCAGTCGAAAGAATACTTCAACCAGCTACAACGCAGTCTTCGCCGAGAAGGTTCGCCTCTCCAAAGACCTCGCAGCCCTACAAACGGAGGTAGAGCGGCTCAAAGCGCAAAGCTCATCCCGTCAGGCCATGATCGCCGAAAAACATGAGATGGAACGGCAACTGAATTCTCTGGAGATTCAACTTGATAAAGAAAGGCATGCCCACGAACGCACTCGGTCTAATGGATCACAGCAAACAGCGGGGATGACCAAGCTATCTGCACAAGTCGATGAGTTACGAAACGAACTTTCTGGAGAAGTACGAGCAAAACAACAGCAAGAATTGGATAAACGGCAACAGAGTTCGGAGTTTGACAGCCAGCGCGCAGTGCTCGAAGGGAAGATTGACTCGCTGAAACAGCAATTACGATGGACCAAGGACAAGCTACAGGAAGCTCAGAACGAGGTATTGCAGCGACGCAATAACAAAGTGGACAGAGGGGATGAGTCCGAACCAGGTTCTCGGACTATCCCGCTTCAGCGCCCTGGACCTAGTGGTCATGGGGGTGTGACGATTGCAACTCCAGGTGCCGTTCGAGTCCAAGAGAAGGTTAAAAAAGACTCGGCCTTACCTGGTGACAAATCGGCATTCTCCATTACTCCCTTCTTGAACCGCACAGGTGCACCGGCAGATTCCCCGTTGAGCTCCGTGGCAGATGAAGATGATATGCGTGAAGATGCCGATACCACGCTTGATCCACTCGACAAAGGGACCCTAATTGGTCAGCCCAAGCACATTGGTTCTGCTTTGCGACGCCAATTGTCTCCAACTCAAGATCGCAACCCCATCAGTAAACCAGTGAGATCGAAGGCGCATGATGCCCCGGCAACAAAAAATGGCTCCAAGAAGCCAGAGAGCCGCCTGGATCGCCGCAAGCTGTCCGTTGATACTGATGATGAACAGCTTAGTCAACCTGAGCAGATCAAGCCAAAAAAACGTAAACTCGGTGGTCCACGAGACCGGAGTCTGATGGAGGAAGATAACGATGATGATGAAGGAGAGCCTCGCCTGAACAAGAAATTTGGGCGGAAACTTGCACTTGGGGCTGGACGTACTTCAAAACTAGGTGGCATGCAGCAACCAAGCACGTCTAACGGCGAGCGACTGCAACGGGGTCTTGGATTCGGGGCACCTATGGGATTCTCTCCATTGAAGCGGGACCGCAGGCGACTCTGACGACAATTGGACTTGTAGAAATCTTTTGACGATCTCCATGTCTGCTCTATCACATATTAGCGCTTAATTCAACTGCCTTTTCGAAGCAATAGAATGGAATTCGGAAATATATTATGTCCCCTGATGTGTATAAATACAATCACGCTGGGAACACCGGCGGTCCACTTTGTTTTGCCGGCAGAAAGCGAAAGCTCCTTGCGAACCTCTGGCTCGATACGACTTCTTTCTCGACCTTCACGCCATGTTCGCGTTATTGCTTACCACCCGGCGATATGCTTGTCGCCCCCGTACATTCTCCCAGGCAAGACAGGCCTCGTCCAAGCGGTGGCAAGCTCGACAGCAAAAGGATCAGTTTACGAGAGAAGCTGCAGTGCAAGGGCTGAAAAGCAGAGCTGCGTTCAAATTATTGCAGGTAAACAGTACCTAACTTACACTCTTTTCTTGAAGCATACCCCATAACATAACCTCTGTGGTTAGATTGACGAGAAATATCGAATTTTCAAGGGCGGGCAGACAGTTGTTGACTTGGTAATGCAAATCGTTTACCCTCGGGTTCGGACTGGCAATTAATCTCATTGAAATAGGGCTATGCCCCAGGATCTTGGTCCCAGGTATGTTGTGCTCCAATTCAAACAATCTATGTCGAGATTGGAAATTAATTCCGGCAGGTGGCCGCAAACCGCACTCAACCGCACGGCCGAGTCCTCGGTGTTGATATCATCCCAGCCCAGCCACCAAAAGGAGTGTCTACAATCCAGGGCAATTTCCTCGCACCTGAGATCCAGACTTACATTCGAGACTTTCTCCGCAGCCCCGAGCGAGGCAGACCGCGCCAGCCCGGTCTTCAGGGCGATTCCAGCACCAGTCTCTTGGAACCGACTATAGATTCCGAAAACCCCGCCGAAAAAACGTGTGGAAGTGATAAAATTCTTGAAAGAACGGTGGATGTGGTTTTAAGTGATATGTCTGCTCCCTGGTACCAGACGTCCGGATTCTGGAAACGAAGTCTAAGTGCTCCCTATAACAGGATGATGAACACCAGCGGTCTCAACTTCAAGGATCATGCTGGCAGTATGGTATGAACCCCTACATATTGAGGCTGGTCATTTCTAAATCCTATAGGATCTCTGCCACGCGGCTTTACGCTTCAGTACAGACGTTTTGAAGACAGGCGGTCATTTTGTCTGCAAATTCTACCAAGGCGCCGAGGACAAAGAGTTAGAACAGCAATTGAAAGATCTATTCAGAAAGGTCCATCGGTTAAAACCCGAATCATCTCGCAGCGTAAGGGTTTCCCGGTCCTATCTGAACATACTCAGCTAACGCAATCGGCAGGAATCCAAAGAAGCATTTTTTGTTGGTCTGGAGCGAAAAAAATGAATTAACTAAGGGGTATCAAGGTCATATAATGTGCAAATCACCTTTGAAAACATTATTATCAGAGGATCTCGATCTCTTCGTTATCAGATGCATCATCCCATTCGATATCCGCCAGTGCTGCTTCCGCCTTCTCATGAACCTTTTGTAACTGTCAGTCTCCAAATGTATCTTCCAAGGGAAAATTTGCTGACCTCTTTAAGACCGCTCAATTCCTCGACGTAGCCAGGTTCATTTAGGGCTTTTCGTACGAAATCCCATCCATGTTCCCGATATGCACCAATCACTCTCTCCGAGCATGCACTGCAGCTTTGGTAACTCTGACCAGTGACGGATAAGTTCTCAAATGTGGATAAGAATCCTCGAATTTGATGAGGTACAATGCCCAGAGGATGGTCATCGCTCTCGGTGCTTTTCGCCACCGGAGCTGGTGCTGCAGCGCCTTGGGGATGTTGAAGAAGCGAGACTAAAAGCTCCACGAGGAGTGCAGATGCTATGGGGGCTACCCCTGGGCGGGTCACGGTACACTGTTGGTCGAGAGATTGGTCCTTGATCGACTAGGCATATTCTGGTCAGCTATGTGTACCAATTTGGATCACCCTTTGGTCTTACGTTGGCTGGTGCAACAACGTCGTTACAGAAATAGCACCCAAGTTCAGACGATGTGTTACCACCATTCATGCCATGCCGCATGACAACGAATGTATCAAAGCCTAGGGCAGCATTCATGACGATCTTCCCTGCGGCTTTGCCCATCACCGTTGGTAGCCATCGTGATTCCCGTGTGTCCATGAGAAGAAAAATAGCATCATGGTCATTGATCAACTTCCTAAGTGTTTCAAAGTCGTCCTTTGTTGCTTTTTCGTCCACAATGGGGTGACCCGCCATGGGTACCGACGTTGCGTGGCCTTCGGATTCCACCCCGGGGTAAATTTCGGCCAGGGCTTCGGCTGCTCTATGTGCTTTTCGGGCTCCGCCATTCAAGCAATCCGTAAAATTGAATAAAGGTTGCCTAACGGGGTTAGAAAATGAAATGGACCCATTGTCAACAAATGTTATTTTCTTCACGCCCCAGCCCTGAACAATCGATAGTTAGGACAAATGTATCCCATGCATGAATGTTGAGATTCACATACTAGCAAGTTTCGAGACACATAGCTACCGAGGGTACCAGCTCCGAGCAAAAGACATTTGGTGTCTTTGATTTTCTCAAGATTGAGAGTCGGGCTGATTCGCCATTTGATAAGTTTGAGGTTAAGATCAACCGACTGGTCAGCCAATCTATAGACATGATAATTATCAATAGCTGATTACAATGCGGGAAAGATCTTGAGTGGCCTACCTTTTAGGATCCATGTAATCCGTGAGATTAACATTTCTTCCCGACAACTTTCCTACTGGGTTGCGTTCCCATCCGGTTACCTTTGGCAACGGCGATACTTCTTTGATTGGTGCTTTCGGTGGTTGCACCTCTTGTCTTCCGCTTGATTTCAGATGAATGACCATGCTGCGACCCTGTTCACGCTTCGAGTGCACATCACGGTACCGTAGGATTTGTACTTGAGTGAGACCCCATCGCTGCCTGACCAAAACAAGTAGATTTCGTAACATCCACCCCGGTGCCTGTTCATAATTCGACGGGTCTGCAAAACAAACATAACGGTCCTTAGCGGCCGTGTCATTGAAAAAACCATTTTCGTATTCCGAAAGTGACGCTATTTGCCAGTTGAGGCCCAGCTCGTTCTCGATACCTTGACCATTGTTACTCTTGGTCTTCCGGGCTAAAAAGAACCCTCTTTGCCGATGATCGACAGCATAGGACCAAGTCTCCACGGATTCCACAAGGGTGGTGCTTTCACGGGGGGATAGGTACCTCCCGTTAACAGAATCTGTTCCCACTGGTATCCATGAGGGGTCAGAGTGAATTGCCGGAAAAGCAAACCAGTAATGGAATTTGTATTTCTTGAGGTCGGCAAAAGACACGATAATGAAGCTGGCCAGCAAGGACGGACATGAGAAAATGGTTCCGTCATTGATTGCATCCCAAACCTTGAAATGCCCATCAGTAAGTTATCAAATGACAGATAAGTTGTCTTCTTACCGTCTGTCCAGCTTGGTGAAGCAGCTGGGGCCTGTCTATGTTTCGATATTCTTCGACTGTGTTGACATTTTTGATCATGCCTTCGGCCCTGTAGTAGCCAGAGGGTCCTCTAGGTGGCTTGTCAGTGATGGGAGAGTTCAGGTACAACCTGAGCCTGATCTTACTCGCTGCCAGTGAGGGCATTTCCGTGTATTTGAATTCGACATGATGCGGCCTCGGGATCCGAGGGGCGGATCTCATATAAGCCCAGCACTGCCCGGGCGGAGTCATCTAGCTTGTCATGGTTGATCTTATGGGAGGCTAGAGATGTATAGAAGGGCAGCTCAATATCGGAAGCAAAGGGCGTGTACTGCATCTTGAGAGAAATGTGGGTGATGTCAACGCGGGCGGGGAAGGTGAGGTCTATAAATCTTATATCTATAGATACCCGTGGACCCTGACCTTGTCAGCTGACTCTACACAGGTGACTCTACCCAACAGATTCAATATCACCTGGGCAGAGATGCTTTACTCTTCTTTGTAGATACCCAATGTTCTCCTATCAGGCTCGATAAGATCGCGACTTGAGCGGCCCCACTACTTTCGCGTTTCTTTTCTTCCCCTCTACTTGCTACTGTTGATTTTTGACTTTCTATTTTCTACCTTTTCTACTCCCTTCTCCTGAAAGATGCTCATTGGATTATGTGGAGGTCAGCAGACACATTCTGGAACCCACTGTGCGAAAGAACTAACAGATCATCAGGCATATGTGCCGGCAAACATGCGATTGCCGAGTACCTGATTCAACAACAAGGGTTCCAACTTCTTGAGCTTGCCAGCAAAATGCCCCAGATCACCGACCCCGAGGATGACTTACGACTACAAGCTTCAGAGATCAGAAAGAAAGGAGACACCCAACCAGAGCATACGTTTGAGAATGCCGATATTCTCCTCGACTTTGCTACTAAAAGATGGCAAGAACGTTGGATAACTACAGATATTGCAGATGCAAGTACTCTAGATCGATTCCTGTTACGCCCATTCTTTCTGCTTGTGAGCGTTGATGCCCCGGTGAGCCTCCGATGGAAACGATTTGCGGACAGGTTCGTGGTAACACAGTTCATGATTTCGGCCTAATAGGACTGACTAAGTCACCCAAAAGGTGCTGGAGAAGACAGCTAGACCCGCCCGATCTCGAAAAATTTGTTCTCTGGAACGACCATAACTTATACGACAAGGATGTTGGGCGTGTTTACTTGACCGATAAAGCCCAAGTGCGCTTGTTTAACTCATCGTCATCCCTTGAAGAGCTACACTCGGCCCTGAACACTCTTGACCTGGCTGACGAAGAGCGACTACGACCAAATTGGGATCAATATTTCATGCAGCTGGCCTCTCTGGCCGCACAAAGAAGCAATTGCATGAAGAGAAGAGTAGGATGTGTGCTGGTCCGAGAGCGCCGTGTCATTAGTACTGGGTACAACGGAACTCCGCGTCATCTTCGAAACTGCAACCAAGGTGGATGTATGCTTGTTGCCAGAACAAAGTGACTTTGCTGTTTTTATTGTCCATCATACTGACCTGAACACGCTATTTAGGTCCTCGATGCAACCGCGGAGATGGAGGTGGAGTTGGCCTCTCAACGTGCCTTTGCCTACATGCCGAAGAAAATGCGTTGTTGGAAGCAGGCAGAGAGCGCATTCGAGAGGGCGCTATTCTTTACTGTGATACGTATGTTCAAATTACCCTTGATACTTTACCCTAGGAGGTGATACTCATTCCTTGCTGATTATAGATGCCCGTGCCTGACATGCACTGTTAAGATAGCCCAAGTCGGCATATCTGAAGTTGTTTACTCTCAAGGATATAACATGGACAAAGATGTAAGCATTTGATCTGGCTGTGTTATACGTTTACTAAGGACTGTTCAGAGCGCTGCCATCTTGCAAGAAGCAGGTGTTCGTCTACGGCAATTCCACCCGGTATGCTCAATGCTCAGTCTCCAGTGAATTTATGTTGCATAGCTGACCTCGTCATAGCCCTCGAATGGTCTTGTTTATTTGCAGGAGTTTGACAGACCAGCCACAGATGGAAGCTGACCCCAGACGTGAATCAAGAAAAGATAGGTTAAGACCTTAAAAAATTACAAATCAGCTAAACAAATGCCCAGTCAAATGAACTTATTGAGTGTGAATCTATATCAGAGCACCAAAAATACTTAAGAGTACCCGCGATAGGTGGTAGATAAGATGAGTGGGGAAGTACCCGAATGTACCTTTAAACGCATCATTTTGGCCGGCAGAAAAAAAAGAAGTATGACTCAGCGCGCGAAATTTGGCGGGGCCCTCGAGCAACCCTTCGAAGGACTCATGCTTTCCCATTTTTCTGGGAGTTGAATATTTGCAATCATCCATAATACCTGCAGCTTCACCTCAGCCTTGTGGTTTGAGACACCGAAACCATGCCCACTGTGCACCTACTGGACTACGTTGCGGGAAACATCCGTTCCTTGGTCAATGCGATCAACCAAGTTGGTTACGATGTTGAATGGGTCAGATCACCAGAGGATGTGAGAACTGCAGATGTTAGTCTATTACTCAATGGAAATTTTACCATGCCATAACCATAGTATGAGGTTGCTAACAAGATCACTCTCAAGAAACTGATCCTCCCCGGTGTCGGCCACTTTGGCCACTGTCTTTCTCAATTGGATAAAGGTGGATTCCTAGAGCCCATCAGGCAGCACATTGAAGCTGGAAAGCCGTTCATGGGAATCTGTGTTGGTTTGCAGGCTCTTTTTCAGGGCTCCGAGGAAGACAACGACGTCCCTGGACTTGGCGTGATTCCCACTCGCATTGAAAAGTTTAACGATAGTTCCAAGAGTGTGCCGCACATTGGATGGAATTCCGCGATGAACACTGGGTCTGATGCTGCGAAGGGGCAAAGCTTTTTTGGCCTGAGACCAACCAGCAAGTACTACTACGTCCACTCCTATGCGGCCCCTTACAAGCCAGGTGCCCTGGAAAGTGAAGGCTGGTCCGTGGCTACGGCTACTTATGGAGAAGAGGAATTTATTGGAGCTATTAGTCGTGGTAACATCTTCGGCACACAGTTCCACCCGGAAAAGAGTGGCTTGGCCGGTCTTCGCGCCATTCGCGCATTTTTGGATGGCGAGCAATTCCAGTCCCTCGCACAGGACCTGGTTGCTGGCAAAGAAAATGGACTGACTCGTCGGGTCATTGCCTGTCTTGATGTTCGAACGAACGATGCCGGTGACTTGGTTGTCACCAAGGGCGATCAGTACGATGTACGCGAAAAGGACGGAGCGGACGCCGGTGGTCACGTTCGAAACCTTGGAAAGCCTGTCGACATGGCCAAGAAATACTACGAGCAGGGGGCAGACGAAGTTACCTTTTTGAACATTACCTCTTTCCGGAACTGCCCCATCGCTGACACGCCTATGCTTGAAATTCTGCGACGTACATCGGAAACTGTCTTTGTGCCTCTGACCATTGGCGGGGGAATTAAAGATACCGTTGACACCGACGGAACACGGGTCCCTGCCCTGGACGTGGCGACGATGTATTTCAAGTCTGGCGCCGATAAAGTCAGCGTCGGTTCCGATGCTGTCTTTGCTGCCGAAGATTATTACAACGCCGGCGAAAAGCTGAGTGGTGAGACAGCCATTGAGACCATATCTAACGCTTATGGCAAGCAAGCTGTTGTAGTGAGCGTCGACCCAAAGAGGGTTTACGTTGATAAGCCAGAGGACACCCACCACCACACACTTAGGACGCAATTCCCTAACTCATCGGGACAAAGCTACTGTTGGTACCAGTGCACCGTCAAAGGTGGCAGGGAAACTCGTGACATGGATGTGCGGCAACTTGTTAGGGCTGTTGAAGCCATGGGTGCCGGCGAAATTCTCCTGAACTGCATCGATAAGGATGGAAGCAACAGTGGATTCGATCTGGAATTAGTCAATGACGTTAAGGCTGCAATCAAGATCCCCGTCATTGCTTCAAGCGGAGCCGGAGTACCCGCACACTTCGCCGAGGTTTTCAACAAGACCACCACTGATGCAGCACTCGGAGCTGGAATGGTAAGTTCGAATCTACATGTTGTTTTGTGATGCAGTTGTTAACCAGGCCCTAGTTCCACCGCGGTGAATTCACCGTGACTCAAGTGAAAGACCACCTTCAGACGGAGGGTTTCTTGGTTCGTCAATTTGAGGCTGACATCTGAAGAGTCCACCGTGCAATTCCGTTGTGTTTTCTTTCCTGAGCATACTTTCCACTGTAAAGTGTTTTTCACTTTCATTACCTCAATAGATCATGGGCCCATCAACTTGGAAGATGTATAGAAGATTTAAAGTGTAAACGAAAAGAAAAAAAAAAATCATCATCCAGTTGCTAGTAGTAAGCTCTATAGATTCTTCAGCCATTATACTGCAAGTCCCTAAATAGGCAAGCCCCTCTGACTATCATTTCACGGTAAAGGCGGCGTAAAAGGCGGTGAACACGGACTAGATCATCTGACTTTTCCTCACTTGCCACTTCATCTCTTCCTTATCCGTCGACGCCAGCCGTTGTTACTGGACTTCATTCTTGCACCATCTCTGCCTTTTATTCTCAGTTTTCAAGACTCACTTTCGGTTGCTTTCTCACCCTTTTCTTTTCTTTGAATTTCGAATTACCCTCCCCGCATTACCTTGCCCGAAACGTGATCGAAACCACGAACTCCCGCGATACCCCGATTTCAGATTTGTCCGCCCCCACGACGCTTCTCACTCATAAACAGGTTTTCCTTTGATAAGAGACGGTGTCTGCAAGGATCTCCAGCCAGCTGGTCCGATAACAGGTCAAGGTTTTGGGGTGGCTCTGCGGATCACTTGAAGGACGGGGCAGACCATCAAATCTCTCTTGAATGCACCTTTTTTCTTCAGCGCCAGTTCCTTCGACAATTGTATTCCTCAATTTCTTGATCTCCATTTGTATGCAGTGACCTGAACACTCACTATTCAGCATCCAAGAAGAATCATTCACAAAATATTGTCTCCAGCATCCCTAATCGATAGATACAAGTCTATCGGTTTCTGATTTCATTTCCCTAAATACTTGTGCTTTGTTTGCTATTGAGAAGATATCTTTTCTTCTCTGACCTTTCTTTGCGACTGGTGATTCACAAAACCTTTCTCTTTATCATCCCCTCTTGCTCACTGTACAAGCTGGTGGTGCCCTAAACGTGGGATTTAATACAACTCTCATTTTTGTTGCACCCCTCAAAATTGAATACAATGTCATCGTCCGTTCATTTCAAGTTCAAGTCCCAGAAAGAACCCTCACGGGTCACCTTCGACGGTACTGGTATTTCGGTCTTTGAACTCAAAAGAGAGATTATCAGCCAAAGTAGATTGGGTGACGGAAGTGACTTTGAGCTGTCAATTTACAACGAAGACACCAGAGAGGGTACGTTGCTGCACGTCACCACCTGCCCTCCCTTACTGACCTCTTTCAATAGAATATGATGATGACACGACAATCATCCCTCGGTCCACATCGGTGATTGCTCGCAGACTACCCGCAGCACGCCCTGGTAAGGGTGGTGCTGCTCGTTATGTCTCCGGAAAGATGCCAGTCAACGCTCGCAGTGCCCCCCGCACCGAACCTTCGACGAACAGAGCGACACCTGGGATGGGTCAATCCGTGAACAACAATGTCCTGGAACTCAATAATGCCCAAACCGAGGAAGAGAAGATCAATGCGCTTTTCAACTTACAAGCTAGTCAATGGCAGGAGCAACAGCAAGAAATGGCCAAGTGAGAGCTCACACAGTCCTTTGATCAGGATCGAGATACTGACTTTTTCCAGCGCGACACCCGTGTTCGGTCGTGGCAGAGGCAAACCTGTCAATGTACCTGACCACCCTCCTCCACCAGGGTATCTTTGCTATCGATGCAGAGAAAAAGGTAAGCTTTCGCCACCTCAGGTGATACTACTCCAAATTGTTAACACCATCATTCAGGTCATTGGATTCAAGCGTGCCCGACCAACAACGATCCGAAATTCGACGGTAAATACCGAGTCAAGCGATCAACCGGCATCCCTCGTTCGCTCCAAACCAAAGTCGACAAACCAGAATCTCTGGCACCTGATGGCTCCACCGAAGATGCGAGGAATACAGGAGTGATGGTGAATGCTGATGGTGACTTTGTGATTGCAAAGCCGGATAAGGCAGCCTGGGAGTTGTATCAGGAAAAGGTCCAGGCATCGGCGGCGGCGGCAGCTGAGGCAGCGGCCCTCGAGGAGAGCAAGGCTTTGCAAGCTCGTGGCCTGCAATGCCCAATTGACAAGAGAATGTTCTTAGAGCCAACCAAGACACCATGTTGTCAAAGAACATATTGCAATGACTGTATCTCAAATGCTTTGATTGAAAGTGACTTTGTTTGCCCTGGTTGTTCCACGGAAGGTGTTTTACTTGACAACCTTACCCCGGATGATGAAGCCGCATCCAAAATTAAGGTCTATGAAGCAGAGAAGGCTGATGCAAAGAAGGAGAAGGACAAACATCCTGCAGGTCCGGATGGGACTTCTCTCCCAGAGGCAGTCACAACTGAAATCAAGATCCCCTCGGCCGACAAAGAGCAAATCCCGCCCAATCAAGCTCAAGAGCCTGCACCGCCCCAGTCAAAGAAGAGACCAGCGGAGGATGAACCCACTAATGCCACTGAGACCGCACACTCTGAGCCGGGAAATGCTGTGAAGAAACACAAGGCCGAAGACCACCAATCAGCTGCCCAAGGTCAGGATAATAGCAACAAAGAGGGCGCTGCAGGTGTTCCCCCTCCTGCCCCCTTCAACCAAGAAATGCCCTTCAACAGCTTCAACCCAATGCCAGGCATGCCGGGTATGCCTATGATGCCATTCTCCGGTCCAGGATTTGGAGCCGATCCCATGGGCTTCATGAACCCGATGGCAATGGCGTCCGCTAATGGCTTCCCAAATGGCATGGGTCCCAGTTGGAACCCAATGAACATGCAATTCAATCCCGGTATGTTCGGCGACCAGAACAATGGCGGAATACCCAACGGATTTCCCAACATGTTCAACGGAGAACCCTCAATGTCTATGTTCTCTATGGGCCAGAACGGATTCCAAGGGCCAGGCCCTGGCATGAACAATTTCTCCAACCAGCAACGGACAGCTTTCAGTACTCCGTACTCTAGGGAAGAGGACTCGCCGTATTTCCGACAGCCTGTGAATCCGCAACGTCATCAAGCTAGGAACCGAAGAGTTCGGCCTAGTGATTATCGGGAGCTTTAGAGTGCTACGGCTTGTTATCTGGCGTTCGGGCCTTGGATGGTGCACTGTGTATATGCATATTCAGAGCGGATTCATTTTTCCTTTTATTTCTGACTCTTTATTTCTTCTCTTTGCGTGCCATTCTGGGGGCGTCCTTTGATTTCCCGGCATTTGTATCTCCCCTTCATACTCTCTGCGTATGCGATGACTCTTTCGGGTAGAGATGGACAAGAGGGTGTACTTTTAATATATTCTCAATACAATTCCATAAATTCAAATCGAAACCCATCGTAAACTGCAGCAATACCCAAAGCACAGACAGATCTGTATGAGAGTCGGGCACCAAATGTAGAGATATATATGAGTTGAGTCAGGTGACTGGAAGAGACGCTCGTCCCCCCGTCCACACCGTCTGATCTCTTCTCTCTCAGTCATATCCTCAACTTCTTTTCATCACAACCGTCTTCACCGTGTCTTCTCTACTTACTCTACAACATCATTCTTCTCGATCCGTCTCGATACCCTGACCGGTCTTTGCCTTTCACCGTTTATCAAATACCCCGAGACCCACACCGATCGGAATCATCGACTATCATGGCGAAATACATGAGTAACCACAGTAGTAATTGCAATCAAATGCAGCGGTTTCTGGACCAAGAATCCCAGAGCACTGTGCTCGCCAGCTGCTACAGTGTTGATTCGTCGACCTCTCAGGTTCGCGGCTTCCACTATTGCACTACGCTGGGCGCCGGTAAGAACCTCCCCTTTCTTTCCAACCGGCAAAATTCTAACTCTGAATCTAGGAGTACAGTGGTATCCCTGAGGTTCCCTCGGGGTCTAAATCGGCTCTTTTAAGTCCTCCTCTCGATATTCCCGCTTCCAGTGCGGAAAGAACCTGGCCTGGCAATGGCTGGCCAGAGTACAGAGGGGAGGCAACGCATACTATCCCGGAAGAGTGTGAGAGACTCTTCTGTGACAAACTGTCTACGACATTCCTTGGTGAGGGGAGTTTCGTGCGACAGGAGTCGCTGGGGATGGATGTGTTCCAAAACATCCCAAACCAAATCGGACAAGTGCATGATCGAATCAAGCGATGGATTGAGGTTTGGGACTATTCCAGCGATGCGAAATATCGAGGTTTCGTGGCCGAGAACAACGGGGAGAACACCCTGTTCGTCTTTTTCGAAGACCGCACACTTGATCAAGGCCTCAAATCGGGGTATGTGCCGTTAAGAGCTCTGGTTTCTCATGCCGCAGAGATGTGAGATCGTTTGCTAATCTTTATTTCACAGACTAATCGCTCTTTTCGAGCTCGCGGAAATTACTCCATTCGGGTGCTCACAAATAGTTGCGTGTGTTGGTCGCTCCGAGCGCACAGATGCAATAGAGCTCGTCCGAAGTCTAGGGTGGTGTGGATTCAGCCTTACAACTTTAGAACCGTGGATGTCAAGTGTTGACCAAGGAGCCCCTATCAGCGACAAGTGGCTCTTCTTGGTTGCTGAAGTCTAGCAATAGTAGTAGCGTCGAGGATATTTTGAGTATATGAAAGATCATTTGAAGCAAACGGAAAATTTCCCCGCGTTTCCTGGATAAGATAAGATTTAAGATAAGACATGACCTCAGGTTCCCTTCCCCTTGACTCAAACTTGACTCTCGACGTCACTCTTGACTCCTCACTTTTGACTTCCCTACGTACCTCTTTCTCAATATGTCCAAGGAGCGCAAACTCCACTTTCCCAAGTTCCTACTCCCATCGACCATATTCCCTACACACGGGCTTTCTCCGGACTCCAAATCCCGCAAGTCCAAGTACCTGGAAGGACATGTTCCCTATCTGCGCTGTGCAGGGTGCGCATCACAACTTTGCTTCGCCTCCCAGATTATTAGCAAGGGATTTACAGGTCGCCATGGACGTGCATATCTCGTCTCAGCGGAGCCGGTGGCCACAGCCGTGTCGGTCAGCGCGTCCTCTTCGCCCACAACTTCACTCCCAAACACAATATTACAGCGCCCAGTTCCTCGCCAGTTAGTCACAGGTGCCCATACAGTCAGCGATGTGAGTTGCGCATTCTGTGACAGTGTTTTGGGCTGGAAGTATGTTGCAGCCGAGGAGGAATCACAGCGATACAAGGTTGGCAAGTTTATTCTGGAAACCAAGAAAATCACCACCTCTTCCTGCTGGGAGTCTCTGCCTACTCTTGATCCGTCTATGCGATCAGAACAGCAATCGGAAGGAATCGAATCTGCCCCCACAGACGCCGAGTTTGACAGTCAGGATGAAGATGAGTGCGAGGATTTGTTCGCTGGCATTTGGAGTCCTGGACTCGCTACGCGTCGACGAAGTCGCAAGATTGAACGTCGACCTGCCATGTTCTAAATGTCATGAGAAGAACGCCCGAGAGCCTGTGGTAGGGTGTGCATAATGTGTTATGATACCCTTGAATGTTTGCATATCTTAATATAGCTTGAAAGGCCGCATGTGTTTTATGGAATATTAATTAACTCCTAGATAATTGAAGTGGGTCCCAGGGTGTAAAAAGGCATAGGAAATACTATGCTCAGACATGCGATTTCAGAGGCAGGTCACTTCAAGGAGAGGTATCATCGACGCGGGACCGTTTCGAGCCATTATCGACCGCAGGTTCTTCGGCAGGCCTCTTTGAGGCAGAACCAGACCCTTGGGCTGACTGCTTCGTGGGCTTCCGTTTGACATAGGCAGATAAGTCCGTCGCTCCCTGGCTTGCCGCCTCAAGCTGCGCCTTCTGATCGGTTGCCGACTGGCCGACAATCTGGCCCAGAATACCTTTCAGCATAGCCTCATTGGCTTGGTCGTTCTGTTCTACAGAAACAGGCGGCCGACGCAGATCAACAAGCTGCATTGATCGTCAGTTAATACTTCAGGTAAAATGGTCGAAGGTGTGGCATATTTACCCGTTGCTCCATATCAGCAATGATCTCTTTGACATTGGCGATCTTCCTCTTTATCGCAGTTACTTTGTCCTCATCCACGTCTGTGTCGGCTTCAAGCTTCTTTTCCTCTTGAGCCATTCTGACCTTGCAACTTTCGATCGCAAGCTCCATCTGGGTGGCAGCATCCTTTCTCATCTCTTCATCAACTTTGTTCTTCTCGTTTTCACCGCTCTCCTCATCGCCCTGTTGAACAGATGCAAACTCCAGGGCGAGAGATAGCTTGTAATGGCACTCGGCGACTGAAGGATCTTCAAGAGGATATAGCGAATTCCTCAAGTCGAGAACAACTCTCAGATCATTAACCGCGTCATTAAATCTCTCGGCCTCCAGCGAGATTTCAGCCTGAAGATCGTGGGTGTCGGCAAGTCGTTCCTTGATATGCTTGGCATCCGTAGAAATAGCCGTAGATTTACCTTTGCCTCCGTCGTTTGCCTCGGCAGCACTCAGCTTTTTGAGATACAGAACACGTGCCAAGTCGAGAACTTCAAAGGCGTTGGCAAAATCGTCGTCGTCATCCTCCTCGTCGGCTTGCTCGCCATCTTCCTCGTCCTCCGAATCAGAGTCCACAAAGTTTTCGTCTCCAGTAAACTGGAAGAGGGGTTTCGATCCTGCAGATTCTGACTCTTTACTTGCGGCCCTGTTCGAAGGCGGGTCCTGAGCCTTTGAATCGGTAATCGCATCTTTGACGAGATGCTCACCGGAGGGCTTAGACCCAGCAGAAGAGGAAACTTTTTTTGGAGGTGGGTTGCTGGATTGGGGCTGCTCCCCAGCTACCTTGGATCCCAGCACATCACTTTTGCTCACTGCCACGTTGTATAGTGATTTTCCGTAGGCATAGAGCAGGTCGGCATTTTCTGGGGAGAGTTCGCCGTTGAGTTCGGCCTGCAGCTCGGTAGCTTGAGAGTACAACTCAGAAGCTGCATTGTGGTCTTTAGTGGCATCTTTCGCGGCGGCTCGAGCGATCAAGTCCTCAAGTTCAGCTCGCTGCTCTTGCGCAGAGAGCTCGGGCTCTTGCATTTTAGGTTGGTGGGTATCAGTCATGGCGCGGAATGTAGTGACAACTGGGTATATGATAAAGAAAGAAAGAGAGAAAGGGGAACAAAAAGTAGAAAGGAAGATAAAGAGAATTGTCAAAAGCGAGAAGTGAACCGAGTAAGTGAAAGAAAAGAGAAGGGAGAGCTTAGTTCGGGCGCGGCGCGTTTGTCACGCGTCTCCATTTAATTGATTTCTGGCGACCTTCTTCCTCACGTTTCCCCGTCTATGACTTCAATCTTGCCAGACAATCTCACCTTTTATCTCTGTCTGAAACGAAGGGTTTTTTCTTCGGTGTCAAATTTTCCAAAAGATCCCGCTACGTTTCTTGCTAGTCCGCCAGCAAGATGGATGCATCTACGCCGCGACATCCTGATCGTTTCAGAACGATTGATCCAATCCCTTCGTCTTCACCTGCGTTTGGAACACCAGCACGCCCATTTCGAGTGAACAAAGCCAATGCGCCGCCTACCAAAACATCAATCTTGCCGATCTTACTTCCTCCTTCGACTTTGCGCCCAGTTGCTTTCCGAACATTTACCCGCAAACACAACTTAACAATATCATCCTCCGCACTTCAAACATTGGCGGTGTTTGTAGGAAAGAATTGCGGCTCAGGATGGCGCGAAGAAGGACTAGCAGAGCGCGTCCTGGACGAGGTTGCTAAGATATGGAAAAGAGCCGGAGGAGGCGTTATTGTCGAGGAGGGCAAAGGTGCCTCACTGAAGACTATACTCCAGACCATAGAGGGTAGCATGAGTGGTGGCAGAGTCATTACTGGCAAAACTACGCATGACAGCTCAAAGGCATCCGCGCTTGGTATGGATGATGGACGGATGGAATCCACTGGGGATAATTCCCAGGGACCAAATGACGATGATGATACGCAATTGTCACTTCATCCAAGACATTGGCTCAAAGTGATTGACGCCTTCAATCTTCCGCGCTTGACGTATAACGTCGACAAAAAATATTTCGAAGCTATCAAGTCGAAGCCGTCTTTGTTTCCATCACCTTCTCACAAAACCGCGCTTTTCCGCGATCGATACAACCTTGTATATCAACGTTTACTCCGAAACGAGTCATTTCAAAGCTCCTTGGGAGTTGCTGGTGTCCCTTCACTACAACGCACATCATCTAATATTGCCCAACGGCAATCCTACAAACTAACACCAATTGCAAACTTGCTGGGCAGAAGTGGGACCTCGCATCTGGTTTTAGGGCTACTTTCCATTTCTCCCACAGGTAATCTATCACTAGTCGACCTGACTGGAAGTTTGGCATTGGACCTGAGCCATGCGCGGATGATACCTGAAGACGGCGCTTGGTTTGCGCCTGGCATGATCGTACTTGTTGATGGCATTTACGAAGAGGAGGAGATGGTCAAAGGCGCAGCGTTGGGCGGAAACACTGGGATTGGAGGTGCGATTGGAGGCCAGTTCGTTGGCATATCAATCTGCGGGCCCCCGTGCGAGCGACGGGATATCTCGCTAGGAACAAGTAATCGTCACGATAGTGGACAGCTGGGCTCTAGTGGAGGTTTCGGCTGGGTCGATTTCCTCGGCCTGGGGAGCGAGCGTGCACAAGGAGCACGCATGAGAAGAATTCAAGAGAAATGCCTACGGGGCGAACTGGAAGCCACGGAAACCACTACTCGCCTCAAGGTTGCAGTCATGAGTGAGGTCAATCTCGACAATATGAAAACCCTGGATGCCTTGAAGAAGGTCTTTAGTACCTACAATGACCTGGCTCTATCCGAACGCCCACAAGCCTTCGTTTTGGTTGGCAACTTTGTGCAAAGAGCTGTTATCAGTGGAGGGGGCAAAGCCGGAAGCATTGAATACAAGGAGTATTTTGACTCATTGGCGCTGGTCTTATCTGACTTCCCAGCATTGCTACAGCACTCAACGTTTGTCTTTGTACCAGGTGATAACGATCCCTGGGCATCGGCATTCTCTGCTGGTGCGGCCTCAACAGTACCACGCCAACCCATTCCAGATCTGTTTACCTCCCGTATCCGACGTGCATTTGTAACGGCGAACTCGGAGCTGGACAAAGCACAAAATGCAGAACCCATGGGTGACGCAATTTGGACCTCCAACCCGGCCCGCCTCACATGGTTCGGGCCAGTGCATGATATCGCCATCTTCCGTGACGACATCTCAGGAAGACTTAGACGCAGCGCCGTGAATACCTCTCTCGACAATGAAGAACCAGATGTTGCCATGGATGATCCCTCAAGTAGTGTTGCTAGCGATGCAGGCTTCATCACGCCAGAAAATCCCATCGACATGGACCAGCAAGACTGTGGCAAAACAACAACCGCTTCATCCGGGGCATCGATGGCCCGTCGGCTTGTCAAGACAATCCTGGATCAGGGGATGGTTTCTCCATTCCCGCTACCACTGCGCCCCGTCCTATGGGATCATGCCTCCGCTTTGCAGCTATACCCATTGCCAACGGCATTTGTATTGGCAGATCCCGAGGCTGCACCGTTTTGCATGACCTACGAGGGCTGCCATGTCATGAATCCGGGACGATTGGTACCTGAAGGCGGTGTTTCAATGGCCCGATGGGTTGAGTATGATGTGCTGCGAAACCGAGGAAAGGTTAGAGAAGAGCGTTATTAAGTTCTATTTGAAGCCCTAATACATGAATATTTAACGGAAGCAACAAGCTAATTACACATCAATTGAGATAAATGTAGATGGTATGTCATATTGAAGTCTAGGAATACACGGCGAAGAGAACAAGCTGCTCTTACGTTTAGTTAAAACCGGGAAAAAGACCCAACTGGTATCAAACTCCGAAGAGATATCATAATGCCTAATCAATGGTGATGACATCGGTGTTTCCCAGGCCACTGGCTTGGTTTGAAGCGGTCTTGTTTGGTAAAACAGAGACCTGCCCTTTGGTTTGTAGCGGTTCTGGCACCGCTGCCTTTCCTTTGGCTTCTTTGTCGAGCTCAAGATGGGGAGAACTGAGACATAGGTGCAGCTCGGCCAGGAGATTCCCGACTTTGTCAGGCATCCCCACAGCTCCATCCCCAAGTCCGTTCCAACCATCGCCCTTTGAGTGGTAGAGCTTCTCTCGTATCGCAATTGCGATCTGATCACGACCGAACTGATTGTCTGTGTTTGCGTCCCTTAACATCCAAACTTGCTCATCCTGGTGCACTATTCTGTTCAGTCTAAAACGTGCGTTCACTCGAGGATAATGAATTTGATATTCGGTTGGCCCTCGCACAGTGATGTAGACTATTGACGAGTCCGTCTGGTTTGATATGTTCGTGATTTGATCAAATGAGCGCAACAGGGGGAGTGTGAAAGACATGAGGCGAAGAATGGATTTCACACCAGTGTCGGTAAAACGATGATTTAGAGCCACTGCGAGGGCCTCTTGAATTCGGCGGTGGGGACTGGAGCTCTCGAATTTGATACCCAATTGGAGGTGGAAGAGAGGCTGGGATTTCGAGATAGCTGCCATGTCGACGTAGTCGGACAAAGTAGGACCCGAGACCCCGATGTCAAACGAGGCTGAGGATTTAGTCTCTTTGCCGTACGCAAAAGCAATCTGGGACAAGGACAACGAGCGGGGCTCCATTCCATTCTGTATAAGGGACTGGAGGATGGAGAGAACACACTCGAACCGCTGCAAGCGTTCAAAGAGACCCACGATAATAGAATGTCCAGCTGGCACGAGCAAACGAAGTGCAAATCCAGCACCCTTGTCTTCAGTAATCAACGAAGAATCTGTCTTTGAAATGAGAGGTACAAGGGATTTGATGCGATTTTTCAGTGTGCCATGCGCTACCATTATAATGGAACGGCTCTTGCTATCAACTCCCTGGAATGCGAGCCGAACAATTTCTTTGAGCTGTGACTCTCTGTTCACCCCTGAAGGCAGCGCGATTCGCAAGGCAGGTGGAAGCGTGGCCGGATTGTAGCTGAAAATGAGATCCGGTATAATCAGATCAGATTGCATTTGCAGTTCTTTCAGCGGTGGCAAAAAACGTAGAGCAGGTAGCTCAGACAAGTAACATGCATTGGCAAAAATGGCCAAGATTCCAGTTAGAGCATGAACTAGCTCAGCGCATGTTGTGTAGTCGAGTCGTCCCTGTGCAGAAACAAGGCTTTCGCTGATAACGTGTGCGCGAGGAAGAGAAATGCCAGTCTCACCACCGCTGTAGGGCGGAATTGCCCTTGCTGTCCCAGTTGGCCGAAGTTGGACAAGCCACCAGCGGTCACCATCCATGCTGCTGGTCGCCGCTGCAACCCATTGACGGTTCCAAAGCGGATGGGAGAAGAAAGCGGATCGCATTACACCCGGAGGGAACAGCTTACGGGGGTCAAGTCCAAGCACCCTCTGGCTCAGTGTCTCGAGGCCAAGCGCCTTGGTACCAGACTCAATTTCTTCCACCGCAGTAGTGCATCGAAGCCGAGAGACACGGGTTAGTATCTCTTCGAAGGATGATTTGTGGACTATCCGGTCATTGTCCAGGCGTTCGGGTACATTTGGTGTCACGCAGAGAATGATGGACCCTGACATCGGTTCAATGGAGACCCGAACAGATCGTGAGGCTGTGAGCTGAACATCAAGGTAACATTCGCCAGGTTCTGTCGATGATAGTTGAGCCTGCAGTGATAAAGTGTGTTTGGAGAAAAGCAAGTGCTTCTTCAGGGTGGTGAAGGCTGCCGAGAGAACGTGTGAGGAATGTAGTGCGACAACGCTTCTGAGGATACGCTCCATGGAAAGGTCATCCGTGTCAAATTGAATGGCATCACTGATAGCCAACTGGCCGTCTCGCATCCACCGGAACCCGAGGTGTGATGTCCCAGGCATCGAGTTGCTAGAATTGCTGCTGCGATGACCACTGTTAATTCCTATCTCCAGCCAACTCTTGGGTCCCGTTCTCTGGGACCAGTATTGAACCACAAGTGTTCGGTGTAGCAGTTCGATATGTAAGGCATCCGCCCAAAGACCGCGCGCAAGATCCGTGGCTTGTCTGAACAGAATGTTGATTTTGTTGGTGAGGACCAGACCATGCAAAAAGTTGAAGCATCCCATCAAACCGTCATTGCGGAGTATTTCGTTGATCTTGGCATCAAGCTCATTGAGAATCCGTCCCTCTGGAATGGGTGATGATGGCGAGAAAAGGAAGCGAATGTCCACAAAAAAGAACTGTGATATTGTTGAGACTTCTGCCACCGAAAGGTCAAGTTCAAATTCACCAGGAACTGTAAATGTGACCCGACCATCATGAACCCGATAATGTCGTAGTGCGTGCGGAACCGAATCGTGCAATGCCAGTCGCACGCTGATAATTCGATTGAGCTTGAGCAGCTTTTTAAGCGTTGCTCGTGCTGTCAGGGGTTTGAGGGGGCTGTACCCAAGCTGTAAAAAGGTCAGAGCTTGAAGCATTGTAAAACCACAGAGAAAACTCACATCTGGTAGAGATGTTACCTGGCCCTTGGATAGAACCAACAATGCCGTTTTCAGGTCTGGATTGGCGACTTGAGCTCGAACTAGATCTCGTTTCACTTCGCCGACATACTGAAGAGCTGCATCATATGATTGATGGCGCGTGCGAATAAAACCTTGTATGTCAATAAGCCTGCTTACATCGGCAGCCTGCCGACTCCACTGCGAGAGAACAAGGAGCTTAATAAACTCAGCCCTCTTAGCATGAGCAAAGTCCAAGAGTCGCAATTTTTTGTGAATATTTTCTGATGACTGATTCCCGGGTGCTTTTCCATTGGTTGCACCTGAGGCAGCTTGGTGAGGTACTTGAACCGCAGCCAGTTCAGTTATCAACTCAGAGAGTTCATTCCAGCATTGTTGCACCGATCGATTAACAAGTGTTCCAAATGGAAAAAACCCTTGGGTAATGTGAGTGAGTTCAAAGGGCGTCGTTGGCACGTTTCCCCCTGCCTTGCCTGCCAGTGAAGTTTGATTCGAGGCATCAACCGCGCCTGAAGTACCATTGACATGCGCTGATCCATTCATGGAGCTGGACATCTGAGCACTTTTATCAACGTTCCTCAAAGAGTTAGATCCGCCATTGCTGGCCTCATTGAGGCCTGGTCGCCGGACAGATCCATCGATGTTGACATTGTCCATGATGACACCGGGCATTTCTGTAAATACAGCCTGGCTGCTCGGTGACTCTCCTTGAAAGCTTCCCCCTCCTTGGCCCTATGCACGGCACAGAACAAGTGACCTAACACAGGCACTGTTCTGGGCTCGAACTGGTCGGCGCCGGGGTAGGAAGGGAAGCGAAGATCAAAGTAAAAGACACAGGAGAGTCCTCAGTCTATTGCCATGCGTATCACGGGCTGTGTAAATGGAGGGTCACGCTCATAATCGGGAGAGCTGGGCGCAAGGCTGAGGCTTTAGGTGGGCCTCCAACGGTCGGTCGAGGTTCGGACGGATATGCTTATAGGTCGCAATCGAAGTAGTAAGCTCCAGTGCAGAAATTTGAATTTATTCCGGTCTGACGGCGAGAGATGATGAGGGACGCGATTTAGATCCCTGAATATGCGTGACGATATAAAGAGAAACCGGATTTGTCGCAATGCGATGGAACAAAACAATGTAGAAAAAGAAGGGCAGAAAGGGTGAATGAAATTATCGAATGGAAGGTTCAGGGAAAGTATATTGAAGAAGAGAAAGAGCCCAGTGAGTACTGGGTCAAAAGGTCAACACTTGATGATTTAATGAAAGCGCGATGCGCTCTGCATGCAATGACTTACCGCCTTTGGTTTCTGCCTCGATGCCTGATAATGGAGAAGGTAGAGGTACATCCGGGTGACGCTTCTTTGCTAGGGCGTTTAGGTATCCAGTACTTTCCTCAGCATGTCCCTTGTACAACGGAGATGATCTGCTATCTCATGACCTCATCTCCTTTGACAACTTCCAAGATTGAGATCTACTTGCAATCCCGAATTGCCTTATACTGACTTTATACCAAAACCAAACTGATCTCGCAACCATCTATGTCTGAGTCTACTCACGTCTGACCATGAGTCTTGTCTGCCCCTACCAACCATGAGTATACCAGAGAATGAGTCGAGGCTTGCCCCCCAATATCCCGGCGATGATACTCGACCGACGAGCAGGAGGGAGCTTGCCGGTTGGTACTGCTATGGTTGGGCTGCAGAGGTATTTGTTGTCTGTGCCATGGGTACGTGTGCTTATAATCCATTGACCCTTTGAGGCCTCATCTAACCCAAGACAGGTTCATTTCTTCCGATAACTCTGGAGCAGATGGCCCGAGATCGGGGAGTCCTTCTGTCAGACAAAACGACACCGTGCAGCGCAACATGGAGTCCCTCCCTGCCACCGCCAGGATCGGATGTCCCGATATATCAGCTCCAGGGGTCAGATGGCGGCCAGTGCATCATTTATTTCCTCGGTGCTGAGATAAACACGGCAAGCTTTGCTTTGTATACCTTTTCACTGAGCGTTTTGGTCCAAGCTGTCCTGATTATCTCAATGTCAGGTGCCGCTGACCATGGAAGTTATCGCAAGACGCTTTTGGTTATCTTTGCTGTTATTGGCTCAATCGCTACGATGTTATTTTTGGTTGTTGTTCCCAAAGTTTACCTTCTGGGTGGCCTGCTTGCAATTATTTCGAATACTTGCTTTGGTGCATCCTTTGTTCTCCTCAACTCATTTTTGCCTGTTTTGGTCCGACACCACCCGTTATTGTTGGAAGAAGAAATTGAGGCAACGACATCTGGTGATTCTCAGGCACAATTTAGGGAATCCTCTATTTCTTCCTCGACTGGAAATATTGAAAGGGCACAAATGGATGATACCATGCCGCTACTACCGCCCGATAGGGTATCCGAGGCGACTATCACCACTATGACTTCCCTGGAGCTCAAACTTTCTACCAGAATCTCATCCAACGGCATTGGCATCGGATACATCGGTGCAGTGGTCTTGCAGATACTTTCCATATTGGTCGTGGTAGTCGTGCGTCCGCCAACGTTCTCGTTGCGTCTTGTTCTATTCCTAATCGGATTGTGGTGGTTCGTGTTCACCATACCGGTAGCGGTGTGGCTCCGCCCTCGTCCTGGTCCACCACTATTGGGAGGCGACGGTAAATCGCTTCATTCCTGGATCGGATACCTGGTGTACGCCTGGAAGTCTATTGGAAAAACCGCAATGCGGGCTCGCCACCTGAAAGACATCGCGATTTTCCTTGCTGCTTGGTTCCTTCTTAGCGATGGGATTGCAACTGTCAGTGGCACTGCGGTGCTGTTTGCAAAGACTCAATTAGATATGAAGCCGGCTGCCCTGGGACTGATCAATGTAATCGTTATGCTCGCGGGGGTATTTGGTGCATTCTCTTGGAGTTATGTCTCAACGTTCTTCAACCTCCGGGCATCACAGACGATCATCGCATGTATCATCTTATTCGAGCTCATTCCGCTCTATGGCCTTTTAGGGTTCATCCCAGCCGTGAAGCGCGCGGGGCTTGGTCTCCATCAACCCTGGGAGATGTACCCCCTCGGAGCAGTCTATGGACTTGTCATGGGTGGGCTCTCGTCCTACTGTCGAAGCTTTTTTGGTGAGCTCATTCCTCCGGGCTATGAAGCAGCCTTCTATGCGCTTTATGCCATTACCGACAAGGGATCAAGCATTTTTGGTCCTGCTATTGTCGGTGCCATTACCGATCGTTACGGTGAAATCCGACCAGCGTTTGCATTCCTAGCCGTACTTATCATTGTGCCACTACCGCTTATGCTTTTGGTGGATATTGACCGCGGAAAACGAGATGCCAAGGCATTGGGGGCTGAACTGGACGGCATACCAAAATCGTCTGGATATGGGTCTATACCTGGAGGTCCGGTTGAGGATGATGGGTTCGAATAGAACGAGAATGTCAACATGTGATGTGTAGAGAAATTGCTTCTGCTCTTTCTCAACTATTGGAGTATCCCGCAGAAGCAATTTGGGAATTATAGGTCTTAGCGGGAATGCATGAAATCTACATTATTAATCATATCGCCAAGAGTGTCGAGGCCACTTGTCAACATCTCAAGTCTCAAGTGTAACCCAATATAGAAAGGGATTGAGGGGGTTCTAGATGTGTGACAGGGAGGTTTATGGGTGTTCACGAAACAAGTGTTCTGTACCCGTTGTTGCCCCATAATTTAGCGCTGGGGCAGAAGTACCAAGTACCTGGCAGGAACACAAGGACCGCCCTTGTCACCCTGCATAGCCCAGTCATAGAGCTCCACTCTCAGCCTTAGTGAACAAACTGTCCTCAAGTTCATTCCCACCCCTCCCCTCGTTGATAAATCAAACATCTCCCCATTTCATTCCATCTCTCTTCAACCTCTCTGACGCAATATTGGTAAGCTCCATATTTTTCTTTCTTTCCCCTAGCTTCTAACCATTTCTCTAGCTTTGACCGAGCAATTGGGCTCTTGTTTTTTTCTGTTTGATTTACATACACGATGCGGTCTTTCGCCCCCCTGGTCCTGAGCCTCCTCGGAGCTACTGCGGCTGTCCACGCCGCCGATGCTGAGGCCGAAGCTACTGATGCCAATGCCAATGTCGTCACGCTAACAACGGACACCTTTGATGAGTTCGTCAAGGAGCATCCACTGGTGCTTGCTGAGTTCTACGCGCCCTGGTGCGGTCACTGCAAGTCTCTTGCCCCCAAGTACGAAGAGGCTGCAACCGAGCTGAAGTCCAAGGACATTCCCCTCGTCAAGGTGGACTGCACTGCGGAGGAGGAGCTGTGCCGAACCTACGAGGTTGATGGCTACCCTACACTCAAGGTGTTCCGTGGTGCCGACTCGCACAAGCCCTACGCTGGTGCCCGCAAGACTGACGCGTAAGCTACGTTAAATTCTTGGCTCTGGATGAGAAGCTGACGATGTATTTCTGCAATAGCATTGTTTCATACATGACCAAGCAGTCGATGCCTGCTGTCTCCAGCGTGAACGAAGACAATCTGGAAGAGTTCAAGGCTCTCGACAAGATCACCATTATCGGATACGTGGCCTCCGATGACAAGACCTCCAACAAGAGCTTCACTACCTTTGCCGAGTCGCAGCGCGACAACTACCTCTTCGCCGCCTCCAACGACGCTGCCCTCGCCAAGGCCGAGGGAGTCAAGCAGCCTTCCATCGTCCTTTACAAGGACTTCGATGAGAAGAAGGCCGTATACGATGGAAAGCTCGAAGATGAGGCCATTCTGGAATGGGTCAAGACCGCCAGCACTCCTCTTGTTGGCGAACTCGGCCCCGAGACTTACTCGAAGTACATGGCGGTTCGTCCACTCTCTGCACAGTTGCTATTATAGATCAATGAATTGACTTGAAAATCACCAGGCCGGTATCCCCTTGGCTTACATTTTCGCCGAGACTCCCGAAGAGCGTGAGAAGTTTGCTGAGGAGTTCCGTCCCATCGCTGAAAAGCACCGCGGAGACATCAACATTGTCACCCTCGACGCCAAGCTGTTTGGTGCCCACGCCGGCAACCTCAACCTTGAGCCCGAGAACTTCCCCGCCTTCGCTATCCAGGAAACCGCCAAGAACGCCAAGTACCCTTACGACCAGACCAAGAAGCTCGAGGTCAAGGAGGTTGCCAAGTTCATCAAGAATGTCCTTGACGGCAAGGTCGAGCCTAGCATCAAGTCCGAGCCCATCCCCGAGACTCAGGAGGGATCTGTCACCGTTGTCGTTGGCCGCAACTACAAGGATGTCGTCATTGACAACGAGAAGGATGTCCTTGTCGAGTTCTACGCTCCTTGGTGCGGACATTGCAAGGCGTAAGTTAATCTGTATCCCATTAGTTTGACATGTCTAACCGAATTCTTTCCAGTCTTGCTCCTAAGTACGACGAGCTCGCCGCTTTGTACGCTGATGTTCCTGAGCTGAACGAGAAGGTCACCATTGCCAAGATTGATGCCACTGCCAATGATGTGCCTGACTCCATCACTGGATTCCCCACCATTAAGATCTACCCCGCTGGTGCCAAGGACGCTCCCATTGAGTACGCTGGCTCCCGTACCGTTGAGGATCTCGTCTCCTTCATCAAGGAGAACGGCAAGTACCAGGTTGACGGTCTTGCTGACGGTGCCAAGAAGCCCGAGCAGGATGGCGAGGTCACCTCATCTGCCGCCAAGGCCGCTGAGACTGCTTCCGATGAGGAGGGTCACGATGAGCTGTAAACGTGAAGCTTGAACTTGTATCCCACCTATTGTATTCTCTATCCAAATTTGATATCTGTTCGAATGCTTTATGTGATAGTAGCTGCTAGAGTTCGAGATAAATTGTAAACGAGCCGAGGTTGATGAAGATCGGAGTATCGATCAGCTCTTGGCACTTGAGCCTCAAGACGCGTTGCGCGGAACGCGTCGATCCCTTATCGCTCCCGCCTCACGTCTTCTTGGCTTCTGGGGAACTTATTCATCTTCTCCTCTCCCCCTTCCCCTTTCCCCCTTCTTACAACACTTCATCATGGGCAGCCCTGGGCTCAAACGGAAATCGGAGCATGTCTCCGCCCCAGATTCGAAAAAGCCCAAAGGCGGCAGCATTACTGCTTTCTTCGGAGCTCCAAAGCCCAAACCTCCAAGCACACAATCGACTAATGGGACCCCGGCTGCAGCCCCACGACAAAGCACTTTCAACAAGGACAAATGGGTAGCGTCATTGACGCCCGAACAAAAAGAGCTCCTGCAATTGGAGATCGATACTTTGGATGACAGCTGGCTAGCTCATTTGAAGGATGAGGTCGTGACCACAGAGTTCCTTAACTTGAAGCGATTTCTCAAAAAGGAGAAGGACACTAATGTCAAGGTCTTCCCACCAGAGGAAGACATCTACTCCTGGTAAATCCACTCGTGGTGGCAAGTGTTTGCCATGTGCTGACCAGACTGCAGGTCCCGCCACACGCCTTTGCACACCGTCAAAGTGGTCATTATTGGCCAGGATCCCTATCACAATCATAACCAAGCCCATGGCTTGTGCTTCTCCGTCCGAGCCCCTGTTCGAGCCCCCCCATCGCTGGTCAATATCTACAAAGGCATCAAAGTCGACTATCCTGACTTTGAAGCACCACCTGATAAAGGTGGGCTTCTCACGCCTTGGGCCGAGCGTGGCATTTTAATGCTCAACACATGCCTTACTGTTCGTGCCCACCAAGCCAACAGTCATTCCAACAAGGGATGGGAGAGGTTCACACAGAAAATCATTGATCTTGTTGCTCGGGTTCGAACTAATGGGGTAGTTTTCCTTGCTTGGGGGAGACCTGCTGGAATGCGAGTCGCCAAAGTCAACAAAGAGAAGCATTGTATCTTACAATCCGTGCATCCCAGTCCGCTGAGTGCGCACCATGGCTTTGTGAGTAGATCCAATTCTCAAGTCTCGGGACTTTGCTTGCTAATCACTTTGTATAGTTCCAAAACGGACATTTCAAGAAATGCAATGATTGGCTTGCTACTCGGTATGGTGAAGACGGAATCATTGACTGGAGCTTAGTACCGACCAAAAAAGTCTCCTTGGCTCCAACTTGTAATTCAGACAAGGAGAATTCGGCCACCTTGGTTAACAAGACTGCCGCCGAGCCTCAGTCTGCAAAAGTTGAGGTCAAGGCTAAACCGGCTCAGGTTGATGAATTTGACGATGATGATGCCATCGAGGCTATGGTTGCAGCTGAAGCAGATTGTCCTGCCTCAGATCCGGTTTAGATCTTATTTGTGTCATTTTTGCTGGATTATTTGCATATAGGCTGGCTTCTCGGGTTTTCTTGGAGAGGAGTGTTGGAGTTGGAAGGTTGCATATGGGCTACAATCCCAATTTCTGCACTGCTTCCTTGAATCATAGATCAATTGCAATCTCCTTTTTCTCTATATTGAATTAATTTGATGGCGAAGAATTCCCTATACTTCGTAGAACCAACGAGGCTTGGCAATTTCTTATCGATAAAGTTATCGCAACCTCCGCGTTCAACTTCTTTCTCTCTAATTGTGTGATCTTGGCCTCATGGAACTCACCTGGCTCCCAGATATTCCTCAGTCGCGAAGTCGTACTCGAGCTTTGCGTGCCTGTCCTCAATGCCAGCGATCAAAGGTGCGTCCACGACCATGTGCAGCAAATCGAGAAGCTAACGAAACAGAAACGATGCCGACATCTAAATCCGGAGGGGGAGCCCTTTAATAATAATGTTTCGATTAGCCGGAATCTGTCTAAACCAAATGACATTGCCGCCCGAACGACTCGCCGAGATGGTTCGAATCGCTGCCGACCTTACTCGACCGCAAGCATAGACCGACCGCGGGCAGCGTCTGATGGACCAAGCTTATCGGCTCCCACTGCCGAGCGATTTGTGGGAGATCTCAATCCAGAATCTGTCATTCGTGAGAGGCTGGATGAGACTGGAAATCCTTTGCGGGATCGTATCGGACTCTGGATCAGCTCGCCCGCTGCACAAAAGTCCAAGGCCGAGAGATTACGAGGAACACTCACTGATGAAGACTCTACCTCTATCTCGTCGATAACAGCCAAAGGTAGCGAAGCCGCTGTAGCGTCGCTCCACGAACGATTTGCTGCGGGTCTACAAGCATGTGAACGTCTGCCCTTGGCGACCAAAGAACCCTTGGCTGCTATCTATTTCTCCAAGGTCAATCATATTGTGCCGATACTAGACCATGATTTATTTGTCCGATCACAGACCGATGGCTCGAGTTCTGTGTTCCTCGAGAAAGCCATCTGTCTCACAGCAGCCAAGACCCATGGCGCTCGTTCTTACTTGCGTCTTGTGCCAAAAGGCCCGGTGCTCTCATCGCGTCAATTCTGCTCCGAAATCTATAATGAGCTTGTGGTGGCCATGGATGCAGGACTAGAGTCAGATCGATTGACCCGAATTCGGGTGCTAGCATTGATGTCATTTCACTGTGAAGGGTACGAAGGCGCCGAGGCAGCATCTCTATACCTCTGCCAAGCCATTCACCAAGCCCAGACTGTAGGGCTGCATCTGGGCAGGCCAAACCAGACATCCACAGACCCCCTGACCAAACTTTTCTGGTGTCTTTGGACGCTGGACAAGATGCATGCAAGTATCGGTGGCCGGCCGGTTCTCCTGGCAGACCGTGATATTGGCGTCGTGAAACCTGATGTCAATGCTCAGAGATCTCGAGGCGCATTCGAGGTATGGCTTGCTGTATCAGATCTGCTAGCAACTGTGATATCATACTACCGACCCTCCGCAGACCCTTCCAGTGGGTGGGAAGAGGGATTCCCCGCCTTTGAAGACATCGTTGGGGAGGATGCCCAGGAGGACCTGGACTATGCTACACTAGGTACGCTGCCAATGGCATTCATGTCGTGAACATCCAGCTCATTCCGGACAGGCTTCTTGGAACTCTATTACCATTCCGTCGCTATCCTTTCATGTCGACACAAACTAGCAGAAAACATAGATGGCACCAGACTCTCAACGGTCCGGCAAGGCCTATCGGCCGTGCGCATCCACTCCATCGTCGCATCAGAGTGCGCAGATGACCTCCCACCTCTACCAATCGTTCCATATTCAATCAGCCTCTCAATGGGTGTCTCCTATCGCCAACTCCGTTCAAGCCGGCTGATCACACACCTCGACCGCGCCAAAGCCAGTCTAGAAGCTTGCTGCTGTCTACTCGAAAATCTCAGTCCATACTGGTATTCCGCGGAAGCAATGGGGCGGCTTGGACATAAAGCCCTACAGCAAATCGGGAGCCAGCCACAGCCGTCTTCTCGGGATACCATGCAGCAACGGCAAAAGATAGAGTCCGCGCCCAAACCAACCACTGCTAGCACAGCAGTGGCAGAGGGTCTAGAACAAGTGAACTTCGTGCCCAGCGGTAATGAGCAAAACCAAGCCAGGGCACACCAACCCACCTACGATCTACCGGTCGATCCCTCAGCCCCGGAAACAGGAATCGAAATACTCCAACCCCAACTCGGCGAACTAGATGGGTCATCTTTGCAAGACGGATTCGCCGATATCGACATGCTATTCGGAGAATTCTTGGATCTTTCTCTGCCTACCAACTTCTGGGATCCTATCTTTATGGAGCAAGGACAAACAGGAGAAGAAGGACAGACGGGGTGATCCGCAATCATAATCATCATCATTATAAATATGTACTGTATATAAAAAGGAAAAAGAAACTGTACATGATGTAGCATAAATTTTAGTACCAGGCGATTCCTTCGCCTTTGCAATTTCCCGTAGGCAAAAAGCAAGTTCTGGTCAAAAAAAAAACAAAACCAGGATCATTTGACCATTCTATTCCGAGACTCCTGCAGTCTCAGCCTTGGACATGTGATTCTCAGCCAGATGGGCAAAATCAACCGCTTTGGGCTCAGTATCAAAGCCCGGAATGGCGACGTTATCAACGCTGAACCCGAACGCCTTCTCCTCTGGCTCATTGTTTTGCGCGTCATCAGCCGCGAAGAAATCGGTATTGCTCGCCTCGTCGAAGTTGATCAACGCGTCAAAGTCATTCTGAGTGACCTCGGCGTCATTGGCAAGGTCCATCAATTCAGTAAGACTCATTTCAGACGGCATGGTGAAAGCATCCTTGGTGCTAAGATTCGGGTTGAGGTTATTCGTGCTGCCATTCTCGCTTTCATCCGAATGCGGTGGTGTAGAGGCGAACAGATCGCCGGTAGACCGTCCGCCCGCGGAAGGTCCGGTGTGGTTTGGATAGGTGAGATCGGGAATCTTCTGGGCGAGCGAGTCTGGAGGTGGTGTGAGGGTGTTGAGGCGGGAGGGAGTTGCGCCGAAGGGATCCGCGGTGGCAGGATTGGATTTGCGCGGACGGGAATGGCGAGAGGACTGGACGTCTTGTGGGGAGACGGTGAGCTGGATGCCTGCTTTGCGGATTGCGGCTTCGAGAAAGGAGGTGGCGAAGTCGGCGGAGGCGTAGATCTCGCGCAGGCGCTGGAGGATGCGCATGCACTGGTAGAAGCGTTGGAGGCTGGTCATGCGGATGCTGGGGTCGCTGGACTTGATGTCGAGGAGGTGGATGATGACTGCGGGGAGGAGGACAGTGACTCCGGTTGTGGGATAGTACCGGGTCAAGTCCAGGCAGTGCAGGTCCTGGGCGATTGCGGTGATCTCGACAGCGGCGGAACGGACCTTGTTGCGGGACATGTCTTGGAGTTCGGCATCTGTGGAAGGGTAAGGGATGGCTGGGAGGACTTGTGGGCGGTGCAGAGCGCTTGATGTGGTGAGGTAGACCATCTTGAGCAGGGCGCGGTGTGAGTGCAGTACTTCGTCTGCTTCGGGCAGCTTGGAGCTGTTGGATGCAGTGTACTGAGTTTCAATGGGGAGATTGGCCAGCCAGTCCTCCAGTTCCTGGTCACAGCGACGGACCTCAAAGGTCTCTGCGGTGGACTTCTTCGGAACGAGCATCATGGTAGTCTCCATGGTACCGCCGAATTTGTGGCTCAAGACAGAATACTGAGCAGACAACACATGGCTGACGCAGAGACACAGCTTGGCCTTTTCAATAAACATCAACGCAAGCTCGCGCTGATGGGCGACATTCTGGAGAATCTCCGAGTTGCCAACCATAGCCACGATCTCGGGAGAGAAAGGATGGAATTCAAAGTCGTCAAGGGTGAGCATGGGCACATCACAATCATCATCCTTGACACGCATCGGTCGGCGCATGCCCAACGCAATCAATCGATCACGAGTATAGGTACTCCACCAGATGCGTTTCCACATCCGCTGGCGGCGCACATCCATCCGCGAGTTGCCGGGGTCCCGGTGCAAGCCGATGGTGTGGGCCAAAGATAAACTGACACCCATCCAATGCCAGGTGTCCTTCTGGTCATCGGGAGTCTCGTACCAGTAAGTCATGAGCAAAAGTGATTGGACTAACGAGATGCGGTCCACCTCGTAGTCAAAGTCATACAGGAGCCGGGCACGCTGGAAGAAAACCTTCCGTGCGGCCTTGCGGGTCTGGTAGCCAGCAGCCTGTAGATGCTTCATATCAATGAAGGCTACACCGGCAAACATGACTGCCTGGAAGAGCAGCAGACTGATGCGGTGGATGCCATCGTTCTGGACGATGGTCTGCAAGAACTCTTCCAAGTCGAGCAAAGGCATATACGTATGCACATAGTGAATATAGCTCTTAATCAGCTCGTTGCGGAGTGTCGCGTCTGGGATGGTAAGAGCGCCTTTAATGGCCAGGTAGTCAATATCATCTTTCTGGAGTCGTCCGGGGAGTCCTCGAATGTAGTCCGGGAGGAAGCTGGCTCGGGCATTGCCAAAATTGGGATCTAAGAGCTGTTGTATTTGAGTGGTGACGTTGGCTAGCGGCATTGAGGCGGGAACTGCAGGATTGGGGGCCATGCGGCGTTGATGCCGGCCATCGGAACCGATGCGCTGGGCCTGTGTTTGATCTGGAGCATCAATTAGCCGGAGATTTTCCCCCGTCGAGCTGTCAATACGAACAGAGCAGATGCGGCATATGTTGGCCTTGGTCTAAGTCTACCGAAGCCTGCGAGGGCGACGTAGGGACCATATCGGCCAACCCTGATAGATCACTAAGGCGGCCATGGAAAGGATTCTCTTCCGAAGCTTCACCTGGCGATTCAGAATGGTGGTTGTCTGCTTCGACGCGAGATTTTCTAGGCATCTGTCAGCCACTGGATTGAAGCTGTCTCCATATTCACCTACCTTCTCCGTTTGCTCTCCGTCACCACACACTCGACCTGATCTAAGCGGCAATTGGTGCAGGGAGAGCCATTCTCTACCACGTCACAGCGGACCTTGCGGGCACGGCAACAGCAGCAAGCCTTGGAGGCTCGTCTCTTCACGGGACGGTTATTCCCAGCAAGGCCGGAGGCCTTGCGTTTCCCAGATTCGGTATCGGTCATTGTCGCAATGGCAGTATAGTGAATTGGGGACACATTCGAATTTACACCGTATATACTAGCACGTGAGAACACGAAGGTCGAGCAGATCCAGACGATCGAAGAAAAAGAAAAAGAAACGAAACGAGAAAAGGGAAGAGTGGAGAGGAAGAGTGGAGAGTGGAAATCTATCAAAACCTCAGGCGCGAAGGGCCGGGGGAACATTCACCTTTAAGTAAAGAAAGGCACAATGCCCCAGGTCCGAGAACCAAGGTTTGGGACGATCAAGGGTTACGGGGAAATAAATAAATTACACCGCGGATTTGCTTTCCCCACACGCCTCCACTCATTTTCTGTAAGTGCGTCACTTTCCTCATTTGCCTCCCGAACTGGTTTAGTCCCGTGCCGTATACCGTCCCTCGGCCCGGTCACGTTGCAGTTCTTCTGTTGGGCGTTTTAGTGTGTTTTAGGGTCTTTTTTTTTCTTCTGCCTGTTGATTGCACGTGCGTGGATCGTCCTCATGTGAAAATGATTCATAGGGTCCAGTCGGCTCTATACCAGCCAAATCTGTATTAAAGTATAAACACGAACCCTGCCTTTTTGATTCTTTCCCTTTCTTGAGCAAGGTTTTATGATTGCTAATTAATGCACAAAAATCCCAGAGTGGACCGTGTGAAATCCGAAATACGCCGAAATAAAAAAATGCGTGACGATCCTAGGAATTGAGCGGGTCTGTGAATCAGGGGATTCGCAAGCCTGGATTCTTCAACTAGTGTTTTGGTTTCGTAATTATGTGCTAGTGACTATTTCGTTATTGCAGACAGGACATGAACTCCCCTATACATGTACCGATATGAAGATCAAGGTGAAGTATTGAGGGATATAAACCCATAGGATGCAACCATTAATAATACGAAGTCGAGGCCTTCCAAGGTCCGCCTTCTAGGCTACTTGGAAGGATCCAGTCAGAAGACGTGTAAATCTCTAAAGGGATCCTCTCCACAGCCCCGGAATTCCGGAGTTCCAATGTGCTCCCCTGAGTTATATCCCGCACTTGACGGCCCGATTCAGGTAACGTCCGATACTCGGAGGAATCAAAGTTCACAAACCGCATCATTATAAGTAACTGCGGCCAGATACATAACTAATGTCGTTACTCTCGCGGTCCTTGCACAGTGGGACTCTTGAAGTCATCACCTGAAAATGGAGGATTCTCTTACTCCGTACTGGAGCAAGTGTGGGACTCCAATCATGGCCGTGGCAAAGGTAAGTCTGTATTTCCAATACATCCCCCGGCCTCTTCCGCCCCAGAAATCTCAGCGAATCACCAGAGTCTGGGGTAGACGGCATTCTGGCTTTTGAACTTCCGTTGCCGAGCCTACTTCCGAGTCGGAGTTGACTTCGGAAACCCGGATGACGCTTTAGGCATACTTGCACTGGACACTGTCAGAGCACAACATTGACATTTTGACACCTAGATACCTGACCCCTACAGGTAGAAACGTAGAAACCGGATTATGCATATGCAAACAAAACTGTCATGTCTATCTCCACTGTCAAACTAAACTAAAGAATTGTACCCCCACTCCACTTGCACTGTATGAGCATTAGCAACCGGAAGAGAAATGACTCAAAGCCACAATCGAGGCTGGATTAGGCGGGCTGAATCACGTCTTACGTTCCCCGGCAAGTTTGACCCCACGTTTTCTCAGATCGGGGTGAATGCCGAGACCTGGGGACAAAGGCGAACGGAGAATCCCCACTCGATCAAAGCTGCCACATCGTGTCAGCTTATCAGGATGGAGTGGCGGTTGAACCTCTGGAGGGGTCAAGGCGCTCAATGAGGGGCAGAGATGTAGTCCACGGATATCTTTGGACTAAGACTCTTGCGCGAATAAAAACGATCGACTTGCAGAAACGTTTCAACTTGAATTTTTTTTTTTTTTGTAGGCGCGTGACCCGGAGCATCTGGCCCAATTAGGCAGTCTTGGCGTGGATGTCGGCACCGGAGCGAGTCCGGTTTCGGTGGAACATACCCCGGTTTCTAACTGTGCATTGTAGTCCTTGCTTCTTAGTCGAGGTATGTTGGCTGCACATGACATGACACTGAGTATGGATATCAAATCGAAAAATCGCTACATCATTCATACCACTGTACAATAATTCATTTCATGATGACCAACCAGAACTGACCAAATCATAGACATAAACATAAAATCATAACCAAGTGCCCGAACTATCAATTTGCACAGAGGGGAATCAAGACCTGGAATCATCCAAGAAATGGAAAACAACACCAATCCGATTAACTTCTAATCCGGGTCTAAGCACCACCACGACCCATCCTCTCAATAGAACCCATGATTCCACGCCCCGGGGTTGGCATCGCGATGCCAGACTTGCCACCACTGGTGCCGCGAGAATGTCCTCCGGGAGCACCAAATCTTGGAATTCGTTTTTCTGCAGTAGCAGGTGGGCGGATGCTGCCAGACATAGAGCGGCTGACACTGCGATTGAACTCATCCGGTGTGACCTCACGAGAAGGTTGGCGCTGGTCTTCCAATGAGTCATGGTGCACAGAAGAAGCAACAGAAGCCTCGCGGCTTCGAGGGGCGGGAGCCTGTTGCATAGCCAACCACTCGTCAACGGCAGCAACGAGCTCGCCCTTCTCGGCACGTTCAGTCTTCAGGTCTGCGCGGATACGCTCAGTATCCTCCTTGAGAGCAGCCATTTCCTGCTGCAGACCCTTGATTTGAGCCTCCATGACATGCTTTTCGGCCTCGTGCTCCTCGTTCTCATGGGCAAATTGGCTAGTGTTGGCTGCCGCCATGGATTCGGAGTGTGCATTGTCACGCTCGGCCCGGAGATGCTCATTCTCCTCGCGGGAAGCAGTGAGCTTCTTCTCCACCTCACGCAGGCGTTTCTCCCAGCGAGACTCATAGCTCTTCTTTAGGGCTGCGACCTTGGTTTCGTGCTTGCCCTTGTAAAGCGTGTGCAGTTCTCGGGCAACCTTTTCAACGGCATCCTGGACTTCCCGGGCGGTATCTTCAGCGGAGTTGGAGGATTGTTCAGAAGCACTAGTTTTGGCAGAGCTGGAAAGGCAAGATGCGCGTACAGCAGACAGTTGGCTTTCAAGCTCAACAATCTTGCGCTCTAGCCTCTCTTTGCTCTTTTCAGCCTCTTCAGCCTTCTTAGTCAGACGTTCTCGCTCACGCTCGCCGTCATTCAACTCAGATTGGACTGATCGCAGCACACTTTCCATCTCCTTGGCTTGACGGCCCCACTCAGCTTGCTCCATCTCGAGCGCTTCTTTGTTCGCGGCTTCATGGCGGATCTCTTCCAGTGCCTCGCCAACACGACACTCAGCGTCTGTCACTGCTGTCTTCAGGCTAGCGACCTCGGCCTCTTTGCCGCTAAGAGTAGCTTTGAGTGATGAAATCTCAGACATGAAACCAGACTTTAGTGACTCCAATTCACGGGGAGTGACCGTGGGAATGGATCGAGGAGTAGGCGCCGGCAGGATATCAAAGTCTAATAGAGACATCTTTCCAGGCGATCTAATGGACTGGCGGGCAGGCCGCAATGGCGAGCGCCGCGAGGGAGAGAAGCGAGCATTCTCCATGGATTGGCGAGGATGGAAGTTCATCTGATCGGTAAAATCAAGCAAATTGGCCGAGTCAACGGGATTTGGCATATCCCGAGACATTTTGCGCCTGGGTGTGGGTGACCCAGTGGGTGAGTTTTCATCGAGGTAGGCGCTAGCTCTGTATGCTCGGCGTGCTGTGCTGGGGGGGCTTGGTTCGTTACGTCGGTAATCATCCCTGCCATGAGCTGGACTGGGTGCGACGCTGCCTCGCACTGACTTCATTGGTGACCCGGCGCGGAGCTTTGCGAAGGTTGTCATGTCTGGCACGGCAGAAAAGGTGCTCAAGCAAGTATCATTCATTGAGTCATCCACCATAGAGTGCTCGTTTGTATCGTGACCGCCCTTTTCTTTGTCGCCATCTCCGTGAAGGACTGTGCTCATGCCTTCGTTCTGTTTGTCTTCCATCATGCTGTTTCCAATGGCTGATCGGTCATGAATAGCACTACCAGCAGATAACATGCTGTCGTTGTGGATGACACTAGACTCCTCTTCAGCATCAATATGAATCTCCGGCGCATCTGATACATCTGACCGGCTAGTCATGCCTTTCTTGCAGCGCTCATTCATCTGCAAATTATCTTCCTGATCCTGGGGTGTTTGGTCGTAAGTTCTTTTGCGAGGTGTTGCTGTACTCGAGCTCGCGAGGGATGCGCGAGAAAGTTGGCGCGGTTTCTGGATCTCAAGGGTGTTCTCCTTGGAGGCTCTTCTCAATTGTGAGCGAGGGGCCACAGGTGAAGAATGCTTCGAGGCTGCGGGTGACTCTCGTCGGCTATGTAATTTTGGAGACTCGGTGACCTCTTGGGTTACTAGACGACGTGGTGAACTTGGTGCTACTGCAGGTGAAGAGTGCTTAGGAACAGCCGGGGGCTCCCCCTGCATCTCATGTGGACTATGCAAGCCAACAAATTCCTTCTCTTCGGTCCGAAGCGGTGAACTTGGTACAACAGCAGGTGAAGAATGCGGAGAGACGGCTGGCGCTTCTAGTTTTATCTCATCTTCCGGTAAAACAGGTGCCTCTTCTCTTGCTACAGGGCGTAAGGGAGAGCTTTCAACATCGTCAATTGGCTGGGTCAACCGCGGCTGCTCAAGTGTTGGCGACGAGTTCTGCATTTCGCGCAAACGGCTAAAATCAACCATCTCGTCCCGCGCATCAGGACGGAACGGAGAGCTGGCCGGGTCTTCCAAAGCCAGCCGCTTTCCTAGTCCAGGCGACATTGGCTCCGCTTCCCGTAGCTTTTGGAAATCCACTGTCTCTTCGCGTGCATGAGGGCGGAACGGAGAGCTTGCGGGGCTCTCTTCTCCCAATGGCTCAAGGCACGGTCGCGATAGGGGCGACTCCTGCTGTGTCTGGCGCAGCCTTCGGAAATCGACTGTCTCATCTCTAGCATCGGGGCGGAATGGTGAACTCTCCGGGTCCTCTAGGGCTAGCCGTTTGTCCAAGCCAGGTGACATCGGGTGCGCCTCACGTAGATCTTGGAAATCCAGAGTGTAGTCTGTAGCTGTGGGTCGGAATGGGGAGCTTCCAGGGCTCTCTTCCTCTAACGGAACAAGTTGCGGACGCGCAAGCGGGGACGCTTGTCGCATTTGGCGCATCCTCTGAAAATCCACAGTATCTTCGCGCGCATCAGGCTGAAACGGTGAACTTCCAGCATTTTGGTAGGACTCAGTGTCGTTGAAATCGTCATTCTCGTGTTCATTTGCCATTTCGGGCTCGTTAGGGTAGTATTTCTCGTTTTCGTCGTAAGGGTTCGGGCTCGGCTCCGCGTAGTGTGACCATTCCCTCTTAAGTGGACTTGATGGAATTGCAGACTCGGCCAGAGCATCAACGGTCTTGTGAAGGAAAGGCGAAGAGCCCATTGGAGACTGCGCGCGCGCGTTCTGGTAGGAGGATGAGAGCGGTGCAAGAGGATTTGACATTGTGGAAACAATGTCGATAGAATGTGTAAATGAAAAGTGTGGTAACAAAGACTTCCCTAGCCACTGTGTTAGCACAGCTTCCAGACTTGAGTGGAAGAGTCAAGGTTGAGCGGCAAGATTTGTGTATATCTGAGTTGCCGTGTTGACGTTGCTGCGTAAACAAAGCTAGTCCTAATTTGGAAGTGCATTCACTACGGTGCCTTACTCTAACCCTAACGCCTTGTAATAATTCTATGCACTTTTGTAGTAAGGAGTTAGGTTTAATTGGAAATACGGTGTAGATAGTTCTTTTTGGAGAACACTATTGTCGTTTTGTCTTCCAAATTCCAATTTACAAATTTCCGTTGCTGATGTTCAAATATATAACTTAGTCCTCTGCAACACCTATAGAGGACACAGACACACTACATCCTAGTCAATGATATAACACAACCTGAAGACACACAAAGTAATAGTAACATATGAAAGGCACTCATTTGTAAAAGTCTCATTCTAAACCCCAAAACCCAAACCCCATGTAGTACAACCGCTCAATGCGCCAAATGCTTCTGACTGATAAAAAAACACCCAGGCCCTAAATTCCCACATACTTCCCCATAATCTGTAAATTGACTGCTCAAATGTCTCTGTCATCATGGGACAAAGTTTCTGAATAACCGTCATCACATTCACCATTGTCATCGTTCACAATGATATGAACAATTTCGTCATGTGGATGCTCCGAAACCTGATCATAATGGAAAGGTGTCGCATGGTGCACAGTTGCCCAGACATGCTTATTGCGCTGAATGAACCACAACTGCAAGGCACCAAGCAAAGCAACAAGACTGCTACCCCACCAGGCAATGGCTGTACAGCCAATTTCAGCTCCAGCGCTGTAAAGGAAACCAGCAATTGGAGGAGCCAGAGTCCGAGATGCGGCACCAGCGGAAGCAGTCAGGCCATTGATTTTGCCCATGACGGAGCCAGAAGGACTGGATTGTTTGATAAGGATCAAAAGAACAGGATAGTCGATGATTGAAAGAGCATTGCGAACAATCAAGCAGGCGTAGATTCCGATGTAGACCGATTGACCGGGCAGGAACACCAGGAACGGGACCATGAAGTATGCAATTGGATGGAGAATTGTGACAACGACGAATAGTCGCCAGATTCCCAAGTAATGTGCCAGCAGGGGGAATATGACGCTTTGAATGACGAGAGCGATAATGCCATCAGTGGACATGATAACACCCACTGTCCGAGTCGAAAGACCCACTCCACCTGGAATATCGAAGAACCCATGAGACAAAGTGGAAAGACCTCGCGTGTTCTTATCCTGTAAGAAAATAGGGAGCAGGTGATCGTATGTCATGGAGTGATAGGTGAAAATAGCCAACGCCACGACCAGCATCGTGACTTTCCACGTAAAAGCTTTAGGTTCGGGCAGCCTTTTCCAGGTAGGCGATGAACCATCAGCTTGCACATTCCAACTCTCTTCATGGAGATGAACTTGATTGAATGTCCCGTAAGACTCCGCTCGAAGATCCACGCCGGCATTGGCAGTAGCTCCAGACGTAGCTAGAAGAGGCTGTTCAATCGGGTGTTCGAAATACCCACGTGCATCGCTGCCAGGTTGCATATCCGGATGAGTCTCCTGCAAGAACAGCCAGCTACCTATTATGCTAAGGAGAAGTAGAAAAGAGCAAACAAGGTTAGGCAGGAGGTAGGGAAATTTCCCGAAAAGACCGTCGGCGGGGAACAAGGATGGGAATCCTTCAGAGGGTTTTGCAAGCAAACCACCAATGGCTGCAGTGATTTAGTAGGTAATCGAATTGGTCTCATGGAATAATATGCATACCTGGACCGATAATTGTTCCTATTGACCAGACAAAAGGCATGATAGCATATGCTCGAGCTGCATGACATACAAAATTAATACATAATACGTCTGGTGGGAGGACAGAAACCTTACGTTCATGTTCAGGTCGTTTGACCAGTTCACCAACCATCGTCTGAATGACTCCGATGTTCCCGTTGAGGGCACCACCAAGGGCTCGACCAGCGAGAGCAACCCAGAAGTTGGGAGCCAGCCCAACTAGAATCAAAGAAGCCAAGGTGCCAAAGCAACCAGAGAGAAGAACAGGTTTCCGGCCAAGCCGATCCGAGAGGGCACCCCAGAACATACCAGTAAGAGCCTCGGCCAGCGAGAAAGCCGAGATCAAAATGCCAGCGTAGAAGGATGCATTTTCGCCATCAGCCATGTGGAAGTCCTTGACCATCACCCACGAGTAGGGAAAGATGGAGGTCAAGGCGATAGGCTCTGCAACGCGACATATTGCTGGTTTTATGTCAGTTAATGTTATAACACAAGGAAGGGATAGGACTTACCGAGGAGGAAGAGCTGTGTGGTGGGAAAGCTATCGTCGGGCGAGATAGGAGATCTTGCTTGCTGTGTCAATGCCATAGTCCTCCAGAAGTAGCTAAGGTCTTACGGCTATCCACCCCCGCAGTGTCACTTTAAGTTTTTTTTTCCTTGCACTGCGATGTTGGACCCGAGCGTTGAAGCAGGTTGAAGTAGGGCTGATTCTTTTGTTGAGACTCTTTATATCTTCAGAATAGATGATAAAGTGTAATATGAGTCTGTGAGAGGAGAGGGGAAAAAAGGAAGAGTCTTTCCAGGGTTCATTTTTCATTACTCAAAGCCAAGCACGGGACCTGAACCCTAACCGGGGTAAGTTACTCAATCTCTACTTACATGTATACTTCTATTTTGGCATTGATATTTATTGCTATAGATATTCACTTGAAAGCACATATTCTCTTCTCATTGCATCCTGATATATCTATTTGTTCATTCACAGAGTTGGAGTTGTTCATTTGACTTGGTATGTACCGGGTCAGGGCACGGAGCCACTGAAAAGTCTTCGGGTGGCGAGCCGTGCCTGTAACCCGGATGTCACACCCAACCTATCATATATTTCTAGGTAAGTAATTGGATATTCAATCGATCAGATCAGTATTTCCCCAGATAATGTCTTCTCCACTGAGGCGTTGAACTACTTTCTTAAGCCCTTATCGACCAATCAGAGCGCCCCAAAGTATACACCAAATGCTAGTCTCACCCCGCAGATCAGCGTACATGTATGCATTGTGGACTGATAATTCATATAAACTTGTATTGTAGACCTCAAAGCTAAAAGCAAAGGATTTCTATGGAGAAAATAAGAAACGATGCTATGGAGGAAGCTCGCCATGACAAGATACGAGAAACAACATAAGAAAACAACAATAATTGCCTTCACCAGTCACAACCAATTCCCTGCGCCGGCTAATCCATACGAGCCATGCGGTTCGGATTGCATTTAGATAAGAACAAGAAGAAGAAAACGAAAGACAAGTGCTTCAGGTAGCCTCCGGATGAGTCGACGAATTTGTGATCTCAATAGAGCGAGTCTCAAGTTCCTTGGAATGTATATCGGCATGGTCATCCTCAGTCTCCGTACGCGACTCAACAGCAGGTGCCTTTTCAGGGCTTGCGTCTGTTGGGGGCTGATGAACCGAGGGAGCTGCACTCGAAGAGGATCCCTCTGCCTGCGGCTTGTTCGCGGTATCCTCCACGTGCTCCGCAGATTCATCCACCTTCTCTTCATGTCCAATGACAGCAGCCAGACTGCGGAAATTCAACATTGGCTCGAGAGACGTGTTGCTATCAGCAGCGGGATGGCTGCCGGTACGCTCTTCTGGCGTGTTATCGATGAGTGACGAGAATGACGAGGAAGCACTGGAGACATGTCGCAGGTGGGAGGGTCGCGATGGCTCAGAGAGAGTTTGATCTGGTGGAGTAAGGGTGTTCGAGGGCAAACAGGTTGAATCTTGTGTACTCGGTGATGCACGCTCGACTCTTTTGCCCTTGTTCGCAGCAGCTACTTCTTCACCAACGAGATCCTCGCCTATGACAGACGATGAGCTACTGGTCACCTTGCCCAAGGTAGGCTCGCCAGGGGCGTCCAAAGCGGAGGTGCTAGCATTATTGCTGTACAAGCCTGTCTTGCGAGCCACCTTATCCGCCTTCTTGGCTTCTTTCTCCTTCTCCTTCTCTCTCTTCTTAGCTTCCTTTCTTGCCTCTTTCTCCTCCCGCTTGAGGCGCTCGTCCTCGCTAGCTAAACTCAGACGAATAGCTTCCATCATCATCATTTCTTCGAGGTCATCAATTCGATTCCGCCTTGAACTGGATCGCGGGGCCGCCAGGTTACCAGACCCTTCCTCGGCGGAAGCTGAGTCAGTATCTTGTGCCGTTGCAGGTGCGCGAGGTGCTGTTCGCTCTGTACGCTCTGTCAAAAAAGCGAGGGCATTGAGAGCGGGTGATCCGGACCTGCCGGTATATCCTTCTCCATTAGTAGCCCTTCGAAGTCCTCGCCGTCCAATGCCAAAGCCACGCGAGTCACTCGCAGATGCACTTGGGTTGATCAAGTAAGCAGCTGAGTGGAGAGCAGTGGCCGCGGCTGACCGTCGTGCCGCATGAGCTCTGGCGTTGGCAAGTTTCGTGGCCCAGTCTGGACGAATCCTGTCTGTCGTTACCACTCCAGGGTCAGTGGCGGATAATGATGTCGCTCGGCGGCGACCTGGAATGGCTGCAGTTGCAGATGACAGAGATGACGTGGAAGATACGGGTGATGTGAAGTTAGGCGAGCGCGCGCTGGGTTCCGCTCCATAAGTCAGACCCCGACGGAAAGAGGGCGGTGCGTAGGTGACTCCGAACTCCGGCTGGACACAGAATGGACACGAAGAGGGCCCCGAAACCAGCTGTGACTCCTCCGGTTGTTCTCCCTCGGCGGGAGCAGGAGCGTTCGGATCAGGCTCTCCGTGTTCTGGGGGGTGCGGGTCTGGACGCTTTATCTGCACAAAGCACTCCGAGCAAATAGGCTGATCGCAGCATCGCGTACGGTTCAAATATGGCGGGTAGTAGAGGAAACAGATAGGACATTCGCTTGCATCTTTGTACAAATTGACTTCGATCGGTTGTCCATTAACAAACGGATCCTTGGGAAGCTGCAGCTCCCGAGGAGTGAGATCGGTCTGTGAGTTGTGTTTGGAGGATGTAGTCAGAGCAGCCAGAGTCTTCGCCCTTGTTCGGAAGAGAGGAGAGGTGGATGTCCCTGATGCGATCGGGGACGCGGTGGGTAATGACTGAGCGGGGTTGGAAGATTGCGAATGGTCTGAATTATAGGATTGCGATCTTGAGGTGATCGGCACCATGAGATGCTGGATATTCGTCGCATCGGCAGGCGTCTTGTCCGCAGGCTTGGGTAAGGTGTACTCTAGCTCTGACGGGATCTCATCGGGCGCAGGGATGGGCATGCCTCGGGCGGCTGCCATGAGCTGATGCTCCGCCCATGATTCCGAAAAGTCGTTGAGGCCCCTCCAGAAGGGAGCTAATCGGCGTTCGATCTAATCGCTGTTAGCCATGACCCTATCGCATCGCGGGGGTCATCGAAACCCTACCATCAGTTGGCGCACCACTGCCTTGTTGAAGTCTTCCGTTCCAACGTACACACCCTGTGTCACTAGATAACCTCCATCGACATGCTCCTCCTTCATGCTGCGCTCCCGTTCCTTGAGACGAGCCACTCGCTCCTTCTCGAGGCGGCGGGCCTCACGCTCTTGTTTCGTTTCCCGCCGATGCTCTAATGTGGCCACGTCTCGATCATGACTGCTTCCGATTCCCAGAATCGAGAGGTCCGGCCGGCTTCCTCTTGCCGACCGAGACCCTTGGTATGGACGACTGGAGGTCTCGGAAGTCCCGGGGGACCATTGGTGACTTCGGCGACGGGAAGGGGTCGCGGTGCGTGACTCCTTCGTCTGGGAGTTACCCATCCTGGGTCTTTATTCAAGTTGAAAGTAAGTTGAGAGTCGGGCTCGGCACGGCGATAACTCCGAAAGAATATGGGGAAAAGGCCCCCAAGGGGGGGGGTGTATAAGAGGGGCAAACCGAGTTTAACAGACAATGCAACAATGCAAGAGACAATGCAAGGGGAAGAGAGAGAACTAAAGTGTGGAGGAGGAGTAACTTTAGGAGCGGGGGCTGTGATCTGTCCGGAGTAACTGGGGAAGATCGGTGAACAAGAATGGTCCCATGAAGCCGAGGAGACCATGTATGTTATAAGTTGTTTATAAGTTAAAAGAAACACCGGAAGTGGCGGATGCTCTTTTTTATTATTTATGGACTGGTCGAGGCTACAGGGCTGTAGAGGCTGGAGTCTGGACTCTGCATAACATAATAGTACTCAGGTGCCCTAGGTGCCCAGATGGACAGGTGCCATATGTGTATATAACTTGGGCTTTCAGCAATGCCCAAAGATACTCGTGTGCTCCGTCATCAACAGGTCATGCGTATTGTATTACATCAGGGTTGTTATCAAGGAAGTTAAAATGTCGCCTGTCACCTGCAGATCTCATGTATTCGATACAAGCCTGACGCCCACACCGGGCGGTTGGGGCCAAGTACCCTCTACTTGCCGATACCCGGTCTCCAAGGCATCAAGGCAGCAAATTCAGGCCAATCCAGGCCAACATCAGATCGTCACTGTCGACCACTTATTGTCCATTTTGAGAAGGCGGTGGCATAAAGTCTTTCTGTACATTATTTTTCCCCTCAAAAAAAAAGAGAAAAAAGTTGGAGATTGTCGAAGCAGTGCAGAATTTCTAATTACACAGACCATGCATCTATGACTATTACATTTCCAAATAATACTCATTTGAAGCATCTTCGGCGCGGCAATGATTGAAACGACCAGACTGCATATCACACCTCTCACCCCGGATATTCTTCCTTCTGTGCTACCAGCATCCATTCGTAGCTTGGCCACGGAAATCTCCTTCCACGAAATCGCTACCTTTCCCGAGAACAATTACGGATACGTCACTCTACCGACCATGGAGGCGGACAAGATCAAGAAGAAGCTGAACGGCTCGATTCTCAAAGGCAAGAAGTTTAAGGTGGAGCCTGCTCGCCCTCAAAAGAGACACCGAGAGGAGGAGGTGGCACCTGAAGCCTCCAGCACCAAGAAGAAGTCCAAAAAGTCGAAGAAGCACGAACCAGAGGATGGTGTGGTGGAGGGCTTCGAGCTTCCCGCAGACCGGAAAGTGAAGAGAGGCTGGACCGAATCCAGCGATGCCAAGCAGGAGCGACGGAAGAAAGAAAAGAAGGACAAGAAGGACAAGGAGGAGAAACTACAACCCAAGTCCAAGTACACCGACAAGTCTGAATGCCTGTTCCGAGCAACTGTTCCACCCAATCGAGCATCCGATGCAGCTGCCGATGATAAGAAAGCCAAGAAAAAGAAATCCTCCAAGGAGGCCGTTGTTCATGAGTTTGCGAAAACAGTCACTCAACCAAGCTTCTTGCGCATTGCCGAGGAAACTGGGCCGCTCACAGCTACGTTCGAAGAAGGCAAAGGCTGGGTGAATGCCGATGGTACTTTGAGAGAAACAGCCAACGACAAGATCAAGAGGGACAACTATCGACCAGGGCAAGTCCCAGGAACGAAGGAGAAGCGCCGAGCTGTCAAGGAACTAGCTCAGGCCGACAAGAAAATGTGTTCGCGGAAAGAGAAGACCCCAGAGGAATCCTCAGAGTCCGAGGATTATACTTCATCAAGTGGTTCATCTACGGACGACAGCAGTGACTCGGAGAGCGAGGCTGAACCTAGCTCTGAGGATGCAGATGAGTCTACCAAGGGAGAGCCTGCCAAGCCGCAATCCATCAATGAAGAGAAAGAAAAGTCACCAGAAGCCGCTGGTTCTGATGTGGAGATGCTCGAAAAGTCAGACTCGGAGGACGTGACTAGCGAGGCTGTGAAAGAAATGGAACAGGATTCAACCCCTAAGGAAGTCCACCCATTGGAGGCTCTGTTCAAACGAGCTCCCCCGGCAGCCGAAGCGCAACCAGACCCCGAGGCCGGTGCCGGATTCAGTTTCTTTGGCAATGACATTGAATCGGAAAATGAGTCTCAACCCGCTGAGCCCCAGACACCGTTCACACCATTCACAAAGCACGACCTGCAAGACCGGGTTCAGCGCAGCGCAGCTCCTACTCCTGACACCACAGCTGCCACCAAGCATATGAAATGGGAGGAGAACGATTCAGATGATTCGTCCATTGATAGCCCGGTCAAACCTCGGACAGACCCTGGCGCAACCAAAGACGAGACCGAATTCACCAAGTGGTTTTGGGAGAATCGGGGTGACAACAACCGCGCATGGAAAAAGAGGAGACGTGATGCTGCCAAGGAACAGCGGCAGAGAGATAACCGCAAGAAGGGTTTCAAGGGCAAGTCATGAACTACAAATGTGAGGCCTGTGTTGCAGTGTTTATCTGGTGTTCACACATAACGAGATACTGCCCGTGGCTCATCCATTGATAAATACAAATAATTTGATACAAAATCATTGAGCCTACTATTTTAAACACCGAAATTAAGCACAATCAACTACCCCTAACGCGACGTACCTCGCCGTCCTTTGACAGTCATGTGACTTGCATGGCGTCGTCACCAGGTCCAGACCAAGCTTGTCGCATCTTCAACAGTTCTGCCAAGCATGTTTTCTACGTGGTCTGCACAGCGCAGTACAAAGCTGCTGCTGTTGCTCTTTACACTTCTCTCCCTCACATCCCTCACAGTGGCATCTAGTAAGTGCCAGCTTGAGTTCCCCAGGCGTCGAATGGAGATTCAAAGATCAATGTCCGAGATCATCCAAGCTAACACTCTATACTCCAGCACCCACATCATTTTGCAAATGCACCTGTTTCTCCAATAGCACGATCATCCCCCTCGACCCCGCCAAGTCCGAAAAGTCCTCCGGCATCGACCACCTCCTCCACTTTTACGAGCGCAACGTCGCCAGCTCAGAGCTCGAACACACGGATGAATATATCAAACGAGAGAAGAAGTACCGCTCGCTAAGCTGCAACGACTGTAATCGCAAGTTCTGCCTAGACTACCAGCTACCGACATGCAAAGGCGCTAAAGAAGACGACGTGTTCACCACCTGCTTCCGTAAGTGATCGACCAAGAGAATCAGCGTTCAGAAATGCGCGAGGAGAATCGCGTGGTGTTACAAGATGCTGATGCGCTTTGCGCAGAACGGGACTCCCGAAAGGACGAAGCGGTGGTGTTTATCTTCATTTTCGCAACAGGGGGACTACTTGCTTGGGCAGCCTGCAAGCCATGGATTGAACGATATGTCGAGGCAAGTCCACGAGTTCAGTGATACAGAAATGTCCCGACTAATCCGTTGGCAGGCCGCACGTGAACGCAGGTCGTACATACCCGTTGCTGAGCCCGATCATTAAGGAACATATACCCTATAGTCTGTTATAATAACCAACGCCCAATGTATGGAGGACAATGTACATTTGACAATGTAATCTGCACTGCCAAGGGGGTAAATGATGACATTAGGAACTTGGGATCTCCATAGATAGTGGCTGAAGTCGATCGGTGATATCAGGAATTATGTGGAATGTATAAGCGATCAGGGGTAAACTTGGTTAAGAAAAACTAGCACGATCTATTGGGTTTTTTCTAGTTAGCGCTTTTTGCCGTTCTCAGGTGTAATTTGCGACTCATCCAATCGCCCCCACCCTGGAGGGGTGTGCTGAAACAAGGTGAGCTCGTCCTATGGCATCAAGTTGGGCAACACCGTGCCTACACGGCGGAATTGGGCGTTGTCCCGGTTGGAATGCAGTCTGAGAATCCCGGACTTGACCTAAGGGATCAGCGTCATCGGAGACGGTACAGTAAGTACAGTACATATAGGCATTAATGTTATTCCCAGACTAAACATGAAATTTGCTGGATCGAGTGGATTCAGGGAAAACCTGCTACCGCAAATTAAGATTGCTTTCTCACCTATCGCTTTTGGTCTCTCGTTTCCGTCTGTATTTATATTGTCCGTTTTCTCTTTTTCCTCTTCTTCTATCTCAGACCCATCGAGATCGGCCCGTGCTAATCAAACGGTGGCGTTGATAATCGCAATATCCACCGAAGATATACATACAATCATCCAATTTTGATCAATCGGATTGACCATGGCCATTTTCGACTCAGAGAAGCGCCCTCGGGGCCTGCGCGTCCCATCGCTCACAGCGATGAAGTCCAGCGCAGCAGCCAAGTCGCAATTCTCCTTCCACAGCAAGAAATCCACCGAGTCCGTTCCTTCCGACGATTCAACACCAAAGACAGCCCCTCCTTTTCCTCCACCAGCCAAGCCGGCACCTCCGCCGGACAAGGAATTGCCCTCTCCCCCGAAGGAAGCCCAAGCCCCGAACGTCAATCCATACTTCCCTCCGATCCCCTCACCCCGCGATGGTGTCCCGGAACGGCGCCCAATTGAGCGAGTCCCAGTGCCAGGTCCAACCTCAGCTCTAAGCCCAATCAGCCCAAGCCAACCTCGTACAACGGGCATGCGCACGCAGCCAAAGCCCCAGCCCCAACCTCAGCCAGATCCGAACATTTTCCAGCAAGCACCGGCACCAATCCCAGTCCCGGCACCTGTCCAAGCACGGGAACCTATCCGAGCACAAGCACCACCAGTTACACTCTCACCCCCGGACTCCCTCCCAGCACAAAAAGAAACCACCTCTCCAGCCCTGGAAGACTTCATCCCAACACCAGATAGCACAGAACCCCCACTAGACGTACCAGCCATGGCACCGCGCGATCTGGCTCCATCGCCATTTGTACCACCGGAGGTTGAGCCTGTTGCGCCAAACCTGAACAAGGTGCATTTCCAATGCCATCAGGAGCATCGCAATATGCCAGTTGCGCAGAATGTGTGGTGTCCAATGCCATGTTTTGCGTGCCAGAAGTTTGATAATGAGGTCCGGCACCGCTGTGTGTTTTGTTGTCTGCGTGTATGTGAGGAGTGTTATCAGACGCTGCAGAAATGCAAAAATCGGTCTTTGGAGGAGTTGCTTGAGCGTGTTGCTTGAGTGTGTTGCAGATGGGTGTTTTTATTGGGCTTGAATTGGGTCGAGGGCGTTGAGTATATAATGCATGGTTCTCGCATGAGGAAGTGAGGTTCTGTTGAGACCATTAGTATAGTTCTTTTGTTTCTTTTTCTTCTTCTTCTTCTTCTTCTTCTTCTTCTTTTTGGCTTTTTGTGTGCTTTTTTTTATGATACCAAGGACCTCGTGTGTATATCATGGATTAACCAGGAAGATCGAAGCTGCATGTTTATAATGAGAATACCTTTTGTGCACCCCTGAGAATGTTCAACTCCGTAGTCGACAACACCAGTCGACTTGTCGCTGTCATCAATTCCAATGTAATACATAAACACCACCCAGGATTCAGTCATGATCCTCTTCCGTAAGGCCAGGACAACCCTCCAACTCTTCATCCGTCTCGTAGGTATATTTGCACCAGAAGCAATACCTGTACTTCTCGCGCAAAAATAGGACTAGCTTTTCTAGTCGCTCGGCAGGCTCGAGGGCATTGAAGGCATCAAGCTCCTCGTCCTCTTCCTCGAGCTCGATCTCCAGTGCAGAGGTATTCTGATCAACTTCACCAAGAGCCTTCTTGTCTTCCCGATCCATAGTCGGGTCGTCATATTCTGGCAGCCGCGCTCTGGGGAAGAAGGATGACGGGAGCGAAGACTGTAGGGCATGGCGAGTCTGACGGTCACGATCGCGTTCTTCGCGCTCACGGACAAGACCGCGGTAGAGAACGTTGATCTGAGAGGTGGGCTTGATAGGGGCTGCCTTCTCGGACGCGGCGCCAGATGCTGACTTGTTTTCTGCGTTCCCAGAAGAGTCATCTTCACTTTCAGTAGACTTCTTCTCTTCCTTTTTCCCATCCCCATTCTCAGTCACTGTCTCACCCTCTGCTTCAGCCTCCAACCTCTCCGCAACCTTCTGCGCCGCGCGCACTTGCGCTTCTGTCCGTTTCAACTCACGCTCTTCGCGCACGCGATCCCGATAAGTTCCCTCCTCATGCTTCACTTTCTTGACTGCCTCTTCAGCCTCCTCACGGATTTTGCGCTTCTTCGCCGTGTCCAGACCGATACCCCCGCGATTCTCTTTGAAAATGAGGTTCAGTGGCTCAGAGCGCGCTTTATCCGAGTCGAAAGTTGGTTCTGTATCGGGGGCAGGTGCGCGCTTTCCAAGTGATTCACCAGGTTTGAAACCAAGCCTGGCCATCATCTGGAATCCCTTGTTGGTGGGGTTGAGGGTACTGGTTGCCAGAGCTTCATCTCGGCGAGCGGCTTCTTGGGCGGCGCGTTCTGCTTTGGAGGGGACTCTGCCGCGGGCTTCGGCCTAGATTGGAATTGACATGTTAGGACAAACTCCTGTGATATGGCTAGCTCGAGACCAAGCGCGTTGGGCTGGGATGGGAAGAGGGCTCACCTCGCGTTGTTCGCGGCGCTTTTTCTGGGTAAAGGTCTCTTTCTGAGTGGGCTCCTCAATCACCATGGACATGTAATCATCTTCGTCGGACATGGTGGACAGAATGAGGTCTTGACCGAGGTGAGGGAGGAGAGCCGGAAAAGAATGCGCCGAGTTTAGCTTTTTGCGGGGAAGACGGTGGAGCTCCGATGTCCATCCCCTGCACATTTGGAGAGTAGTGTGCTCTGGGCACTCTTTGGGCACTCCCCAGCTCTACACTGCCCCCCGGGGGTTCGCCTGAGTGGATAATTATCCCGTCTCTGCCCCCATTTTCGGCCCTTTTTCTGAGACCCGGGGGCCGGGGCGCCTTTTATAAGCCATGGCGTCGGCTCTAAATCGTATCGGTCATCATGGCGCTCTTTCTGTGTACCTTCGCACTGCTTTCACTGGCCTCTGCCACTTCTCCAGTCGTTAAGCTGGGGTATGCTAACTATGAGGGCCGTTCACTCTCTACAGGTGTTTCCCAATGGCTCGGTATACGTTTTGCTGCTCCTCCCGTGGGGGAGAGACGGTTTGCGGCGCCACATGACCCCTTGTCTGTAGCTGGGGTTCAGCAGGCGACTGAGGTATATATACACTGCATACAGATATGCCTTGACCTCTACTGACTAGTCACTAGCATGGAAGTCTATGTATTCCTACCGCATCAAGTGAAGGATCAACAGTCCCCAAAGGAACCTCGGAGGACTGCCTCTTCCTCGATGTCTACGCACCTACAGGAGCAGTTGGATCTAAGAAACTGCCTGTCTACTTTTTTATTCAAGGCGGCGGCTTTGCCCAGAACTCAAATCCCAATTACAACGGGACTGGTCTGATCGAGGCATCTGGAAACGACATTGTGGTGGTGACATTTAACTACCGTGTTGGTCCCTATGGCTTCCTTGCTGGAGAAGAAGTTAAATCAGGTGCAAGCCTGAACAATGGACTCAAAGATCAGCGGAAGGCCCTGCAGTGGGTTCACAAGCATATTAGCAAGGTAAGTCAAGAATCGAAATGACTTCCCTTGTATTTTGCGGAACAGACTGACATTGTCAAAGTTTGGTGGTGATCCCAATCACGTTGTCATTGGCGGTGATAGTGCAGGTGCTGCCTCAGTCACTCTCATGCTATCAGCGTATGGCGGCAGAAACGAGGGTCTTTTTGTTGCAGCAGCAGCCGAATCACAAAGCTTTGCCACGATGCTGAATGTCACAGAAAGTCAATTCGCATACCACGAGCTTGCAAATGCGACTGGGTGTAGCAGCAGCAAGGATACCCTGGCGTGTCTGCGAGACCTTGACGTTAGTGCTTTACAAAAGAAAAACGTCAATAGGCCCTATCCCGGAGCACCAGGCAACCCGTTATACCTATACGGTCCCACAATCGATGGAGACCTGGTACCAGACCACACATATAGCCTATTCCACGAAGGCAAATTCATCAAAGTACCCGTGATATTCGGCGACGACACGAACGAAGGCACAAACTTCGTGCCTAGAAGCACCTCGAGTGTGGCCGAAGCTGATGCGTTCATCAAGAACCAGTTCCCATACATGACAAAAGCCCAGTTATCCAAGATCAACAGCATCTATCTCACGGAGAACCAAACAGAAGTGTTTCCAAACGCTGGAGACCACTGGCGCCCAGCCAGCACAGCCTACGGCGAAATAAGATACATCTGCCCAGGAATCGACATGTCAACCGTCTACGCAGCAGCCGGAGTCCCAAGCTGGAACTACCACTATGCAGTAACAGACACAGAGCACGAAAACTCGGGAGTAGGTACACCACACACGATTGAAGTGAACGCCATCTGGGGCCCTGATTATACCGGCGGCGGTGCACCTGCCTCCTACACTACCTCCAATGCAGCCATCGTGCCATTGATGCAGGCTTACTGGACGAGCTTTATCAGGTCTCTGGATCCGAACAGGCATCGACTTAAGTCAAGTCCTGAATGGCAGACCTGGGAGCAAGATGGTGGGCATCAGCGTATCTTTATTCGGACGAACGAGACTAGGATGGAGACTGTGCCTTTGGATCAGAGGGCGAGGTGTGATTATTTGATTGGCATTGGGGTTGATTTGCACCAGTAGTCTAGGCGTTGGTGAATACTGATGAGGGAACATAAGGAAATCTGGCGATCTCTTTGTTCCTCTTTCGTGATACTAGGAGACCTACAGGTCTACTATGTTCATCTACAAATTAGAATGATATCAAATGAACATGACTTTTATTCCCAGCCTTACGCCAGATGAACAATGTGTATATACCAGCCCGACAGGACGTACAATATAAGATGGGAGAATCGAAAGCGCAAGAAATCAAAATCCAATGCAAATGCAAGATTACCGCTTGCCACGCCCATTTCTCTCGCGCTCGTACTCGTTGGCAGCACGGCCCTCCTGACTCTGAATCTCGGCAACAAGCCGCTTGTACTTCTTCTCGTACTCGGCATCGCGCTCCTTCTTCTCGCGCAGCTTCTCGCGGGCAACGAAGCTAGCATCCTTGCGGAGCTCGCGCATAGCACCCTTCTTCTCGCGCTTGAACTCCTTCTTGAGACGGTTGGACTCGGCACGCTCGCGATCCGGATCGTAGTGCTTGTCTGGGTTGAAGTTCTCCTCGAACTTGGGAATCGCGGTCTTGATGGCCAGGGGCTTGTGGTCATGCAGGAAGAGGGGGCGACGAGTGAGGCGGGCTTGCTTGAGGTGGGTGTCGACTGTTCCGACACTATTCGCGATGGATGTCCAGGCTGCGGTGGAGATCTTGCCCTTGAGAGATTTGCGGAGGTGGTTCAGGACGGCACGGGCTGGTGTGAAGATCTCTGTGAAGGCGGACTTCTCGGCCCAGATGCCGGAGGCAGTGTCGAGGAGAGACACGAACGTGGTGATGAGGGAGATCTTGAGGACATCCTCTGACTGGGAGTCGGAGGGAGAGGAGGTCAGATCGCGGAATTGCAGCTTACGCGGAACAACCTTCTTGGAGGGTGTGAACTGAACGGATTCCTGTGACTTTCTGTAGGGGAAAGCGCCGAACTTGGGGGTAGACTCCGCAGGAACAAGGTTGCAGAGGGCATTCAGAGTGTAGTTGATAAACTCAGGCATGTATCTCTTCGAGACAGTCTGGTATTGGAGGCAAAGACTTGCGGCGTATGCGCCCTTTGCAAGATCCATGGGAGATGTGGTAGAGCACTGACTCAAATACCGTGCCAAGCACAGGTGAGCCGGTGTGACCACGATATGGAAGTGATCAGATGTAGGGAAAATGGTTGAGATACCGGTCAGCATAATAAGGTCGCCGGGAAGGAGGTCGAGAGGACGTTCCTTGGAAATCTCGCGAAGACGTGCCCGGAATGCGAGAGCGACATTAAGAGGGTGGGTCTTAGCCAAAGAGTGGATGTGACGGAGGATGTTCTCAATAATGGCAAATGGAGGCTGCTCGTCCTGGTTCGCCATGTAGGAGACATGCTCAACAAGGACTTCAGCAAAGCGAGCGAGCTTTGTCTTGTTGTCAGGGTGAAGTCGGGAGTGGTGCAGGGCTCGAATACGCTGAACAACTGTAGGGACATCCTCGATAGGAACGTTCTTGATAATGCTCAGGAACTTTTCGTGGTCCTTAGGGCAAGGGTAGGTGAATGCGAGCTTTCCGTTGGCGGCTTCGTTGACCTCAACAGCAGTCGATGCGGCCGCGACTTCATCTGATGGCAAATCTATGCCATTGATGAGCTCGTCCTCTCCATCAGGGCCTTCAGACTCGTCTTCCGACAGATCTTCCTCCTCGATGTCGCTCTCGTCAATGTCAAGACTGGCGTTCGACCTCGTCTCAACCAGATCGTCATCAATGACAAAGTCATCTTCATCTTCAACGGCTAGTTCCGGGCGTTGACCTGAGTTGGTTGGAAGACCGAAGTGCATAGCATCGTCAATATCTGACTCTTCATCGTCGGGCATTTCATTCTCAAAGTCGAAACCTTGCTCCTCCTCTTCGTCATCGGTGAGCTGCTCGCCACGCATTCTTCGGAGACGATCGTTCTCGAGTTTCTTCAGGCGCTCAGCTTCTTCCTCTACCTTCTCCTCTTCGGTCTTGGTGCGGTCTGTGGGTTTTGATCGCTTGTCGAAGGTCAATTGCCGAAGTCGCTGATCGTATTCTTTCTCAGCTGCTCTACCATCATCCTTCTGCAGCATCGCAGCTCGTTCGGGGTTGATCTCCGAGAAATCTTGCTTAGGTGCTTCGGGCTTGGGAGGAGCCTTGAATCCCCGCAAGGCATCAAAGAGGTCAGGAAGTTCCTTGTCCAACTCCTCACGAAGATCCTCATCATTATCCTTGAGTTGTTGTCGCTCCGCCTTATAGAACTTTGATTTGGCAATGACTTCCTTCATAACCTCCGCCTTGCTCTTCTTGCGTCCTGGCTGCTCTCCATCTTCGTAGTCGATGAAGTCTTCCCGTTCTTCACCATCGCCCGCCTCCTCGACATCGGGGAATCGCTTCCTTTTACGCGAATTTTCGTCGTCGGATTCCGCACCCTCTATGTTTTCCGCATCAAAGTCATCCTGGATCGGTCCGTCGAAGGACAACGATTGACCCATATGAGTAAGCTGCATTTCCTCCTCATCGTCCTCAAGATTGAACATTGATTCCTTGCGCATCTTCCTCTGGCTTTCTCTGGCGAATCTCTCGGCGGCTCGTTCTTCGGGTGTCATAGTGGGATCATTTTCACCGAAACGGCGATCAACCAGTCCACCAATCTTATTTCTGCTGTTCATCTCCTTCAAAAGGGTGGCACGGCGCTAACAATAAAGGTCAGCTAAAAGCTCTCATTCCTTGGGAGCAGAAAACCCTACTCTCTCTTCACCAAGTGATTTGGTAACACCGGGACGAGCGCCTCCTCCAGCGGTCGAGTTGCCATCTCTTGTGGTGACATCGAATTTGGTCGACTTATTTGGCGCCTTGATTTCGAAGGGGTTGAACCGATCTCGAATGGCCTGCAGGGCGACTTCGCGCTGGTTGCGATTCTTCGCACCAACACCGGTCTTCGCATTTTGGCGTTTTTCTTTCTTTGACTTCTGAGGACCAAGAACTCCGTTATCACGAAGGGAAGCCTTCAGCTGCTTTAGCTGAGAGGGCGGCATTATGTATGAGTGTACTCAAAATCGAGAGTTGGCAGTTTTTTTCCCTGGTCTTGATCCCATCAAAAAAATCAGGCTCACCGCCTCCGCGGGCTCGCCGATCATGATTCTGCCATGACCGTTCTCCGCATCTCCAAACGCCCACAATCAATCGTCATGGCTCCCTTTTCTGGGGACGGTGTGCTTTGGCTTTGTCTAGGTAAGGCTGGACTGATCTAGACGCAGCTCAGTGATTCATACAGCTAACTCATATAGGCGTTTCACTGTTCTTCGCCGTCCGCGGTATCGCCACAGACCTTCGTCAAGTCGTCGATCTGACAGAAATCAAACAAGTCGAGAAAGATGATAAGATAATAAGCGAGGGAACTGAAGAAGGTGAGGATTGGTACCAAATGAGTATACTCTTTTCTAACAATATGCAGCCCTCAAGCTAGACACCCTCTTGAAGCTCTCTCAAAGCACAAGTCATGACCTCCGAGCTGCGTACGATGAGACCGCGATTCTGAAACCCAGTATGTTTATTAACACCACATAGAGCTTTGCGCATTATATCCGAACGATCTACCAAGGGTGACACTCGCGATCTTCTCCTGGAACAACTGGCATCGAAACACAAAATCACACAAGGCCGAGCCTTGAATGCATTGAACTTTCTGGTTTCCAACCGAGCTCGTATGTCATCAAATTTTTCTATGTTCTGAATTCCGTATCTAATCCCACGTAGTTTCCAGAACCTCGATATGCAGTCGGCTCGGAGACCTTCCCACTTATACCGCCCTCGTCAACTGCTTGTGCAATTTCCTTTCAGAACACCTTGAAAGAACATCCTTGACGAATTCACCCATCTTGCCAAAGACAAGGCCCATGGGAGAGAAAAAAGCACTATCTATCATGAATATACTGTTGCCAGAGAACGTTCCAGAAGCGCTGGAAGCGGGGATAATCAGCCGATGGCTCTGCAAGTATCCTTTCCCATGTGCGCAGACCGATCCTTCCCGTCGACGGGACGTGGTGATCCTCATGAAAACGTGGTGGTCAGATGATACAATCATGAGCTCGATCTTCAGTACTCTTTCCTCACATCCTGACGGGATCAAGCAGCTTCGAAAATATGGATTGATGGGCAGTATGATCGAAGAAAATGATCAGGATGATGACGACAATGATGCAGATAGCGATGTTTGGATGGTGGATGCGGATGAGACAGGGGGCACGTTTGGACGATCTTCGCGTAGGCTCCAAGAAGGGACTCCAAGAGAGCAAGCACTTCGCCGGCGAAGAAGAGAGGCTATGGTCCTGAGCGATGGTGGGCGGCCTCTTGGGAACGAAGATATCATTCAGCGGCCGATTGAATGATACCAGTCACACTGTCCACCGCCACAACCAGCTTATTAGTTACTGTACTGTATATCCGTGATACCCCGTTACCAGAATTATGATTTAACATGATGCAGCTTGAGATGAAGTTTATTGTAGGATCTATAATCCCATCCATGCTGATTTGGCCAGGTGATCAGTCTTCTTGCGGCTGTTCTTAATCACACCAAACGTCTTCAGTTCCGAGAGAGCGCTATAGAACAAAGACATCACGACACGATCATCGCAGCTGTCACCCTCTTCATTCTCGAAAACACCGCTAAAAGCCCGCCAAAGATCGTGGACGTTGACCAAAGCACCTGATTCAAGGTACAGCTGATACAAAATCGCTGTAGCAGGTTGCTTGGCTGAGATTTTCGTCGCAGTAGCATCCGAGGAAGAAAGTAAGTAATCAAACGGAGTAGCTAGCGCACGCTCAATTGCAAAACGTGGACGAGGTGCGAATGTCTCTTTCAACGGGTTCCGTAGATCAAACAAGAAAGCTTCATGAAGGAACATGTCTTGTGGTCTGATGAGAGTCTCCGCAAGATAGTCTTGCAAGAAGACAAGCAGTTGGTCGATGATTTTGGTGTACTCAACGTCTTGCTCAGACAACTCAGCCTTGCCTTTGCTGAGCTGGACCCGTGATTGAACAACTGTAGTAGTTGTGACGGTAGAGTTGATGTTATATCCACTGCGCAAAGACCCAGATTCCGGACATGTTTCCAGCAAGAGTTTGAGGTTTGCTTTAATTGCCCCCAGCTGCTCATTATACAGAATATCTTGCAGGCGGCCAATGAGCTCATCCAGCTTATTAGAGTCTAACGCCTTCATCATAGCTATCATATCATCCACGAGAGTGGAATCAGCCAACTCGCCAGAGAGCGCGCGAACGGAAAGGTCAGAGACAGTAGCCTTTCCCGTATTTTGCGTGTATTGTAGACAGACATGTACAGCAAGGACTGCCTGGAAAATGCTTCGCATTTTTTGCTGTCCAGCATCAAGGCATCTGATCGTCTCTTTGAGGAGATAACCGTCGTTTTCTAGCATGTCTCGGACTTGCTTAGTGGACCCTTCTTCAACTAGATCCTCGCAGAATCTAAGATGATGTTAGATCATGTAGTTGTATTCCACTGGATACACTCACATCCGGAAGGATGGCAGGTTCCTGATCACCTCACAGAGCTTCCTTTGAGAAAGAAGAGCAATTGGAACTGGCTTGGCAAATAACACTGCCAGGGGGTTTGCAAAGAAGTGAGACATGTACGCATACTGCAGTTAATGTGAGAATTCTGTATCAAAGGCACTGAAAGGAATGCTTACCTTGACCATGCGGCTGAAGGCCTCCGGACTTTGGAAATAGTCACTGGTAATTTCAAACAGTGTACTAGTGATGTTGCGCCCCAGCCAGAGTTGGGTGCTAGAAGCAGTTTGAAGAGACTCATAAATGCGGTCGACACAGTTGCCAGCCTCCTGAACCTCGAAATGTTTTCCTTGAAGAAGAGCAACACACGATCGAGGCAATCGACCTTCAAACAGCTCTACGGACGTAGAAATACCCAGCAGAATAGTGAATGGTATGCGGTCAATCCAAGATCTATCAAGAGGTTAGTGAATTGTTAATTGTAGGTAGGATAAGGGATATCGAACTTGAATAAAGACAAGAGATCGGTTAATAAGCCCGTATCAAAAGCTTCGCTGTCACGCAGAGCTAATACCAGCTTTTTAGTTCCCTTTCTTTGCACGTAGTCGTGAAGAAGGTCCAGATCGTAACCAAGAAGTCGAGGTCCCTAGAGGCGGTTAGAACAAAATTAAAGATTTCGTGGCGCAAACACATACAGAACGATCTGTGAGAAAACGCTGGTAGCCATCATTGCCATCTGTGTTCGTGATAGTGGCTCGGATGATGTTCTTCAAGGTCGTTTTCAAATTGGGAGCATCGCCTGATTCCAACACCACCACGCTGCCTTCCTCGGTCGATATCAATTGTTCATTGAGTCGTGATAGTAGTCTGCTGAGCGAGGAGACATTGGAACCGACTGTTACAAGAGCTGTCGGAATACAGCCATTGCATCTAGAGCTCGAATTAGAGCCAATTCTTTTCTTGCTGGGGTATGGACATACGTTTGTGATGAGGTTTCTCTGACAAAGGACGATACCTCGGTCAAAACACCAGCATCAACGTCTTCGAGAATAGCCTTGACTCCATATGAGCAATTGATTGACCCAATTTCGCATCAACCCATCTGACTGACCTGGATCTTGTGTTCCTGCTCTGACCATAGCTGTTGATAGGAATCGTGTCGCAGTTTGACGGATTGGGCATTCTCGTCTCCGTTCAGAAGGGGCACGAATCGCTGCCTGTCTATCTGTGCCGGTTCATTACCGGACACTGAAACCTTACGGCGTTTTGAGGGTCGTTCGCCTGCTTTCCCGTGTTTTGGGGGTTGGTAGATGTACGCACCCTGTTTTGTTAGCGCGCACCCCAAAAAGCAATGACAGGTTCAACAACTCACCAAATTCTGAGACTTGTCATCCGACAAGCCCAAGGCATCGTTCAACCCATCTGGATCCATGTTGTCACTCAACAGAAAGGAAGTTGTCGCAACTGGGGATGACTTCAAGGCGGAAGCGCGACAGACGCTAAACCAAATCAGGCGATAATTGCATCTCTTCCGAGTCTGAACATCTTCACTCCGCCCACTCCTCTTGTCTTCATATATCCGATGACCGATTGACTGCCGTACTCATGCTGCGCCATGCCATTCAAGGAGCCCGATGGTGTCAGCATGTGGCTCGCAGCCCATCGTGCGCTCCACGCCGGGCCTTCTCCGCCGCAGCTCCGCGGCGTCTGAATTATGGCGGACCAAACGACAAAGTCAACTTTTACGAACAGGAATCCCTTCAAAGCAAAAAAAGACGAAAAGTGGACCCCGAAGCCGAAGATTATGAAGATCGAGAGCGAGTCGAACAAGAGCTCGTGAAGCTTCAGGATGAACTAAAAGTTATGGAGGAGGGGCCTTTTGGTCCCAACAGCGAGTTCATCACGAGTTTGCCGGACACGGAAAGAAAGATTGCCATAGAAGCTCTGCGAAAGTATGACGAGGAACACCCCGAGGAAGCCAACCAGCCCGGGCTAGAGGAGGTTTTCGACCAGGAGCTCGACGACATGGTGCGGGAGGAATTTGAGGGCCTCGCAATGGAACAAGAGAACTGGGAGGACGGAGCTAAGAGGCGGCGCAGCCTGGCTGCAAGAAGATCTGTTGCCGCAAAACGCGCCGGTGCAGACTCTCACCCATACGCCGTCAAGTTCAACAATTCTTTACGACAATTCCAAGGGAACACGTCTGACGAGCGGGCTCGGCAAGAATTGTGGAAGTGGTATCGGCGATGCAAGCAGACCGTCCCACATTTTTTGACTATCATGCCAGAGGGTGCAATGGAAGCGGTATGGAAGTCGCAAGCTACAGGCGAGATCGAAAAAGCTACACGCTCAACACACTTGCAAGTCCTGGTCCAAGATGCTACATCTCTCGGTCAAGCGCTCACAACACCTCAAATCCTGTCTTATATAACATCCTTACATGAGGATGGCGCCACCAACCTTGCATTGGAACAGTGGGAAGCATATCAAACAGAGCTATCCCAGGAAAGAGAGGACCTGGAAGAATACTGGAAACTTGGAGTACGGCTATTCGCCGCTGAGCGCAACCCACAACGAGCCCAGGATATTGCATTGGCCTTCCTGGCAAATGACCGAAACCGCCAGCCGCGTGTGCTTATCCCAATTATCATATCATGGGGAAAGCTCCCGGGAAAGGAAGCCGAAGTCAAAGCATGGGCTCTTTATCTACAGCTCAAAACATTCCTGGGAACCGAGATGACTATGGACGATTACGATCAGGTCAGCATTGGTCTACTCACTGCTGGTCGATTAGATACAGCGGTTGCAATTTTCAAGGATATGATGGTTACTGGACAAGACCCAAGCAATGATTCAACTGCATTGTACAAATCTGCTCTGGGTCTAGCAGGTAATCTTCACGCATCAAGCATCAACGAAAGCGACGTAAACAAAGTCTCTTTGTCTGTACTCAAGGTACTACCTCGCCGCTTCCAGAACCGATTCTTCTATGCCAGTTGGATGAAGAAGCTTATCGGTATGGGAGAGGTCGACTCTGCCGCCCTTGTCATCGAACTAATGTACGAGCGAGATGTCAAGCCTGATAGCAAGCACTTGAACGGAATAATTGCGGGCTGGCTCCGCGAAGGAAACCCAAGCGCACGCAACAAGGCAGAGCGACTCGCATGGTCCATGATCCAGCACCGCATTAACACTGTATGGAAGCGTTTCCAACCGGAGCAAAGTTCTCCCCAGCTTCAGGTCAAGCATGAACAAGTAGAAGGCACCCGCCTTCCGCGATTCATGCAGAGAGCAATTCCACCTGCGAGTATTGAGACATTCTCCATCCTTCTTTTACATTACACTCGCCGAGGTGATGACGATATGGTCAAATATTTGGTCAAGTGTCTCGGCGATGCACAAATCAGACCAAACTCCTATTTCATGAATCACCTTCTATACGCAGAACTCCGCAAGCAAGATGTGCGGTCTCTCTGGTCCAAATTCCAAACTATGTCACTCGCCATCCGGCCTGATCTAGAGACATACGCCTGTCTCTGGGACTGCGCCAAGCTCCAATACGACCGCGGACGGACAGCCTTTGACAAGGATTTCCCATCAGCACGACAACTCTATGCCAACATGATGTCCTGGTATTCGCAATTATCTCCCCACGCCCAGGAATTTACCCGGACCCAAATGCCCAAGGCTCTGTATGATCAGATTGTGCGATGTTTCTGTCTCTCCAAAGATATCTCTGGCACACTTGTCGCTCTCCACTCAATGCGGTCCATCTTTGGGTTCACACCAGACGAAACTACCGCACGCATGATTGTTCTTCAAATCGCGCGATTGGCTGCTGTTCCCACCGACACACCAAAGCGACGTCTCCGCCGCATGTCTTCGACGCCACGAAGCAAAGAAAACATCGGCCAAGTCACTCGGCTGTTAGAACTGCTAGGTGAACGCCAAGCCGAGGCTCTGCGCATGCAAGGTTTGAGTCTGGACGAGCTGGACCCACATGAAAAGGAACAGCACCAGATTGAAGTCATTGCTCGGCTACTTCGCATCGTTCTGAGCCGGAAAGACAACCTGAGTCCAGTGCAAGTTGAAGAAAGACTCGTGAACGCGGCGAGAGAGATGGACGCTGCGCAGGTTGATCTGGGGTTGCCTTTGGGTGTCGATGATAGCAAGTTGCTGTAATATGACATGGCTCCCAGGGATTGCTCTTTTGTTCTTATTACTGTACTGGACCACTCTCTGACATCGAGAAAGCATGAGTGGCGTTGGTTTGATTTACGCCCATAGAAGGGGCCATGTATAATACTCACATTTGGACAGACATCTCTGATAAATGTATACAATATTTTTGTCTACTGATCTCGTCTAAATAGACGCAATTCGGCAAATTCAATCGTAAAGAAGACCAGGTATAAAATGCAATTCCTCATAATGCAAAACCCGTAGCCCAAAAACACCAATCAATGGAAGTGTTGTTTGAACCCTAATAAAAAGTACAAATAGCACAGAAAAGAAGAAAAGCCAAATATCTATTTCTTGCCCTTGTTCTTCTTCTTCTTTCCACCACCTGCCGGTGAAGCAGGAGAAGCAGGGGTATTCGTTGAAGGATCAGCCTCCACAAGCACCGCATCGTCATCACTGCCTTGAACAGAAGCGGCGGGGGCAGAGGATGCTGCCACTTCATCAGAGGACTTTGTGGAGGTCTTGGTAGCGGCAGGAGTAGTGGATGCAGAGGGGCTGTCGTCCAGCTCCTTCATGAAACTCTCCTTGATGCTAGTCTTCTTTTTATCCCACCATTGGCGTTCCTCCTCGACCTTGCTCTGTTGCTCTTCCATGCGCTTGCGGTAGATATCGTTGTTCATCATCTCATTAGCAGACTGGAAGATAGTCTGACCCCAGCCAGGAGCGTATGCGTTGGCCTGTTTAATCATGTTAGCAATGTCCAATGCGAATTCGACCACTTCTGAGTAGAGCGGTGACCCATCAATAACAGAAATAGATGCAACTATACCTCTGACACAACATCCTTGACCTCATCTTCCATCTCCTTCTCCGCGCGTTGGAATCGCTGCCAGAGATCATCACCGACACTTCCGCGCTGGAGAAGCATAGCAAGCGCCTGCTTCTGACTGCGGAGCGCCATAATCCGACGGATATCCTCAGATGCGCGACGAAGGAGAGAAGCCTTCAGGATGGAATCGGGGATGGCGGGGGCCTTCTTCTCTTTTGTGGAAGAAGCCGAGGGCTCAAGGTGGAGAAGGGAGAAGTAGATATCGCGTTGGAGATGGGCGGGGAACCAGGGCTCTAGAGAAGCAGCCTTGTCTGTATCAGATGCGGTGTTAGTCTTATGGTCTATGAAGGCAATTGAACACGTCGGCGCGAAGTGGTGGTTGTAATGCGGTTCGCGCTTCTGTGACAGGGACATGATTCACGTACGGGCCTTGCGCTTGCGGTAGAGCGAAGAAAATGTTGCCAGCGATCCCAGTAGAATACCCAAGTAGACGAGGGGGACCGCTAGACTGAGCCAGTCTATGTCGAACATCGTGGCGTTGTCGAAGGGATGTGATGGGAATAGAGGACAGGTGCTGGAGTTCCCGGGGAGCTGGCGAGATAGTTTTATAGTTCAATAGTTCAAGCTCTCATAGCTGAACAAGAATGGTGTGTAATGAGGACACGAGGGAGTTGTGTGGTCAACAAGCTTGAAAGGCCAGGGTGTTTAGTGGGTCAGGTCACATGTGCAGATCTACACTCTTTTTTATACTTCAAGTCTTTGTATGCTCTTCTTTCTTTCTCAACTGCATTCTACTTGATTTTATTCTTGCATAGTGATTGAATGTATAGGCGCAAACAGGCTGTCCATTACAGCAAGGATATAGTAAGCTGGTCTGCAAATAAACCTGTAACAGGAGCCACCAGTCCTCGACACGATCACGATAATCAACCAAGGCACTTAAAATGAGCAAAAAAGAAAGACAAAGTTAGGGCACAAATATTCCTGAAGTAGCGTTCGCTTCGAGGATTCCGTAGAGAACTTGTCCAATACTTCATAGCACTGTGAATAGACTCACGACCCATGTTGTATGGTCCTGTTATGGATCCACAATGTATACAATACTCTTGCCTACGAAACCAAGATATTAGTAGGTTTTGGGCATATATTCCATAGTTTACATACATTTCTCCTAAATCACCCGCTTTGAGAAACCAGAGAAGAAAACAAAAAAACGACATTGGGTAGTACACGCGCATTGCTCCCCGTCCATCCGGCCACAAAGAAGAAAAAAAAAAGGAAAGAGTATGGTTTCGAGTCAACATATTGACAGAAGTGAAGATAAGAATAAAAAGACAAGACTGAACGATCGTCATATGGCCATTACTGGAAGCTCACTCCCTGGAAATGATTCTTGGTCCTCTGGCTGGGAGATCCGATGTCCTGCATTTCCTGCATATCTTCCATGACATCATTGAAGCGCTTAGAGAGGGCGTTGGCCACGTTGTTGCGATTCCACTCGGCACGCATGTGCCATACAGAGTCCATCAGGTTCGTGTTGACCTGCTCGAGCTGCTCCACCGAGAAGCCGCTAGTCATGAGTGTCAGCGAGTTGTGGAGTTTTGCAATAATATCGAGGTCAAGAACCAATGGCTCGTGAGGTTCTTCGTTAAGCGCAGATTGATCATTTCTCTGCATGTTGGGGGCATCGAACAATGGGGGCTGCGGCTTGAACTGGCTTCCAGTGAAACCGCTGTTGTCCAGGGTATCGTTGCCATCGAAATCATCACGAGGCTGAGGAGAGGGCTGGCTGCTGCCGCCTTGCTGGGTGTCTGGCAGGTGGTCTTCCTGCGACACACGATCGGGATAAGAGGTGAGGTCGGGGTATTCGAATTTGGAGGCGTTGGGGCTTTGCGTGTTGTATTGTTGATTAGAAAGATACTCGGAAGACTTCTTATCCGAGGTTGTCTGAGTAGTAGATGCTTCGTTGGTATAGTCGTTTGGCTGGGATCCAGGAGCCATGGGGGTCATGGGACCCCGCTGAGAGAAGCTGGAGAGACCGGATTCCCGGCGAATCTGCTGGGACGGCGCAGTGTGAGAGTAGGGTGGCTTTGGCTGGGCAGAGGGCCCGAACGAGCTTCCCTGGGTATCCTTGCTGCCAGAGTGTTCTTCGGAGTTGGACATAAAGACGTCGCCGTCTACATCTGGTTGGGTGTCATTGCTTACACCAGCTGCATGAGAACGAAGCTCATTGAGGTCTGAACCACCGCCTTGATGATCTCCATTGACATAGCTGAGGTTCGACTGCTGATTGGGCGTCACAGGACGCGAGGCTGGGTTCTGACCATCACCATTGGTGGGGAGCAACTCGCCCAGGCCGGTCGATGGATTGGCTTCAGTGTTGTCATGCTGGTCGTTGGCAAGCTCCGCAAGACGGGCATTTTCTTCCTCTTCAGCGGCGCGCCGAGCACGCTCTTCTGCTTCTTTTTCGCGAGCCTGTTGACGAGCATAAACTTGATCCAATTCTGCCACAAGCGCTGGCTGATCCACGATGATAGTGTTGACATCAACTTCGACATTAGACAGCATTTCGTTGGCACGCAGAATGCGTTCTTGGTCGCCAGCTTGGCGCGTGTCCTTGACGATGCGCTTGATGTCGGCCACGAACTCGAGAGGCCGTTTGTAGTACCCGTTGGAAAGACGCTTTTCGATCGTTGCGAAGTCCAGGTTGTAGAAGAACTTGCCCGTGGCAGTCTCTCTAAGTCCCAACACACCATGCTTGTCGTATGCTTTTTCATACGGCCGGTATGTATTCTGCTGGTCTGGTGGAATGTCACTTGTGACCATGTTGGGATCGTCTTCCTCCCACAAGTAGCGAATTGTGGATTCTTCAATTGAGGGGAATCTGAACCGCTTGTATCTCTTCAGCTGATCCATAATGGGCTGGATACGAAGTTTCAGAAGGTTCAGGGTGTTGTTATCCTTTTTCTTCTGAGCTTTGATCTCTTCCTTGGTAAGTTGCACCTCAGGTTTGGGAGGTGGTGGTGGCGCGACCTCCAATTCTTCCAACTGACGGCGCTTGCGGTTATCCGGGTTGGGGAAATTCTTGGGAGGAGTCTTGACATATTCAATGATTTTTGCAAAGAATTCACGGCGTGCATCGCCACTTGGAGATTTCAAATCATAGAAATTCTTCTTTGAGTAACCGAAAAGATTCTTGAGCAGGGCGGCATCGACATCGTCCTCTGCTGAATCCAGAATGCCGAGCAGCAAGACAGGATCAGAAGGCGGAACTGATCGCAAAAGGCCCACAAAGGTAGAAATCACAGCAGGGCCGACCGTTTGAACCCACAACTGAATGTTGGGAATGTAAATCACACTTGGCTTGTGTCGCTTGACCTCTGTGAACAGCTGTATGATAGTTGCCTCTGGGGAGCGAGTCGAGTCACTCAACAACGTGGGAAGATCGAAAGCTTGTACGTGCAGGCCTTCGAAAACATGCAGGAGTGCAGATGCCAGGTATTGTTGACCCATTCCGTGGGGGCCACGGAGAAGTAGCCGTGGCCGGAATACACGCGAGCGATCAAATTCCTGCAACAGAAGCTCTCGGCTAAAACCTTCGCCATCCTGAGGCTCCTCAAATTGAGCTTCCTCCAGGGCAGTGAGCTTTTTTCGCTGAGGTAAGATCTCAGACAGTAAATTCCTGATTTCAGCCAGTGGACCACGGAGCAGAGGCTCAATGCTAGGAGGGAGCGCAGTTGCTCCAGATGAGGTGGACCGCTCCGAGGAAGGAATCAGTCTCTTGATGGCTAACATGAAATCTTTTGGGGCCACTTGAATTGACTTGGGGTCGATAATAAGCTTCTGATCGGACTTGTAGATCTGGGGATACCTTCTTTGCACGGCATTGATTGCAGCTTCAGTGCACAGCGCGCGCAAATCAGCACCACCATAACCCTTGGTCATGTCTGCAAGTTGTTCTTTGATGTTGTCCGGCAGAGGAGGATCCCATTGTTTGGTGTGGATGTCAAGAATTGCACGTCGAGCCTCAGAATTGGGTAGTGCGAAGTAGAACTCGCGATCGAAACGGCCCGGGCGGCGAAGGGCAGGGTCAACAGAGTCTGGTCGGTTAGTAGCACCAATCACAACCACCTGACCGCGGCCGTCCATGCCGTCCATCAATGCAAGTAGAGTCGAAACAATCGATGAATGAATCTGGTCTTGCTTGCTCGATCTCACGGGAGCCAGGCCTGGAATACATCGTTAGTGATTGCAATATGAAGATTCAAGTGAAAAGGGCTTACCATCGATTTCATCGAAAAAGATGATGCTAGGCTGTGTCTTGCGAGCTTCATCAAAGAGAAGTCGAAGTTGTCGCTCGGCCTCACCCACCCATTTGCTCAAAGCATCCGCACCCTTTCTCATGTAGAAGGTAACTTTCTTGCCTTCCGAACTGACGCTGTTCGCGAGGGCCCGAGCCATGAGCGTCTTTCCGGTACCGGGAGGGCCATGGAATAGGACACCGCGGGGAGGCGTGATTTTAAATCGCTGGAAGATTTCAGGGTAGAGCAAAGGCAAAGAAACCATTTCTTTCAGTTGATCAATGTGCCCTTGCAATCCACCGACGCTGTCGAAGTTGACATTGACGTCAACTCCCAAGGGGTCTGCGTCCACCAAAGCTTGCTTGTTGGTGACTTTACCCAGGTTTGCAGGCGTGCCTGACAAGTGCTGAGCAGTGTCTCCGGTCTGGGCATGGGTTGCTGGGGCTCCACCGCCAGAAGTAAGGCCAGGCTGTTGTCCGCCTTCATCATCACTGCTGTCACTGTCCACTCCTCCAGCCGCAATGGGATTACCAGGAGCACCGAGAAGCGCGGAAGCACCCTGACCGCCGAATGGGCCAGAAGTTGAGAATAGAGTGCGCTGCCACGCTCCAGCTCCCTTACCACGGCGGGACGGGGACCCAGTAGCCACTTCAGGGTCAGAGTCTTCGTTGGGAAGAAGGATTTCGGGGCGAATCAGACGATAATCAACATTCTTGCGGTTTCGACGCGGCTTTTCGTACACAACTTCTTGCTTGGCCCGGCGACGGTACCGACCACCACGAAGATCTTCGAGCTCCTCAGCGAGTTCTTCAGCCTCCTCAGAAGGCGCACGGGATTGAGGGACTCGTCTGCGCAGACCAGCGCGTCGGCTGGTAGAGCTGTCCTCTGCCTCCTCACGACCTCGGCTTCCTTTGCCAGTCGAGGCACCGGCCTCCGATTCCAAATCCTCTTCTTCGTCATTCGACGCTTCCTCTTCTGGCTCAAAGTCGCTTTCATCCTCTTTTGTCTTGCGCTGTGAGCTTCGAGATGGCTGCTTGCGACTGGATCGGCGTAACTGAGATTCCTCGTAGGGCTGTGTGTCCTCAATCGCATCATCCTCAGTGGGCTCTCGGGGAAAATTGCTTCTTCGGTGGAGCTTGGGGCTTTCATCCTCGTCCTGGGAATGACCGTTCTTGTCGTCCCCATTCTCAGACTCGGGAACGACATCTTCATCGACCATTTCCTGGTCAATGGGTTCGTGAGTGCTTTCGGTGCCAAATTGAGGCAAGACGCTTTCCCCAACATCCAATTGCGATCCTTGGATGGTGGTTTCTTCAATGACTTCTTCGCCTTCCTCATCTTCATCGTCGAGGACCGTGCGCTTTGCACGGCCACCTCTGTTGAGCAGGCGGCGGGTAACAGTATCATCTGGACTGCGGATGCCTCGCTTGATGGTCTCCATATGACGGCCAGAAGTGGTAAGAGCGTAGATATCCTCTGAAGCACCACGAGCGCGGGTCACACGGTGGTGGTGCTGCTCCTCGAAGTAGCGAGCTGGAACTTTCAACTTGAGCACTGTATGCTTCCGTGAAGCAGGTCGAGGCATCTCCATTTCGTTATCATCTTCGTCTTCATCGTTGATCGCCTCCTCCGATTCGGGCTCTTCGTATTGTGGGCGACGACTTTGGGTAGTTCTGCGACGCGCGGTTCCGCGAGCATTGCGTTCGACATCAGCATCCTCCTCCGAATCTTCTTCGACTTCATCGAAGGAAAGATCTTCGGACAGCTCCTCTTCGTCGGAAGTGATACCGTCGTCAGAGTCGCGTCGTCTCTTCTTTGCAGCAGGCCGCGACTTTTTCTTGGGGCTTGGCTTCGACTTTCGGCCGGTCGAACGTGCGTATTGGGCGTGATCACTGTAGTCCTCGTCGTCGGAGTCAGACTTGTTGGCGACCTCCTCGAGGGAGCGCTTTGCGCCACGAGCCATAGCGCAGTGTTGATGATAGGGGGGATCACTGTTGAGGCGACACAGTCAGAACGGCTAGGATCAGAATGAACAACACGTCGGTATCACAGAGCCTGGATTGAAAGGGCACGCACCCAAACAAGAGACAAAGAGACAAGAGGGCAGAGCCTCGACGATGCGCGATGCGGGCAGGAGGGACAACAACGTACGAACAATGCAGTTGTCGCCAGCGACAGCTGGATCCCCTGATGAAAAGGAAACTGTCTGCCTAGTAGGGCAGCAGGTCTTGAGCAAACCTCCCGACAATTGCTGATCAATAGGTTAGCGGAGACGGCACGGTGGTGGAGCGCATTCGGGGGTGGAAGGGTCTCACTGACTCGGGAACGCGTGGGAAAACAAATGTCCTGGAAGTCAGACACAGGGTCGGAGGCTCGAAGACCAGAAATAATTATGAAGGAACACGTTAAGTCGTAGACGACCAAGACACGAGCTTTGAAGACTTCGAAGAAGAAGGGCGGAAAGGACTCGCGCTCATTGGGACCTGAATGCACCAGCCACTATTGTGGCGCCTATCAAGCCCGTACACGTGACGGCCAGTATGCACGGGCCATCCTCGAATTGCTTCAATGCCCATTGTCGCCCTCAGCACATGAATAAAGCCCCCCTTAATAGAGCTTTCATAATGCTCCATTCATCGGCTGAATTCGCTACATCGAGTGTAATGACCATTTTGAAGCCCCGAAACGACATAGATCGGGGATGAAGGGGGAGCGGGGATGACAGGCCCCAGTGATGGGAGGAGATGTCAGAGAGCAATCAGGGACATGAAGAGCAGCAGATGGGAGCCCTTGTATTTTCCTTCTGGTTCGCTGCCATTTTCTGCCCCGGACGGGCAATACTGGACCTGATATCATGTGACGGCTGACTCAGCGTGGCTTGCAACAACACAATTTACACTTCATTTGCATTCTACTCTTCTATTCACAGACTAGATTAGCTTGTCCTCTTAATGACAGCTATTGCATTCTGTACAACTGTCTGTCCTCGTTCAATTGCTCCATCCACAAACCCTCTCCATCCGTCTGCCCAATCAACGCTGGCAAAGATGACCCGCCCATGAGGTTTCTAGAGTTCCTGAAGATGTCGCGAGGCACAATTAGGTCCCCAACAAGCTCAAACACCTTTTGCATATGGGAAATTAATCCAGTTGTGAGTTGCATAAGCTTCCATATTTCCGGTCGGGTGAATAGCATTGTGAAACCGATCGATAGTATGCTTGTGATCCCTCTTGTCTGTCAACAGGCCATTGTATCTAAAAACAATGCACCATGTCCCTGATGAACCAGAGGCCTGGGTGCAATTATGATCCGAAAACGCGAAAACATAGGACGAATCGCCGGAGCTATTCGCAGTCGCAAACCAGCCTGGTTCCGTGTCTTTCAATTTGAAATGGATCTTGGCACCTTTGTTGATATGGCCCTCGGGCGATCGCTGATTGTCGGAGAGGTGACAAGGGAGGATTGAACATAATGTCTCCTAGACGGTGGCTGTAAGATATATTAGTATCAATGGTGAGATAAATGATGCGTGGAATGGCTCACAGCGGGATGGTCGAAACAACTGTCTTCGCCTTCAGATACCCGCCATGCGAAGTCACGACCTTCACCCTAGACGCAACGCGGTGAATTTCTTTCAAAGTGGTTAAAATCACTAGTGTGTTCATCTCAAATCGCCCTTGGAAGTGAAGTCATAACCCCCTTTCAAATTCTATACATCCCTGCCAACTCGAACATCCTTGACCTGCTTGTATCCACCCAAAGCGTACCACCGTAGTGCTTCAGTAAAAGCTGTGTCTTTACCGGGCGCACTACCAAACGTACCAGTGCTCGACTCAAACAGATCCCTTTCGCGGCGAGAAAATCCATCTAAACGATCTAGTCGGTCTTTCACTGACCAGTGATCATACTTCCTCCACGAAGCTGGCTCTCTGAATGGTTCATAAGGGAATGGCATGAGAGTACGACTATCATGATCATCAAGAGTGAAGAAACTGTGTGCAATTCGCTATGGAGACTTGCTCGGGTGGAACACCAGCAGGTTTGAAAGATTGCTTCCCTGAAGCGATTGTGCCAGCCGAGGCCTTCAAAGTGGCGTGCAGTCCATACCGATGGAGCTCACCGTAGAGATGGGGTTGGCCCCAGTGGAGCCAGGTTCCTCCCATCTCAAGGTCTTCTCCAAGCACTTTGGTAGTCCATGTGCGCCCTCCGATACGATCTGTTGCCTCAAGGAGAGGGACTTTCAGGTTATGCATCTGGCTTAGGCCGCGCTCTGCGATGAGACCAGCAAATACGGTGCCAATGACAATGACATCGTTTTCTTGAATTGATGAGGAGCTCCTTTGAATGGCATCTGTTGGTAGACCTTCTGTGGCGCCTTAGGGCGTCCAGAGATATCTTTATATGGAGATGGGAGACATGGCAGAAGCTCAACGACGGTTTCTTTGGAGACTACTTTACTTTGATGATCTTGCTGTGGTATATATGTTTCTTTAGGCTCGAACTTATTATCACAAAACATAAGAAATGCGGACTGTTCCGACTTATTCTATCTAAATTATTGTAACCAAGATAGGGGGATCTTCAATCACGCACTTTATTGACTATTCTGACTTGTAAATATATACAGCCCACCACATTAAATGCAAGTCCAACTCACCAACTTTTTACAACTTGCTTAACGGCATACTACCACATTTCCACGCAATACCATAAGTTTCTGAAGAAAATGTAATTGTACTACCGCGAGCGAAGTAAAAGGTATGGCTTGTTCCAATAGCTGCAATTTTTCCCAGACTCATCTCGAAAAATCATTTCAACTACAAGAATTCGTCTTGTTTCCCTGGTAGCAATCGCAAGGTTCTTTACCTTCTAGCACGACGCCAACCTCATCATAATCATAGGTCGGAGGTGTAGATTCTGGCCCCTTTTCAATGCGGAACCAAGCTCCAACTATGGGATTAGTGACTTGCTCATTTTCCGTTCCAAGATCATCAGCTATACAGAAGTGATTATCAGCCCGCAGAAAATGAACAGTGAAGTCTAATCATTGACAGACTTACCGAAGTAATCGTTCGGTATACCTCCGAAGTTGGGGATTTTGAAGATCTCGGCGTAGTCTTTGATTTGGAACACCATTTTGCACTTGGAGAATCGAAACAATTGCAATGTAATAACTCGAGAATCAATTTGCTTTTTATCTGCTATGCTCGTCGACATTGAGATACATCTCAGTGGAGTTTAGATGTGTTGACAAATCGCGTTCATTATCGCACTAAAAGCCTAATTAGGATAGAAAGCACGAATTCTGCGCTAGCGGCATCTTTGAAGGACCATATACTAAAATGCTCCAGAAAGAAGTAATAAATTGCATTCTATAATTCTATATGTCCGTAGCAGAACAGCTGCTCAGGTGGAGTGATATTCCAAACAACATTGCACAATTTACATAGGACCTCGGCACTTATAATAAGAATAAAACAAAAAGAAATATCATTATCATTAGAATAGTGTCCAAATAAACTAACAGTTGAGTGATAGAATTGCACATGCTCGTTATACATCAGTGACCAGAGCCACCCATAATCGGCCCTTCATATACTTTCCGACCTTTCCAAACCCAGTAAATCATGCTAAAGATTAAAACCACACCAAAGATGAGAGACGCGTAATTCATGTTCACAGGTGTGACAGGCTGGTATGAAGGGAACAGCATGAAGATACACGTGAATCCCAGATAAATCAAGGAGATGATATTGACCGGTATGCCAAAGGCTCCAAGCTTCCATGGCCCATAGGTCAAGATCTCTGGCGTGCATAGACGGCGCCAAAGCATGAAAATAACTGGCAGCATGTATGAAACATGCAGTCCGAAGACTGCAAGAGAGAGGATGGCGTTGAATGCCGTTGTCGAGCCAATGTTGACGAAGCCCAGGATGAAAAGGAATACAGAGACGGCTGCTACCGACCAGATGGGAACGCGATCTTTCTTGCTCACCTTTGATAGTTGTCTCGAGAAGGGAAAGGCTAGATATTTCCATGTCAGCGTCTGTACCGAAACTAAAGCCTGAAAGACCAATATACCTTTATCACGAGCCAAGCACCAAAGCATACGTGCTGTTGAGGCTATCAGCGGGATAGTAGCCAAAGCAGCTGTCACAATGAGCGTGCAAGTCATGGCAGTGGCAGCAGCTGGACTACCAGTAACACTCCTGAAGATTTCAATAATGGGAAACCCGGTAGCAGAGTTGAGCGCGGTGGTCATGTCACCCATACAAAACAGAATTGCCAACAAAAATGCAAACCCCATAATTCCATTGACAGCAAGAGATCCAAGCATACACCATGGGACAGAAACCGCTGGGTTCAGCATTTCTTCGCAGAGATGGATTGCACCATCATATCCTTTTGTCAATATGTTAGCTTGGATGGGTCTTCCGTACGATTAACGGTACGTACCGGCTAACACATAGCAACTTGAAAGCATTCCAATACTCCAAGAAACACCATCACTCGACCAACCCGAGTTGTTTTCGAACAAGGTAAACACAAAGCTGGCGGAGTGTTTGATTGGAGCACACACCCACATGACGATGAAGACCACGACGAATGCAACAATATGAATGATAAGAGAGGCATTCTCAATTAACGCCATCAGGCGATTCCCCCAGATGTTCATCGCCCCTGATCCCATCAATAGCGCCCAATATATCATTGTTCCGTGCCATCGTTGGTAGACATAGGAGTCGGAGTTGAGGGTGATCAGGCCTTGGATCATTGTCGCAGCCAGGAAGGGTGCACTGGCTGTGAATGCAACCCAGCCAAAGGTGCCTTAGATAAATTAGCAGAAGTCAAACCTGCTTTCAGGTTGGAACTTACCTATCCAGCCTGTGAGCCAACTGAGGAGGTACTGCCATTTCTTCGGGGCGAGCTTTGCGATGAAATGGTATTGTCCACCGGCAGTAGGGTACCTATTCAGACGTTTAGCTCACACTCTGACATTCCGATGTACCCGTACTTACATTGAAGTCATTTCACCCAGTGATGCAGCAGTTGCTACAGCACCAATAAAGGCCACTGTGAATCCAAGTCAGTATTCTCAGTATTCTCAGTTGGTAGCTACCGGTACTTACCAATGAACCCATAGAATAATGAGACTGGTCCTCCACTGACCAAGGCTGAAACCATTGTACTGTCGCTGGATGAGTCCCGACCATGTAATCAAGTCAATAGACTTACCTTGACAGAGCCTCCCATGTTGCCATCAACACCGCAGCCATAGACAGAATAGTCAAAGCAGAATAGTTTTGCTGCAAATCAAGACGAAAAATCAATACAGTGGCTTCATCAAACAAAGATTCGACTGATTACCTTCAACCGCACTTCACTCACGACCCCTTCACCCTCATCCTGATATGAAGATAAACCATATTCAACGCTTTTCTTCGCCATTGCATCCATTTCTCCCATAGAATTCCAAGTAATATGGAAGGAGCATGGCGTCTCGAAAGTGGACTCTGGGTGGCTGCAATACTTATACAGACATCGAGTATCAAAAAGTGGCAAATCTATGCACCGGCAGTGATAAACTCTAGTCTATTACGGGGCTTATCTCCTGAATGCGGGGGTTCCGAGATTCCGAACCGTGTACGAATTTGATAAAGCTTACAGTTTGGGAAGGCAAGATAATTGGTTATATACGTTCTAGAAATGGCTGTCTGGCTATTTTATCCAGGAAGTTAGAATTGCTGGCTTGGTTCAATTGGTTATGGCCAATTCGGTTTGTACTGATGTCTAGGAAAGGAACCGGGGTACCGAGTGATACTGCGGAACTAAACCTAACATTCAAGGCTAGACCCTTCTGGGAGAGAAAGTGCTCGGAAAACCGATTGGTCCCATGTTGATTGTGCGCTTATAATTGGGCCATACTGGTATTGTAGTTTGGTCTCGCGCTGTCAGGTCTTAGTTCCACTTATTGGGCTGATTTTTGCCATCTCCTAAAAGTATGTTGGATGTCATTTACGTTTGGAACAGAAAGACCGCGGACTATAGCGGATTATTCCGCACAATGACAGAACTACTCATTCTATAACCGAGGGATTGGGATTTGGGCCGTGAGAAGCGGGAAAGCAGTGATGTTGCCATGGCACCCCTTTCACACCCCCGCCTTTAATCGATTGATACAAACCCGAAGCATTTGAAAATCGCCCAAAGAGTTTTTAGAAAAGAGAGGCTGGGTTAGGGACCGAACTATGCATGAACCAGTCTACTCGCGTTCAAGGCCTTTGTTGCCCACTGCTTTATCAGTGGGCTGTATCCACATTTATGACACCGTAGGGAGCATTTCTCGGAAACCGTGATATAAGATAAGATACGCATCCACATACGCATCGAATTGCATTGCATTGCTATCTCCGAAGACATCCTATCCAAAGATAGACTCCAAGCGTTCCTCAATCATGACCTCCATCCAACGTGTCATTCCGAAAAAATCAGATCCCAGTGCTTGATTAAAACCGAAGCATCGGAATGATTCCACGCCAGCTCGAGTAGCTGCCTAGCCCGAGCAATTGGCTCAAGAGCGACGAAGTTGTGCATAAGCTCAAGTCTGTTTCGGATGAAAGAGCAGTGGTGAATCATATAATCGGACGCATGTATAAATTTGAGTTCTTGTTCAAATGTTGGATTTGTATTAGATGCAGGATGAGTGGTTTCCAAATTGCAATGATCGGAAATAATTCGATTTGGTTGGACAACACTGCCGACGATGATCAACGGTAATGTTAGAAAAACGTTGACACGGGATTCTGCCGGTATGGTCGCCATTATGTAGACAGAAGTGGTTGCTAATATAAGGACAATCTACGAGGTAATGCAGGCATGGCCAATTGCTTAAAAGCAACCTAAACTCTCATTGAGCTTTAGCAAATATGAGGACAGAGAAGAGAAGCTTTATCAAAATCAAGTAAGCGGGGAAAGGCAGAATTGAAAATGCCTTTTTGATAGGAATATATATCTGAAACTTGCATTATATATCCAAATCTCAATCAAATAAGAGACAAATCTCATGGATCTGTGACTCGAAGTATACTCCGGAGCCGGTAACACCTGAGGAACCAACGCCAAGACCACTAAACCCGAAATGGACCACCAACCTCGACCGTCACCCTGGCTCTTCAATGTCCTCGAACTCTGCTGATATTCAACAACATCAGACTTGATCTACAATTACAATGCTTTCTCAATCGGCGCGTCGGCTTACACCGGCCATGTTGTCTCTGCAATCCGCTCGTGCCCCCATCAGCCGACGCACCTTCACCTCGACACATGCCGCAAGGAACTCATCTCCACAGCCCAGTGCCTACAAAGAAGGGGTATGTATTCGATCATTGTAACCGGTTCAATTGATTTATGAGTTCAACTGCTAATTTCTATCAGATGAACCAATATAAGACCTTTATGGGCCCCTTCGCCAAGGTCTTCCTAGGAGGCGTGTTCGTTTACCAAGTTATCTACTGGACATGGTTGAAGCTGGAGATGGATGAGACGAAAGTGCGAAAAAATGGTTAGTTCAACCCTCTTCCCTTGTCATCAAATATATACGTTGCTAACTTCTCACAGAACAAGTGGCCGTTCTAGAAAAACAGGCCCGGGAAATCGCCGATACCCAGAAATAATTTCCATCTTGAAAAATTTGTACAATAGATGTATTCATGAAGCTCTGAGCTATATCTCACTGTGTCTAATCTGATCTGATTGACAACAATTCCAAACTGGAGCAACAAGTCCGAAGTCCCAAACGCCAAACATTGCAAAGATAATCTATAGTAAATCCATCCAACATTATTGATCCCAAACGGCTATAGAGCAGCAAGCTTACGCTTTCTCGTCCCAAGTGCAGCAGCCTTCCTAGGCGGATTTTTCAAACCAGCTAACGAAGCCGCATCCAAACCCGTATCCATAACATCGGACGCAGACGGGAACCGCCAATCAACCCCCCTCTCCCCCTTCTTAAAATGATCCCGATCAATATGATTAAACCGCTCATCCAGCGCCGCAACACCCTCACTCCGAAGCGGAATCTTCCGATCACAAAACCCACACCAAAACTGCGATCCATCCGCCAGATCGAGTCGATTCGTGCTAGCACGCGCCGCAACTTCATATTCATGAACGCCATGCCCGCGCACATGCTGCGTATACGTATCCACGCTGCCGAACAACCGCTCACATACAGTACCCTTGTGCGAATCATGGGCTGTGCAGATCCAGCTGGGGACGTGGAGATGTTGAGATGTCTCGTGGCGTTTCCAGTCAGCTTTGCTGCCGAAGGATTTGGCGCAGTGGGGGAATGTACAGCCGTAGGGTCTTTCGTGGCGTTTTTGGTGCTTTTTCATTTCGCAGCGGAGGCGGGTTTGTTTGGGGCAGGCGTCGCATTGGAACCAGCTTCTTCTTGGGTTGGGTTCGGCTTGGGTTGGGCTGCCTGTTTCGTCCGAGAGCCGTTCTAGGGCTACTGAGAGGACTTTTTGGAGCATTTGGCGTTGGGGTTGGGTTAGTTGCGTATTATCTGATTCGAGGTCGATTCCTTCGTCGATTGTTTGGCTCGATTTGCGGTTGCGGTTGTTCATCATCTTTGTCATTGCGTTTATGAGATTGTCTGCTGCGTCGGTTACCGAGTTGTCAGGTTTGGTGTTGGCTCTTTCTGTCGTGGGGTCTTGGGTTGTTGGTGATACGCCCCATGGGCTGAAGATGGGGAATTGAGATGGTTCAGAGTCGGCGATTGAGGTGTTGTATTGGGTGGGCTGGGTGGCACCGAATGTGAACAGACCGGTCTGCTCTTGCAAGACTGGCTCGAATTCGGTGGTGGATTGGACAGATGAGACATCGTCTTGTTCTTCAGAAACTGATTCATCTCGAGTGCTGCGCTCGTCGAAGCTCTGTCCTGCGTGACGGCCGTTGACCTTGTCATACCAGTCCATGGACCTGTTCCTGGTTAGCATTGATGCCTTTTACCTAGGCTGGATATAAGGAAGACTCACTTCTTCAATAGCGCATCTCCATCTTCGTCATGATGCATGCGGTTAAGGTGTTGCTTGAAGTTATCCAAGCGTGGCCATTTCTTATTTGGTCGTGGGCAGCTTGAGCCGAAGCACATGTACATCATCTTCGGCCCACGCTCAGGCTCCTTGTTATGCACGCATTTCTTATGACGGGCGAGGTCATTGATAGTCCCGAATCCTTCCTTGCGAGGACAATTCGGCTCGTCGCATTTGAACAACTTGCGATGGCGAGCCTCGTGCTTCCTATCACACCGTTAGTTCCGGAACGACCTCAACCAAAGAACCAAACATACCTCTTATCTGATGGACACTTCCCACTCCACTCACAAGAAGGATGATCACACTTAAAAACACCATCAAACATCTGCGACGGCGACCCAGCAAGCTCAGAAGCAAGCGAAGAACCAGATGCATAACGCGCATGAGCAAACAAAGGCGCGGAACCAGCCGCGTTCTCCTTGGCACCAATTTGCGGCGACGAATCAACGCCATAAGTCGAAGCGACAACAGACTGTGTTGCGCAACTCGTTCCTCCATATCCCGAATCCGCCGAATAACTACCCATATATTGGCTCCCGCTCTCAGAAGGATCACTGTACTGATGATGCGACAAGCAGTAATCCTGCTCGGGTAACGGCGCCGACATATTCATATGCGACAGCGACGAGGATGCCGGGACACCAGTGAGCAGGAGTGGATTCCAGGCATCTTGATCGGTCAGACGGGAAGGGTAGTTTGAATAGTAGACATCTCGGGTAGACCAGCCATTCAGGAACGATGGGTCGAGAGACAGGTCGGATCCGAGGTGGAGGTCTAAGAGAGGTTGAGATGAGTCGAAGGGGAGAGAGTGCTTGAGATCGTGAGATCTATCCATGCCCTGGAGAAGGTCTGTGGAGTCGTTCCAGCCGGAGTCCTGGGGGGTGGGGTTAGCACTGTGTATATAATTGGTGTATGTTTCGAATCAAGTGGAGGGACACGAACCTCCATATCTCTGATGGGTAAGTAGTGTATCGGGATGGAGTAGATAGGAGAGAGAATATAACATGAAACGAGACGGGAGGGGCAGGATTAAATGTCTACACTCATGCATACAAATGCCAAAACCCAACACGCGAGAGACACGCTCCACTTCGCCCCGAGCCGGCCACGCGAAGGGAATGTGTGAAGCAGAAAAAAGTAAAGTTCACCCTCGCGTGCTGAAGCGTGGAATGTCATCCCTTGATTGCACAGCCCACTATCCTGTATTGTATACGGGAATAACATCATCCAGTCTGGACTAGGATAGTAGATGAGGCTAATAGCTTGAATCAGAAATTACAGTAGATCACTCCACCGAAGATCCCGATATCCTTAGGATGGATAGCCCATATCGTATTCAAAGAAACAGGACCAGGGCTTACGCTGGGAGTATCCTACCTGTACGCACAACGTAAGTCAGCACATCCCCTGCACGAGGCATGCAAGACAAAACAAAAAATCCTCAGCTTACCAGCCCGAAGATCCCAAAATGAAAGAGCGTAAAAAGCAGGGAAGCAAGGGTCATCTCTGACCGGGGGAGCGATCGGCATGGAGATCGGCGATGCCATGTTGCAAGGGATGGAATAGTGCACGTTTAAGCGAAGAATACGATGTGCAATGTGGAGATATTTGATTTTGACTTTGACTCTGAGACCTGAAACGAGGCGAAAGTCTGATCTCAACTGTCATATCCAGCTAAATTCAGCCCACCTATATTCAGCGGGTGGGAGTTCGCGTGGAACTAGGGAGTGGTTCTTGGTTTCTGGTTACCCGTGCATCTAGTTCGGGTCTAGTACTATTTAGGAAAAGTAGCAATAAGTACAATATGATGCTTCATATGCTGCCTGTTATGCGCGGTTTACGGTCTGAAGTGGAATATCCGAAATAAGGGTCCTGCACTGGTATGTGGTGATGTAAAAGGGGGTGTTCATAGCCATCATTCCGACATAACTCGCTAAACATGGCAGATTCCGTCTCTGCTCATGTGCCACCTGTGGCGCTGTAGCCGATGAAAATTGAAAGTTATGCAAGATTGCCTGCCAATGAAAAGGGGGAATAAGAAAGACAGTCCAAACAACAGACAAAAAAAAAAAAGAAGAAGAATATCAAGGGAGAGGATAAGAATCAAGGGAGAATCACATCCGGGAAGGACAACCCGAGGAATAAGTGGAAGAGTAGTTCATGTCGGGTTGATAAGCATAAGTGCCATCGGCGGGGTACACAGATTGAAACTGATACGAGTTCATCTCTGACTCTGGAGTTCTCGGCCTCGGAATGGCGTAGGGTGGGTACGTCAATGAGCTTTGATGCAGGGGATGAGTCTGGGCCTGGGCGTGAGCCTGTGACGGGTGGAGCGCAGAGCCGAACTGACCCACTCCGTACGCATACTGGTCAGGGGTGAGCGAATCAGTCATGGACCCCGGCATGGACTCGGGCTCCTCAATAAGTGGACTGCCAGAGATAGTGGGGAAGTCGACAGGGCCGTTAAATGAGAACGCAGGGATGGGCGTGCTAGTGTTTCGAGTTGTGTAGTTTGATGACGTTTCGAGAGGTTCGTGTCCATACGTAAGAGAGGGCGAGGGATAGGTTGCCGATGATCCGCGAACCGGTTCCACTTTGAGGTTGGCATGGCTGTGAGTCGGGGCAGGGCTTAGGGCGCTCGGTTTTGCTAGATGTAAGACAGGCATGGCGAGTTGTTCCATGTGTTTGCCAAGGTGGACCGATAATTTTCTCCAGTCGCTACAGACATTCCCGCAGAATCGACACGGCTCTGATTGGGGCGTTCGGTCCGTGTCATGCCGACATTCTTCGACCGTTTGCCATAAGCGTTTCACATCTTCTTCTCTTCGGCTGTTCGGCAAAATATCGGCTTCCGAGGTCTTGCCGTTTTTGAGCTTGGGCTCTGGCATTTTGTGTTCTCGGACCAAATGCTGCACAAAGTTGTCTTTCCGGAAGCACGTATGATGGCATTCGGGGAATGCGCAGGTCCACCATTCCAGCTGTCGGTGTTTTTCGTTCTCGTGGCGGACCCAGTCTGCCTTACGCTTGAATGACTTGGGCTCGGTGCAGTGAGGGAATGTACAAGTAAATGGTTGAATGTCCTCTTGAACGTGTTTAGACCAGTCGGATGGCTTCTGAAACTTCTTGACCTCGAAGCAAATCGGACATTCGAATTGAGCAGGGAGTTGGTTGACCGGCGGTGGAGGCACTCCGGGAGGGTATTGTGCTGCAGTGGCAGTAGTTTCCACTGTAGAATGTTGTTCATGTCCCGGACTGTGATTCTTGACTCGGAACTGACTCTGACCTGTCTCCGATCCAGTGGGAACCTTGGACTGTGGTAGGAAAGTGGCTTGTCCGCCTGAGGCGAAACAAAATGTCCGAGACTTGCATGTCTGATTGACGACCGCCTGGGAATGATTTTGCTGCAATTCGACCAAAATCTTAAAGCGGCGATCTTGTTCATGTGCAAGACGGTGAAGTAAAGCCGGTTCAAGTCTCGGATTCAATTGCATGATCTGCGATTTGAACCCTTCAATTGTCGGCTCTGGGAGGCTCTGTACAGCTGGGAAATCCATGACAATTCCCTTACTGTCTCCCATGACATTGTCTTTGTTCTCGCAAATGGGTTTAATGCCAAGTAATGGGCTTCTTGGTGGATGGGCAGCGTCTGAGCTGAACCGCCCAGGTGAAGTAATGTTCGGGACTGGTGGTCCACCATGAGCAGTCATCAAGTTCATCAATCCTGGGTTAGAAGGTCGAGGAACTTCACTTCTGCTCCGACCTCGGCTCTTGAGTGGCAGACTTAATGAATGTCTCTCTGGATTTGGTGAAGGTGCAGGTGCAGGTGAGGCCGCTTGGACAGAGCTACTCCCCCCAACGGCAGCCATTTGACTAGACATGGAAAGAAGAGCATTGGTCAGGCTCGGTGACCGGGAATGCCGACGGGGACGGGTTGAGAAGACATTCCGGGGCGAGTACGGTTTCGGTTGGGGTTCTGGTGCTTCACGCAGTTGAGGTCCAGGGTAGGTGCTGGATTGACTGATGAGGGATAGGTCGGAAGCTGAGCGCTTTATCTTCGAAGACGCTTGTTGGATCCAAGGACGTTTTAAAAGACTTAAGCGTCTTTTCGGTTGATCTTTAACTGAGAATTTCTCAAGAGATGTAGTGACGTTGATGATACTGTTGTTGTCGATTGTTGCTGTAAGCGACGCCGTTTCAAGATCGCGAACACGTTTCTCAAAAGCTATCATAGCATCGGTCGAGCTAGTCGGCTGCATAGCTTCTGATCTCGGGCTCGAGTCGTGAGGTGGGTCGTGCCAGGGGTATAAACGGAGGCCTTCATCTGGTTGATTAAGGGATGAATAGACCTCGGGTGTGCTGCGATCATATCTACCAGGCTCATCGACGTTGGCCGGTATTGAGTCCGAACCAGTAGCAATACTTTCCTCGTCCTCGCTAAGCAATTCATCACTGCTTTCGTGCACCAGAACCCCAGGTCCGGGGAACGAGCGACCCGCAGAGCGACATTTCAAACTGAAATAATCTTCTTCTTTCAGAGGACGATCTCCAGTACTCCTCGCTCGAAGTCTGCTGGGCACATGGTGTCGGCGAGGAGGACTAGGCGGTTCATCGCCGGCCTCGCTGTTAGCGCAGCTCACAGATACAGACCAGTGTGTGATGTCCTCGTTCCTCTCCTCCCTTTCGCGCTTGATTTGGATATCATTAGGACTCGGCACGTATTCGTTTCCGCGAGAGTCTGGGTCGATACCGGCTAGGTGGGTAGAAGGGTGTCGGATCCACTCGCCATTTGGAGACCGCGGGACCGAGACAGACGAAATGGATTTGTGATCATCGGAATCACTGCCGGACTCACTCGATTGATCGTTCGGGTCCGCTGCGGAGAGGTGCGCAGAAGATTGGCTGCGGTGCCTCTGGTGGCCAGTCGTACGTCCTTTTGGTGAATCGCCTCGAGAGAAAGTCTCAATCTTGAAGACTGGACTCCTTCCCCTGGTCATGTCCGATGCCAGCTCATTACTTGACTCCTGGTTAGTCGTAGCGGTGAGTCGGGATGGCTCATTCAATGGGACATGCGAGACACCAAGACCGGCTTGGTAAGAGCGGGGAATCGACTGCACGGTGTTGGTATTGTCAAATTCTAGACTTGGCATAGCGCCCGATGGATTCTGATTCATCTCCGAGCTCGTCCTCGTCCACTGGAACACATTTGGGGCCATGGGCGAAGACCACACAGGATCGACAGGCACGGAATTGTCCGTCCGGTAGGAAGAAAAGCTCTCATCGCGCCAGCTACTCGAGCCACTGGCCAATTCAATCGCCTGCGGTTCGACGAAGGCGTGTTCGGAAAGAGGGGAAGTGCACGCGCTATTATGATCATTTCGGGGGTCCAAATAGCCCGCCTGTAGTGTGGAGTCGATCCCCGCGTCCTGAGGAGAGCCCAATATCTGCCCTGTCTGTCCAGGACTCGCCGACGGTGTTAATCGAATAGCGCTGGCTTGGAAGTAGATTTCTTCGGGGTCGGATGTCGCAGACAAATAGGGATCTGGCGCGTGACGGTCCTGGAGCGCATTGTCTGGCGAAAGCTCCTGACTGTGGGGTGAAGCTAGCGACATATTGGAGTTGTTAAATCCCCGAGATCGAGCGCAAATGTTCGCCTTGAGCACAGGCGACTTCAAGGCCAGAGGTAAAGTGGTCCATGCGGGTTTGGGGGGTTGAGGTTATAAAAGCGATTTACAGTGTATCGGCCGCTGAAGAGAGTGGACTATGTTCAGAAACAAGAAACATGAGCAAGTTGAAGATATGAAAAGAGACAAAAAAAAAAAGGAGATGGGGGCCGATCCCAGATCCCTCTAGGATGTTAGCGAGATGAGGGGAACTTGAGGCTGAACAAGCGCCGGGCGCAAATTGCAAGTCCCACTGTTCTTAGCTGTTCTTATTCTGTACTGCAAACTGTAGTTGGATGGAGATGTTAGGACATAGAAAAGGAAAAAGTATTCTCTAAGCCTCAACGCAGGAGGGCTGTGGCTAGTACGAGTCGCATGATTTAGGCTTACTCGGATTGCCCGAAATAGCCAACTTCTCTCGAGATGTAACTTGTTTTGATCCTGGCCAATTTGGCGCCCCAGCCACAGCGCTTTGTATGTATCAAATATTTCTATTCTTGTCCTCAGCCTCCTCTACAGGGCTGAAATGTGAATCCATGCGCTTGTTGGCGATATGCGACGCGGCCGTTAGTTATACTTTGAAACGTCGGTATGGGTCTTCCGAGCTATCCACATGTTCGTTGGGCATCCGAACGAGGTCTAATTTTGGTGAAGTCCGGTCTCATTCTTATTTGATAATATAACTTATAGAATGACTGTGAAGGTGTACCCACAATAGCTTCACAGAAATGGCCCCCACTACTTGCAGAACAAGAATAACCACAGCCCCAATGCTGAGTATTCCTGCGACTTAGCGTGATATCGCCGAAACACACCGTCGCAGTGCACAGAGTTATGATCCCTCCCTGGTTTATCTCTTCGGGGTGACGGTCCACGATCCTTCACCATGGGCTCTAAATAAACAACTCTGCCTCCTGTATCTGCATCTATATCGGGCGACATTTGCAAGACTTCTATCAAGTTTGAGCCATCTAGAACAGACGTTACAGCGGGGACCAGTCCTCACACCCAAACCTGTGGGGTCTGAGACATAATTAAAGCAGAGAGTGGCAGTATCAACTCATAAAAAAAAAGATGGGTGGCACAATCATGGCTTGTAACTAGCCGTAAGGATGGGCTAAAAGGTAACGGAGCATAGGGCTAATGTCAACTTGGAAGAAAGCCGGGAGATAGAACAGACCCATGGAAAAGGTCAAGCACGCCGGGGGAGTCAACCACTATATAACCACGCAAACCAACCGATAAACAACACGCATCAGATAACCAGAAACAGCGCACCATTAAACAAAGATCAACCAATCCAAATCACACAACCCGCCAAGAAACCCCAGATAAGAAAAGGAGCCTAAGCCCTAGATGGGTGTAAGATCCGATTATCACAACCCCGAATGATAACTGGATCTATAATGGTATCATTATCAGGAACGATATATCCCACAGTCATGGAAATCAAAGAGATGGAACTATCATCTGTAGATCGGGTCCAACACGTCTACTTTCAAAGATTCCCATTGATGGATTCAGGGTCTTGGCTATTGCCAGATCGTAGATAAGAGGCTTGGTACTCGTGTTTCGCATATGATATCCACTAGAACCATGGCCATGGGAAATGATATAACTATCTGATATTGTCTCCCCCGGAGGAAGGGGACGGGGTGGAGGCAAGCTCTTACAATGGCCGACTCTGTAAGTTTCTACCCCGAGCAAGTACGATATGGACTGTGGATTGCTGACGCAGCTCGATTGACAGCCAGTATATAACGCATCCACCCCTACCGGGGGCGATCCCCTCAAAGTTGATGTGAATGGCCAGTATGCAGGCGTTGAGTGGAATTACATTTACATTGTCTTTTGTGGATTCATAGTTTGGTTGATTATCCCCGGAATTGGTCTGCTTTATAGTGGATTGGCACGACGGAAGTCTGCACTCGCATTGCTTTTTCAATCGTTGATGGTTGTGGCCGTGTATGTTGGACCTCTGCGCTCTCTGCTCATGTGAATGGAACTAATATGAAGAGTAGGACGACCTTCCAATGGATTTTCTGGGGATACTCCCTGGCCTATGCGCGGGATGCAAGCCCGTTCATTGGTACATTAAAGAACTTCGGTTTGAAGGGCGTGATGGCGGCGCCGTCACCTGGTTCAGCTGATCTGCCCGAGATTGTGTTCTGTTTCTATCAGCTTCTGTTCTGTGCATGCACAGTCATGATCGTTGTCGGCGGAGCATTCGAAAGAGGAAACATGATCCCCTCGCTAATCTTCAGCTTCTGTTGGGCAACCGTCGTCTACTGCCCGCTAGCCTGTTGGACCTGGAACAGTAACGGTTGGCTATATAACCTGCCCTCGCTCGACTTTGCCGGTGGCGGCCCTGTACACATCGCCTCGGGCTGGTCAGCACTTGCCTACGCCTTCGTCCTAGGAAAGCGCAAGCACCTCGACCAACCATCAACCGCCAAACCACACAACACGACCCTAGTCTTCCTAGGAACGACCCTGATCTGGTTTGGATGGTTTGGCTTCAACGTGAGTCACACCCACACGTCACAGTAAATCCAGTCTGACTGTCTGCAGGGTGGCTCAGCTCTCAACGCCAGCATTCGAGCAATGCTAGCGGCATTCAACACCAACACGGCCGCTTGCACAGGAGTCCTAGGCTGGGTTTTAGTCGACTACATCAAACATCGCGGCAAATTCTCCGTGGTAGGCGCATGCGAAGGCGCCATCGCAGGCCTGGTAGGAATCACACCGGCCGCAGGCTTCGTATCAATCTGGCTAGCAGCCGTAATCGGCTTCATCACCAGCGTCGTATGCGCCAGTCTTCAAGATCTGAACGATTGGCTGCACATCGATGAGGGAATGGACGTGTTCAAACTCCACGGCGTTGGAGGCATGGTAGGAGCCTTCCTAACGGGTATCTTTGCGTCGCAGTCGATCGCAGCACTGGATGGTGTCACCGAGGCGACTGGTGGTATTGATGGGAATGGCATGCAGGTTGGGAAACAATTGGCGGAGGTGTGTGCCATCTCCGCGTATTCATTTATTGTTTCGTGTATTCTGCTCTATATCCTGAAGTTTGTTCCCGGGATGCACTTGCGCGTGCATGAGGAGATGGAAATGGTTGGATTGGACCGGGCGCAATTTATTGATGAGCAGATTGGGGAGCGTGGGATTCTGGGCGATCTTTGCGGGTCTTCGCCATCACCACCGGCTGGGGCTGTCAACGAGGGGGTTGTGGTTGGTTTGGAGAAGAGATAGGGTCTCGGGGACGTGCCGCGCCAAGACTGTCTCTACTGTACGTCTGCATTGCAGGTTCTTTACTTGAACGCGCAAGCACGGGATATCTCAACCTTAATCCAGTGGAACAAGGTGTCCTATTTATTTTAAAGGGACAAGTTACATACACATAAGTCAATATGTAAAACATACTCCGTACTGTCAACGTAAAGGATCAGACCCTGAGACCCTGAGCGGCATCAAGGGCCGATGCCAAGAAAGCTGACGTATGCCTGGTCTAGCCTGCATTCCATGACGAGGCCTGGAGTAAAGCTGACATGCATGTGTAGATGCAGGGAAATAAGGAATAATCAGTCACACTTCAATATTACTTACTGTTTAGATGTGCATTTATTGATTAATATTGAATGAAAATATAAAAAAAGAAAAACAGAATTGACATTTAACGGTAATACCCGGTAAGAATACCCTTCTTAGCCTCTTCCGGCCACCTTTTTCGCCGTTTTTGCCACTGCAAATTTAGTCTCACCCGTCACGTTTTGTATCCCCGGAGCCGTCGCGTCCTCCCGCTTTTGGCTCCTTATCTCTTCTCCCCTCTACAATCTGTCATTCGTTTTGTCTTTGCCTTTGCCTTCGCTTTTCCCTGCTTTCGCCTTAATTAGGGGGTCCTTTCTTCTACCTTTGTACCAGCTTGTCATGATCTGCGAATAATCGAAATCGAGTCCAAATGGGCAAATGTATGTGCTCTCACCCCGACTTATCTCCCTCTCAATACTGACCGAATTAGGGCGTTATGGTGTCGTCCTGGACGCAGGCTCGTCTGTATGTTCGATTGGTGTCGTAGTATTGCTCACTCTCACTAACCCGCACAGGGGACTCGCGTACACGTTTACCGATGGCTACGAAATGCCGCTGCACGAAAGGACGCCGATGCGGAGGAGTTGAAATCGCTACCGGAGATTAAGACCAAGGAAGAATGGACCAAGAAGATTCACCCTGGTGAGTTCGATGAGATACGGCCGCAGCAAACGACGCTAACCCCTCCGTGAAAGGTGTCTCGTCCTTCGCCGAAAAACCCGAACTCGTTGGATCCGATCATTTGGCCGAACTTTTGGATCACGCAAAGGGGATCATTCCGAGAGAGGATGCGAAGGATACCCCGATCTTCCTACTCGCCACGGCGGGCATGCGATTACTTGGAAACCTCGAGCGGCAATTACTTCTGGACCAGATCTGTTCCTATGCCCGTGATAACACGGAGTTTCTACTACCAGACTGTGGGGTTCACATCCAGGTGATTCCAGGTGTGACTGAGGGACTTTATGGGTGGATTGCGACCAACTATCTCATGGGTGCGTTTGACACCCCCGACAAGCACGACCATGGGAAGGGACATCACACCTACGGATTCCTCGACATGGGTGGCGCATCTGCTCAGATTGCGTTTGCGCCGAATGCTACGGAAACGGAGAAGCACGCCAATGACCTGAAGTTGCTGCGGTTGCGGAATATTGACGGTTCGGTCCAAGAACATAGAGTGTTTGTCACTTCATGGTTGGAGTTTGGTGTGCATGAAGCACGCCGACGCTATCTGGAGGCTTTGCAAACTGCGACTGGACCTGAGATCAAGGAACTACCTGACCCTTGTCTTCCCAGTGGGTTGCGCACGACTCTAGACGGCCAGGATGTATCGGGTGAGAGTGAAGAGAGCTATCTATTGGGCACGGGCAAGTTCGACGAATGTCTACGGCAGACGTTTCCTTTGCTAGACAAGGATGCGCCTTGTGCAGATCAACCCTGTCTTCTGCACGGCATGCACGTTCCGGCCATTGATTTCGATGTCAACCATTTCATTGGAATCAGTGAGTACTGGCATACTACGCACGAGATTTTCGAAATGGGTTACAAGGATAAGGCGTATGACTTCAACACGTACCAGGAACGGGTCAAGACATTCTGCTCTCAAGACTGGGACTCGATCGAGCACGGTCTTGAAGCGAATCAGTGGGGGAAGAAGGTCAATCGTCAAAAGACCTCCGAGGTATGCTTCAAGGCGTCGTGGATCATTAACATGCTCCACGATGGTATTGGCGTTCCTCGCGTGGGGTTAGAAGAAATCACTTATCCTGCGCACAATGGCACCAAAGAAGTCCTGTCTCAAGGAAAGGAAAAGGGTTATCTCGACGCTTTCCAAGCCGTTAACAAGATTGACTCGACCGAAGTGAGCTGGACCCTAGGCAAGATCGTCTTGTATGCATCTTCCCAGGTGCCTATGGAGATTGAAGAGGCTCTCCCCGTTGGCTTTGGCAGCAACCTCCCCGGTGTGCCGTCAGACTTCCAATATCCCAGTGTTCAGCTATTGCCGGACTCCGACAGCTTCCACAGCGAGCACTGGCATGATGCCCTGTTTGACGGTGATTCGCCCCGCCGAATCCCAGGCTTCCTTCTCTTCATGTTTATCATCGTCGTGGCCGGCTTCTTCCTATGTGGACGCAGCCGCCGGTCACGCATCTACAATCGCGTCACTAATGTACTCCGTCGCGGCGGACCCTCCCACCCAAACCATCCCAAGAAGCGAAAGGGCCTCAAATCGATGCTCCCATTTCTCGGCCGGAACACCCCATCCTATGAACGAGTTCTCGAAGCCGGCGCCCAAGATTTCGAACTTGGCGTGACCGACTCAGACGGCAGCGAGGATGGAGGCCGTCTCTCGGAAGCCAACTCCGCCAGAATGGGACCACCAAAGCGAGCCTCTAGCTGGGGCAGCAACAGCAACACCCCAAGCTTTAAATACGCGTTAGACAACAGCTCAACTGGAACAATTGGACTCGGGATCAGCAGCGGCGGCTCAGGCATTGCAATTGATCGAGCAGGTCTAGTAGTCCGCACCGAAAGCAGGGACCATCTTGCCCCCATTGCTCTCGGACCTACCACCAACGGCCGTCGATCAAGAGCCGGCAGCCCGACAAGATCTCATCACCAAAAGTCTCCCAGCTTGACACCTCTCGGCGACGACTAATGCACACGACCTCCGATTTTATGCATAATTACCTACCATTCCCACATCGTGTTTCATTTGGAGTTGGTCTTTTGTGAGGTGCTGTCTCGTGGCTTTCTGCTTTCGATTCTTGGTATTATATTTCTCACTGTGCTCTGGAGTACCTTTTTGTTTTTTTGTTTTTTTTTTTGTGTTGGTTGCTGTCTCGACCTTATCCTGGTGATTCACACGTAGCGAGGAGTGTACCATTAGCGGACAGTGTTTTGAATATAGACTAATCCATGCATTAAATTTCTTACACAGTCATGATTCATTAGTTGTCAACAAGGCAAGGTTGGGGCATTTGAGCGTACATGAGCCTGACGCTTCTCGTAAGAGATGGAATGATCTGTGAGAAGCTTTGTGCCGAATTGCTTCGTAGAAAACCATACTCAGGTATACAAAAAAAGGAGAACAAGACTTCATTTAGAATATGCAATTGGCAATAAACATAGTCAAATTGCGTTCCTGTAGGCTGCACATGTGATAACGCTAGTTAACTAACGTTATCAACCTCACTCACAATGCAGCCTCGATATTTAGGCCATAACAGTCACGTGAGGAGATTGCAGTCACCGCCCGGCAAAAAGGGCTTCGACATAGCGAGAAACTGGCGCAATCAGCTTCCAATTCAATCATTGCCCTCGACAATTAAACCTGTCGCACGCCATATTACCCTTTCCCCCTCCATCTATGCAGTTGCGATTAAAGTTACTACTATAGCACTCCCTACCCCCGGCCACAGCCACCACCGCCACCATGCGCTTGACAGTCGAGCTCATTCAAAATTCCCTATCATACATCAACCCGCTCACAGACCGCGAGCTGGATCTCCGAGGTGCGTCCAAGAAATGCAAACCTTTCTGAAAGGAACAGGTACTACCCTTTGATCTGAGAGCTGGATTGATATCGTCTTTTTGCGCGTGCAGGGCACAAGATCCCCGCAATTGAGAACTTAGGTATTGCCAAAGTAAGTGCTGCCTGCGTGATGCAGTTTGGTCTGGATTGTGGTCTACTGTACTGGTTGCTGCTAGCCCAGCTTCATTTCGCTTTGCTACTGTTTTTCTGGGCTTGGTGTTAACCTCTCGCAGGATCAAGATACGATCGATTTCACCGACAATGACCTCTCTTCTCTCGGAAACTTCCCTCACTTTCCTCGCCTCTCTACCCTCCTCCTCGCTCGCAACCGTATCAGTCACATTCAGCCGTCGCTAGCAACCTCCCTGCCTAATATGAAGACCTTGGTCTTGACCGCGAACAATCTGTCTGAGCTTGTGGAGCTGGAAGGACTGCGGGGCTTGACCAAATTGACGCATTTGACTCTTATGGAGAATCCAGTGACACGGAAAGAGGTTCGTATCCTTCAAAACAGCAGCACACGAGCCCATACTAACCATCTCAGAACTACCGCTACTGGGTCATCTGGCGCATTCCCTCAGTCCGCTTCCTGGACTACCGCCAAGTGAAAGACGCCGAGCGCACCGCAGCAAAGGAAATCTTCGGCACCTTCGAGGAACCCTCATCCCTCGCATCCAAGATCCTAGGCGTCAAGACCCGCACTTTCGACGTCAGCGCAGCAGAGCGCGCCCCTACCGAGAAGGGCATCCGCGTACAACTGACCGACGCGGAGCGCAAACGTGTGGAGAAAATGATTCGCGAGGCAAAGAGTCTGCAGGAAATCACAAGGCTAGAGAAGGAACTGAACGAGGGCCGGATACCCGGTGGAGCACTCGGTGCGGAAGACGCGGACGGGGACGTGCAGATGTAAAGCAGACATCGACTCTGTTTGGGATCTACGGACAATGAACATACCATTATTCTTTCTGTTGTTTCTGTTTCTGTTTCTGTCGCTGTTCTCTGTTCTTTTTGGGGCTTAGCTTTCTGGTTTTCTTTTCTGGTCGTTCGGGATTCTCATATACCTGGCTTGAATTCCTGGGGTTCAGTGTGTATCATCTTGAGGGTTTCATTGCATGGCCGTGAAAATTTGAGCATTGAATCAAAATATTATCTCTACCATGTTGCATCCAAAGCGCCCAGGCACGGGCTTTGCCTGTAGAAACACCAATCAGAGCCAACCTCGCATTTCACCCGTAGCCATGGACGGGAATTGGTCCGATACACGATAAATACGTATCAGCCCTGCAACATATGGTTCAGTAAACGATAGCCGATCAATTAGACTTCTTCGGTGGCTTATTCTACGCCACGACAGGGGTCTGTTCGCGCTGACCATTGGCAATAATACATGACTGTAATTGATAGAAGGCTGTCAATAGTAGATAATAAATAGTGCATATATTAGCATACCCTGTAGATAGTATTATCAACACCCTCGCACTATCGAAGCACAAGTGCTCCGTAAATGTATAGTGGAGATATGGACAACAAGGCATTCAAACACAAATACATTATCAGACCATTTGTGGCTAGCAGGCAGGGGCTTTGACCAAGACCCATTCTCCCCTCGGGAAACGTTCAGCCGGGGAGGCGGTTCTGGATGCATATTGTACAGTAGCATCAAGCAATACATAATAGAAGAAGAAAACGATTGACAGGGGAAACACTATAGTGTGGCTGACTATTATTTCGGATCCGGGGTTCAGGCTCAAAGCTACCAGACTTTGAGACGGGAGTGGCTGTCAATTTTAATCCAATACCAAGTACTCTAAAAGGTCTACATTACAGTGCATAGTGTAAAGAGAAGTGTAGGCACGGACACAAATAAGTGAACACATATTAATCCCACCAAAACGGCAATTCACCCGTCGATATACTGTAAAACGGGGCACGCTACACAGAAAAACGCTAGAAAAAAAAAAAAAAAAACAATAAGAAAAAAATGAGACAAAAACTCCTCCGCACTCGGCCCATATTCGGCCATGGTTCGCATGGTATGATCACCGAGCATCCCTACTACACATAGTCTAGATCGAGTTTCAGCACCGATGAACGGCCCAGAAAAGCAGGAAACGATTAGATATTCTCCGGCTAGAGGATTTAGGGCTTATATTGGTGTTTGGGGTTGGAGAATTGGGTTTGAACGGTAGGTTTTCCGGAGACTCATACATGTAGAGAGACTGTTTTGAATATTTGGAGAGGTGATCTTTGCCTTGTTTGTGTCGATCCGGTTTGATCTAACTTTGATGTTCCTTCGGGAGATGGACCAGTGCCTCGGTACTGTTATAGGAGATAGTCTCCGTATATCTATACGAAGTATGCTAGTATATGTGGGATACCTGATAGTTATATGTGTATATGTATGAGTACAACCGTAAATGTAAAACTCTGGTGGAACAATAAACTTTCTCCCATTGATAATGGCAGATCACATACCAACATCGCAACATGAAATTGGGTCAATCGTGAGCGCATAGTGGATCTCATTGAAGACTAATTTCGAGTTACATACGGCCATCAATTGTCCACTGTCTCTCAATTTGTGGTTCCAAGCTTGTTGATTTGACATCTCGGGGCTGCCCGATCCCTTTTCCTTCCCCTTTATAACCTTCCAATATCGCGACCCCCATGAACGGAACCGCTTGTCAGCGTTATGGCTTCCAGTCCCATTACGCCGGCTATGCCGCCGCCGGCGGGTCAGACATCCAACTTCGTTGACCCGCCGTACATTGGGACCAAGTTTCTCGTTGTGAATTGTGTTTTTCTGCCGTTGGCTGCTGTTGCGTTATTTGTGAGGACGTGGACTCGTTTATTCATTGTTCGCAGCTTTGGCTCTGATGACTGTAAGTTACATACAGTGCCAAAGTGAAGGAAGTGATTGTATACTGACTTGCTACAGATCTTATGATTATTGCCCTTGTGTGTATTCCCGGCTGATTGATGTCGTTCACGTTTCCTGATGGCTTCGGTCTACAGCTTTTATCATGCGTTCTCACAGCTGTCACACTAGAAAGTGAGTGACCCAACTCTTATGCAATTGACACTTCGCTGACACGATCTCCAGTGCTTAATTGGGGTCTTGGGAAGCACATGTGGGATGTGCCCATCCAATACGTATCGCCAATGTTTGCAAAGGTTCGCAAGGTCAGATATCCAACACAAATGCGACACTGACATCAGCAGCTAAACCTAATCTCCGCGATATTCTACTGCGCCGCGACCGGCTTCACGAAATGCTCCGTTCTTGTATTCTACCTCCGCATATTTCCGAGTCGCAACTTCCATATCGCTGTCTGGGCCACGGTCTTTATCGCCGTAGGATACAGTTTGGCTAGTGTGCTCGTCAACGTTTTCAGCTGTTCCCTCATTGCGAAATCCTGGGATTCGACGATTACAACCGGAAACTGCATCAATCGTCCTGTCTTTTACTTTGCGAACGCTGGACTGGGAATTTTTACCGACTTCGCGACAGTTGTGGTTCCGATGTATGTTTCCATGTGGGAGACTATACAATGAACGACGCTAATGAGCTATTTCAGACCATGGCTGCGCCGATTACAAATGCCTATGCGACAGAAGATTGCTGTCAGTGCTATTCTAGCAATGGGTTGCTTGTGAGTCGTGTCTGTCTTGAGAAATATAACTAGTACTCATGCCAGGCCTAGCGTCGGAGTTGTCAGCTGCATTCGGCTGTCATCACTCTATACCCTTCTAACCAGTACCGATCTAACATGTGAGGGCCTCGCCAACTCAATCTGTGACAAATTGCTAATCAAAATAGGGGCAACGACTGACGCCTTGATGTGGTGTACAATCGAATTAAACCTGGGAATTTTCGGTGGATGCGTGACAGCCATTCGACCCTTTGTCCGACGATACTTCCCTCGTCTGCTGGGTCTATCGGCATCAGACAATACCTTCAAATCTCGCAAATACGGCCACCAACTGGGCTCCCTTCCTTTGAGTGAACGTCCTAATTTTACAGGGCGCAGTCATGGTCAGTACTCTGCGACCCTCACGACGCACGGCCAAATCCTCGATAATGACAGTGAAGAACACATCTTATCGCCAGGGGCTAATAGGCAGAAAGACGTGGACGGAATCATCCACACGGTCGAATTCGATGTGGAGAATTCGAGTTCACATGTCCGGCTGAACTCGGCAAAGCCGGATGTAAATAATAGGAATGATGCATGAATACAAATAATATAAATTTTCATGAGACATCAGCCTTTCACTAAATAGTGGGGCAAAGCCCCTGGACACGCCACCTCTTCACACTTCATGCATAACTAGACAACGCTTCACAGTACACAACATTCAAATGCACATCCACAACCTGAAACACCCCAACATGAACCATAATCGACACTCAAATTTCCCTTTTGGGTCACAATATCCAAACATGAGTGCACGTTTATCACAATCTCCGCGAGGGTGTCCACACCCAAACCGCACCAAGTGGAACAAATACCCACCTCACAATCCAATTCCGCACTAAACCCGACTCGAGTCATGAAAAGAAGCTAGACAAACAACAAGGCGAGACCACCTGAGTCAAGACAAACCCCGTGGAGAGAAGAAACCAGCGCCGTTATTACATTAACATGAACCCATCACCCCGACAGACACGTCCTGTCTCTGTCTCCATTCCGTTTCAATTCCCCACCCACCTCAACAGCTCAAAACAGGGGTTCATACAAGATGCGCGTAACAACAGCCGTACTCACCCTCGCGGGCGCCGTCACCGCGTCGGTCCCAGGCTCAGTCCCAGCCTCGGCACCTGTCCTCAGTGCGCCCGTCACCTCGCCCAATGTTTCGGCGGGATGTCAGGCGCTGAGGGCGCCCCTTGGTGACGCGCTGTTTTTCAAGAACAGCGCTGTGTACAAATATGAGGCTACGAACTTTTGGTCGAATACTGAAATTATGGCTCCTGGTTGTGTATTCCGGCCGCAGAGTAGTCAGCAGCTTGCTGAAGGTATTGGGGCGTTGGCTGGGGCTCATGCTGAGTTTGCTGTTCGGGGTGGTGGACATATGGGTGTTCGGGTGGGTTTTGTTTGTTGAAGTTTATTTCGGGAGTGTTTGAGTGGCTTGCTAACTTGGTGTGATGTGTAGGGATCTAACAATATCAATGATGGCGTTTTGATTGTCATGTCTAATTTGACTACTTTGGCTTTGAATGAGGATCAGTCTGTTGTTTCTATTGGTCCATCGCACAGGTAAGGCTTGCAGGTTTCGTTTTTGTTATTTGTAGATTGACTGTGTTTAGATGGAAGGATGTCTACAGCTACCTGCAGAAGCATGATTTGTCTGCTGCTGGCGGTCGTCTTGGCCCTGTTGGTGTGCCCGGATTGTTGCTTGCTGGTGGTGTCAACTTCTACGGTAACCAGGTTGGATTTGGCTGTGACACTGTTGTCAACTATGAGGTTGTTCTCGCCGATGGTTCTATTGTCCAGGCCAACAAGACCAGCAATCAGGATCTTTTCTGGGCTTTGAAGGGTGGAAGCAGCAACTTTGGTATTGTCACGCGCTTTGACCTGGCGACTATCAAGTCCCCTAAGGTCTGGGCTGGTTCTTATACCGTGGAGGCCAAGTACATTGACCAGTTCCTGGCTGTATGTTTACTCTTTTCTGCTTCGCTTTCCGCTGCTAACGCTATGGTCAGGCCGCTGCCAAATATGCCTCAGACATCTATGATCCCAAGACTCACATTGTCCCGGCTCTCGTTCCCGGCGAGACTACTCTCGCCTCGGTGATCCTGTTCTACGACAGCGACAATACCAGCTACCCCGAGATCTTCAAGCCATTCACCGACATCCCCGCTATCAGCAGCACTCTTGACTTTAAGACGGTCTCCGAATTCGCCACCGAGACCGGCGCCATGGTCGTTGACGGTATCAAGTAAGAAACCTCACACTTCCAGCCAAACCAAACCAGTTCCTAACAACCCAAAAAAGCGACGTATTTGTCGCCGGCACCGTCAAGGGAACAACCTACAAGGAACTCCATGACGGAATCCGCATAATCAACCAAACCTTCTTCGCCGAGCTACCAAAGCTCTACGCCCAAATCCCAACAGCGAACATCTCCACTATCCAACTAGACTGGCAACCCATCGGTGCAGACTGGATGCAAGCCTCCGAGGCTGCTGGCGGAAACGCCCTGGGTCTGGACTCATCCAAGGTCTACCTCTGCTACGCCGAGGTCGTCGAGTGGATTGGGACCGCTTATGATGATATCGTCGCCAAGTGGGTTGAGGATACAACCTACAAGATTAACAATGCTACCCAGAAGGCTGGTTTGTATGATTCGTTCAACTATATGGGTGACAGTGCTGGCTTCCAGTCTATTTTCCCCGGCTATGGTGAGGAGAATCATCAGAAGCTTATTGATGTTGCGCAAAAGTATGATTCTCATGCTGTTTTCCAGACTCTTATGCCTGGTGGATTTAAGGTCTACTAAATTGGATCTTGTGGGAACTAGGAGGGGAGGATATGATATTATATGATATGTTGTGTCTCCTGGTTGGGGAGAGGCGGAACTTGTATATAGAGCATCTGATGATAAGCTAATAATAGCCAAGCCATGCGATATTCTTTTCACTGAATCTCGATCTATAGGTGAACGGTATTTAAACAGATTGGCGACAATTAGGGTCTGTATATAACTATAGCCGAGGTACTTCAAAATAAGCATAAAAGAAGCGAAAGAAGACAGGTAGCCTCTAGTCTAATTAGATTGATAAACATACTTAGATATCAGCTTTGATCAATAAAATTTATATCGTTACTCGCGATTAACCTGGTAAACTTTGTTAATGTCTTTGGTTCATCGCTAAGTGGTAAGGGTAGTTTCATCTTCTATGAGCAACCCTAACGTACGTAGAAGATTTGGATTAACAAGGAATGAAACTAAAGAACTGAAAACCTGTCTTCAACAAAAGACCTCAAATGCTTTCAATTCGATTTTCGGATCACGCACTGACAAAAAGGAGAGACATATTATTTCAAAATCAAAGTCACAAGTTCTTCCACCTTCTCCCTAGGCACCTCACGACCCAAAAGCCATCCAGCATGCCAAATGGTATCCTCCTGAGACTTGATCGACTGCTTCAAGCGTGGCCATAAATTGAAATGACCATGTGGCATGCCAGGATAAGCATCAAACTTCACTTCAACGTCGTTGTCTTGCAAAGCCTTTGCATAAATAAGACCGTCGTCACGGAGAATGTCTAGCCCGGCGACCTGAACATATGTTCGTGGAAGGGCAGAGAATGGCGCTGTCGACATAAAGGGCGAAAAGTCTTCCGACAAGAAATCCTGCCTGTAGAGAGTCTCATAACCCCCAATAGACTTTGCATTTAGACCCGGGTTTCCAGGCGCATTTGCGTTTTGCTCACGAGATATCCACAGCTCTTTGTATTTCTCCGGCACGGTCTCTTGGCTCATACACACCGGAATACTGGCCAAAACTCCAGTGATTGGCGGAAAGAGCTTTTCTTTTACTGAACGATGGGCTGTGACGATGGAAAGATTTCCGCCTGCCGACCCGCCACCAATGACGAACCCTTTGGATAGGTCTGCATCGATTGCTGACGCGTTTGCAGCTATCCATTGCACACTATCCCAGATGTCATTCGGCGCGGTCGGGAATTTGTGCTCGGGTGCTAAGCGATAAGAGGGTTGAACCACAGTGGCGCTGTACAGATATGCGATCGTGCGAGCCCAAATAACTGATTGGATATTTGTACCCATAACAAAAGCTCCTCCGAAGATTAGAACAACCACGGGGTTTGCCCGAGAGGAGTTTCCTGGCTTGGTGATAAGAAGCTCGCTTTGGTATCCATCACGCATCGTGATGGTAATCACTGATTCTTGCGTATCGAATGTTGGGCAGGAATCATATGCTGTCTTCTCCATTTTGGAAACTATTTGGCGCAATTGCTCAATAGGTCCCGAAAAATCCATTGCTGGAGGTGGGCTATGCAGAAGAGTCTAGTATGGGATTAGGCAATGTTCAAGGACCTGATCTGAGCTCACTTACTGCTTCGAGCTCCGGATCCATGAGGCCTAAATTGCGGACATCTTCTTTGGTGTTATAATTATCCATCTTCGTAGAGGAATGACTTTGGCTGGTGTGAATTAAGTGATTCATCCAGTGATGACTGGGGAGGGTTGAGCTATACAATTTCTTTCAGTGTGAATGTAAACCTTTTATAGGACTATGGATTCTTCCTGTACATAATATGTAGAGTCAGGATGATTCATCGAGACTCATAATCCGCGGATTTGATTGGTGGTTAATGAATGGGTCCACCAACATCCTCAATCTGTATGAAGTCTTTCTTCACTTGGTTTCAGGCTGCTTCTTCTCAGTTCTTGGTAACATTGTACCATCCCCAAGTCACCGTCCTTGCTACTCCCGAGGTCTGAAGTTCTGGCCCAGCAACTCTGCTGGTCTTGAGACAGAATCCACATGCTTAGGTCAGATTAAGGTACCCGCAGGAAGAAGGAATACGTATTTGTAACTTTTTCAGTGATCAAGACCAATCCCATACTCGACTATTAACATTGTCGACCACAAAGGACTATTTATAGGCATAGTAAGAAACAAAAATAGACACGATGTAACCTTACAGAATCTGTTTCTTGTTGCTTTTTTGGCTTCTTCTATAAATGCCTCGAAAGCCGCTCCAATTTCTACATTTCATTATCTATCAGTTCTGCAAATCAACCTATCGAGCCTAAATTTTCAACCTTACTCCTTCAAGATGCAGTTCTCCTCTATCCTCTTTGCTATTACCGCTCTTCTGGCTGCTGCAGTCAGCGCCGCCCCCGCAGAGGCGGGCAAAAGTAATTGCGGACACGTGTGCTATCCTAAAGGTCACAAATGTCCTAGTGGATTGGTGAGTGACCCAGTAAATTGCATAAATTGTCACTAATGTGTTCTTTAGCATCTTAAAGGTGTACGTACTGACAGCTCACTCTTTTCTCCAGTGACTTCTAACCGTTTTGATAGTTCAACAACAACCAATGCTACCGCTGTTGCCAGTAGATTCACTCTTTACAGGGTTTCGTTCATTTTTCGTCTTGCTGCGTATATTTATCACAGCTGCAAATACGAGTAGGAGCCCATTGTGACCAGATTCTATCCATCATGCTCTGTTGTTAAATCACTAGCTCTTTTTAGAAATGAACTGGCTACAGCTTTCTCTTTTTTTGAACGCAAACTTGGATTTGTACAAGTGATCAGTGATCAAGATAGAGCCTTGATCCCAGACCGAGGTATCCAGTTCCCAGCCCAGCACAAGAAGCGATTACTTCCGTAATGGACGATGTCACAGCCTACCGCGAGCTCAATGCGTAACTTCACTAGCTGTAAACGCGACCTTGACCATGAGATCAAAGGTAATGATAGATTTTTGAGTCTCATACCCCCAGCCAAGGGAAGATGAGTGCTTCTCGAAGCTTACCGATATCGAAAGCCGTTTGTCTCTTTGGACGAAGGAGACATCGATCCAGAATCCTGCAATGGTGATAGAACAAATGATGCGCAGATTACTTTGATAACCATGAGCAACAATCTATGATAGCAGACCTGGTACAATGAAGATGAAAATATCTGGGGAAAGATGAAGCTTGCAAGCACATTACTAGGTCTCAGACAGCATGGAGTTGAGATAGAGGATTCCACAGCCCCCCAGAAGACATATATTATCACCAAGAAATGATACATGATCATCCACGATCGTACACACGACAACCGACCGAACAATACAAGGGCACTCAAACTTAAGTAGACTGGATCCGACCGATCAAACCCAAGATCCTTCTGACCTGGCTATCTCTAAGATCAAGGTAGTATATCAAGTCGGCCAGAGGCATGAAGAAATGTCAGACTAAACCTAGTGACGGTGAATAGAAGGCTTGATATGAGCTCTGTAAGGACAATACGGTTAGTATCGGCCATGCCATGCTGGTTCGCAACTGGGATCTATGATATCCCGCGATGGTTCGCATTCAACAATGTCGTGTGGGACATACCATACCATTCACAAAACTTTCATTATTGAGCCCATCAGAAAGAATTTTGGCTTATTTTTTGTGGCAAGGAAGTGCGTTCATCGACTTAGCTATGTACCTTTTGTGTATTATTTCTAACAATGCTAAATTGGCGCCATATCCGACACTCATAACCACCTCAATATCACCAGATCGTGCCCAGAAGGATAAAAACATGGACTAAGTCTCATTTGGGATGCTGCGATTCCGTATGAAGGAAGTCATTAAGCTAGACATTAAGGAAAAGATGAGTGATATTTGTTTTTATGGACTAGGATACTACCGGTGAACTAGTATCTGGGGCCCAAATGGGCTGAAGCATATGAGGCTGAAACACAATTCCGTTGAAGAGTGGGTCCAGATCGACTTATGTGTAGAATAGGCTCCTTGGATCTTGAAGAGGATGGATTGCTTTAATATTGAACAGCATGAGAAGTAAGGTCGAAGGTTTGGTCTGACCAGTTAAGTTTGATACCGTCTGTTGTATTCCAACAATGCCGTGAATCAAACCAATTCGGGGATGACCGTGGCTTTTGTGGGAGCAGCAACCTCATAAGCGTACAGACCATCTCCACCGAAGACTACTCATGACTTGCATTGCGATGTGAGAAAGATATATTGATCATAATTTAGCACTTGGTATAGACAAGGCTCTTGTTTTGAAGTTAATATTTGACTTATTTCCGTGGCAAAGCTCACTTGGGCTCTCCATTGAGTCATCTATCCATAATGAGTATTTCCTTTTGGTAATTCACGAAATATGGGAGTATACTAATGATGTTGGATGTATAGCTTTGAAAATACCAGCTGCCATAGCTTAGCCGTATTATTCAATGCCCGGAGATTTTCCAGTCCACTCCGACGTATATTGCTTGTGCATATTATCAGGGCACAAGGCTTAACCGATGCCAGACATTCCACGATAAACGAGATAACCGCCAATGAACCATACGCCTAACTTCTGACTCAATTAATCTGCGATGCAGGGGGATGGTCATTTGAGTTGATTGATGCTGACATCAGTGCCATCACAGTTGTTCTTGCAGCTGCACCCCCATCCGTAAATGGAAATCAGACTGCCAATCCAACGTCAGTCTTCCGGGAAAAACGACCTTCTATGATTCCATTCAAGCAGACTCAAGCCTAAATTGAGGGGACTAAGCATACGTATATCCACTCCCCCGTTGTTCTCGGTCCAATGGAAACCCTCTTCAGCCTTGCACTAGAGGCGCTGGGTCCGATCACAATTAACAGACGTCCGGTAGCAAAGCCGACGGGCGCCGAACCGGCTGTGAATCTAGGTATTAATTTTATTTGAGAGACTTAGCAGGTAAGCGCTGATGTCGAGATATCAATGACCCCGGCACTAAAGCCGACGTAGGCCGATCCGGACGAGGAGCCTTCAATTTAGTTCAGCTCTCGGTGAATGGTCAGAGCCTTACAAGGTTAGTTCTCCCGAGAACTGCTAGTCGATCCCGAAATGAGGTTTGCCGAGGTAGATCTGCACTGCCGGACTCACAAGTTCCAATCGGCTAAGCCGTCACAAGCATCATCACGCCAAGACTTATGCCTTCATACTTGCATGATTGCACGTGAGATCAATATAATGTATTGCAAGAAATGAGCTGTCATTGGATCTAAATTTGATGAAGAATCTTTTATACAGCAAGGAATTGCCTTTCCGAACAGTAAGCCAAGGCAAGGCACGCGCGCATTCATGCAATATCTTGACAGAAGCCTAGAAAAGTTGGGGTTCTAGACCCTGTCAACATCTACAGGTTTGTCTAAATTTTGACCTTGCCCAATGTGACCGTCTATAGCTTCAGCTGTTACGTTAATATTAGAAATATCAGCCCATGATAGACGTTCAAATGGAATGCACCATGGACTTCCACTGACTCAAAAACCCTATAATATCTATGCTGGTTTTACGGATGAGCTTTCAGGTAAGCATCCTAGGAGATCGCCCCCTCCTTCATGTGCTTAGCGTTCAGTAGAAGAACAGTATGCCATGCCCTACTTCCCATTTAGGTATCGAACTTGAACGCCTTGGCTTGCTTTGCTGTCTGCCAAGCTGCAATGCTACCTTGTTATCATGAATTTGGCAGCAAACGTCAAGGGACGTTAGATTGAAGTCAAATAACGAAATTTTAGGAAATACAGATGTGCTGTAAGCATGGTGGTGAGGTCGGACTGCGGCAACAACCCTGAAATTTGCATATAAACCCATGGGGGAGGCGTCAAAAATACAGCTCCCCCAAAGCAAGAAGGTCAGCGTTCATTCTCGCTATGACAGACTCTAAGTAGAACATTAGTTATTCTCAGCCAGCGCTGAAGCGTATCTCTCAGGATTTACGATATCGCGTTTGGTTTGTCTATCGCAGAATATTCTCTCTGGCCTGGCTTGCAAATGTCGCAGTTCTCATTGCTTTCCTTTTGGTTCCAATTGATCGAACATGGCTTACAACTATTGCATTGACCAATTTAACAGTTTCCATCATTATACGTCAAGACTTCATCATTAATTTAATCTTTACCATCTGTTGCGCTGTCCCCCTTTCCTGGCCATTGGCAATTCGACGCCGAATGGCACAAGTATACCACCTAGGAGGAATTCATTCAGGATGTGCAACGGCAACCATTTTTTGGTTTTCTGGGTCATTTGCCTACAGTATCCGAAATAGGGAACACGGCCATTCACTGCAAATTCCTTCGATCACGACTATCGTCCTCTCTGGGGTTGCACTAGCAATGCTTGTGGGAATGGTAATCTCTGCCTGTCCCACCCTGCGCAAACTGTATCATGACTCCTTCGAAGCCGTGCACCGTCTCTTCGGATGGTCCGTACTTATACTTGTATGGGTCCAAGTCATGCTCACCGTGAGAGACAACAAGCCTTCTCACCAGTCACTGGGACAAACTGTGGTCTGTTCTTCAGAGCTGTGGCTTCTCATAATCATCACAACCAGCATTGCCACCTCATGGACATTACTTAAAAAAGTCCCTGTCGACTCCGAAATCTTATCAGATCACGCTTTGCGGTTACATTTCCAATATACCAGTGCCATCCGTGGGAGCTTCATCCGTCTCTCTGAGCGCCCACTGCTCGAATGGCATTCATTTGCAACTATACCTATTGCAAAAAATGAAGATCAAAAGAGAGGATGCTCGGTGATTGTTTCTCGGGCTGGTGATTGGACTAGTCGTCAAATCAGCAAGCCTCCGACTAGAATTTGGGTTCGAGGTATTCCCAGTAAGAGCCCCTACCGTTTTATTTCTCTACACGTAGATATAAATTGCTAATATCAATCAGCCATGGGAGTAATGCGAGTCGCATCCCTGTTTCGAAGTATTGTCCTGATTGGAACAGGGTCTGGTATTGGGCCACTGCTCGGACACATACCCCCAAGTCGGATTAGGTTGATCTGGTCGACACCAAACCCCCTCAAGTCTTTCGGCCAGAGTATCATGGACTCAGTTTACAAGGCTGATCCAGAGGCTGTTATTTGGAACACAAGAGAAAATGGTCGCCCTAATTTGGTTGATATTGCTTCTCGTGCAATGCAGGAGATTGACGCTGAGGCTCTGGTTATTATTTCGAACGAGACTGTCACACGATTAGTTGTGGGAGCAATGGAGAGAAAGGGTGTTCCTGCTTTTGGGGCTATTTGGGATAGTTAGATTGTCCAATTGGAATACGGTCTTGGATTTTGTTGTGAATCTCCAGTTCAACATGTATAAATCAAAGGCAATCAACCGCCTTGCTGCCTAAACATTGTCCAATTCAATATATATTTGATTCTCAGGCCATGAATCAGACTAATCAAGCTCTGTTGAGGGGTTGGTTATATGCCACGCCACCAACAGTCGTTGTCAATGTACCATTTGCATTGAAGATATTTTCGAGTGCATTGATAGAAAGATGAAATCCATCAGGACCAGACTTCTTTGTTGCATTCTGCGCACCAACTTGTACGAGATCAGAGTACCAATCCAAATGATTTCCCCAGGGATCTGACACGTCCAGTGTCTGAGTCACTGACTCCTGACCATTGAGGAAATGAACTCCGTCGTCTGAGTAATTCTTGTACTTCACAGACACGGTTTTCAAAATACCAACCTTTGAATCTTTCACCAAAGTAACGTTGGCATAGCCACACGATTGGCCATTGAGTGTAAAATTACCAGCGGGTAGACTATAGGGCGTGGGCACACTTGCACCGAGAGGGAACGGAGTGGCCCATGGAATCTGATCTGGGGCATCAAAGACAGTGGCCTCCTCCGTGGGTTTTCTGTTTGACAGTCGCGCCAGCATCACCCGATATGTTCGACCGCCTTGTGCCGTGGATAGCGGACAAGGGAGAGGGTTCTCCCCTCCACATGCAGGGGATACTACCAGACTCTGCCAGAACACAATGCGTGTTCCATCAGGAGAGAAGGCGGGATCTGCTCTGCCGTTCCAGTTGGGATCATTGACACTGCCTTCACTACCATCACCATTGTAATTGACATGTTGACCAAAGTATTCACCTCGATCTCCATGGCGATCGATCAAGATTGGCTGGAAGAAGCGACGAACACCATTGTTGCGTGTGGATGCAGCTGCAGTTGTGGCGACCATATCAATTAAGGGGGGAACATGGCGCATTCCTGACATCCACATTTGACGATCTGAACCTCGGGTGTCCATCGTCACAAACCATTGATCGTCGTGTGAGAATGAGACCGGATCTGCGTATTCGGGGTGACTGGTGAGACGGCGAACTACACCAGTGGTCAGATGAACGGACATGATATCAATGTTGTTTGCATCGCGTGTGGCTCCAATATACAAAATTTCATCTCCGGAGCCGCTGAATCCTCGCAATTCACCAACTAGAATGGCTTGGTTGTGGAGTTTCAATTCCGAGCCATCTGCCATGATCGAAGATTCTCCATTCGATTGAACGAGAAGGTTCACATCCACTAAATCGTATCGAGCAACACGAAGAGTTCCGTTGGTGGGGTGTGGGTTGAATTGCAGCCGTCCGTAATAGGAGTTTTCGCCACCGGATGTGAAAGAACTCCAGCCCATGTGAGTGTCGTCGGGGTGCATTCGCATTTCTCGCGGTGTACCGGAGCCATTGATGGACGTGGGCCAATGAATCGGGTAGATATGTGTTTTGTTCGGTGAACATAGGTCGCTAACGAGTGGAAGACCACCACAATCAACAATATTGTGACCCCAGAGCGCCTGGCGAGCATTTCGAGCGATATGAGGATAGTCCTTGGAGGCATCAATAGATCGCGCATTCTTCGAAGGAACATCACAACTTAGACACTTCCAGGGGTCTCCGTTTGCAAAGTTGGTGCCGTCTGTTTTAACAAGAATGAGTTGTTCGCCGGTGTATATGCTAGATGAATCAGGAGGCATGGGGGCACCGATGAACTCCACAGTGACAGCGACATGATTTCCATCCGGTGTGAAATCGCCAGCTTGAAATGAATCCGAGACTTTGCCAATACAACCGGTGCGATGGGGGTTGATAGAGGCGGTACATGCGCCCGTAGCGTTACTTGGGGCTACTGGGGGCAAGGGGAGCTCAATAACCTCTATAAGCTCTGGCGGAGGAGGGGGTGGTGTACTTCCAGTCAGAGCAAGGGCGGCTGCACCTGTGATAGCAGAGAGGGTCCAACGCATCTTGTGGGACAGGGCGCAGGTCAAAGATGATTATGTCCACTTTTCGGGGACAATGAGCTGGGGTATGAGCCAACTTAATAGCCCATCCCTAAACAAATCGAAGAACTGACCATGATGGCAGAGTGGCCAATGTCTCACAAGCCAAGGCCATGAAAACGAGTACGATCACGGAGTAGGTCGAAGATGATCCACTTGTCCCTGGCTACACGATGTGGGGTGCAGGAGATTTAGCCTGTCTAGGCAAATTCATTCATCGCATCAAGTGGTCTGAGAGGCTATGAAAGTGGAAAAGTTGGCTGACGATCGAATGTTATACGCGTACCCGTATCCGTATACATTTCTCTTTTCGTAATAGCCAAATCGGCCAGTTCGGCAGATCCATCATTTGATGCATATCCGAGGCGGTTTTTAAGATCAAAGTAAGAAACATGGATATAATATGTCTAATATATGTGTATGCCAGACCACTGTTGTACTTGCCATCGCCACTACTGTGTGGGGTAGATAAGCGGGAGCCAACTTGCCGACGTCGGCAATATGTCTTCCTTCTCTTCGCTCTCGGGCTTGTGTCGTTTGATATCATGTCTAGCCAATTCGACCATGGATATAAATAACATGCAGTATCCCTGTTAATCAATATCGAAAAGAATTCAGCAGCCATCCGTCGCCGAAGAAGACGAGTTGCAGATGAGAATCGGAAGAGGGCCTCTCGAGCGTATGCAGCTTCAAAGATCGGGACTGGTGTATCCATTAAATTTATCACTCAGATGCAACCGCTGCAAGGCACGAAAAAGCCAGTGTGTGGAGACAACCCCTGGAACGTGTCAGCGATGCTCTTCGCGTGATTTGACCTGCAAGCTTGAAGGGTATGATCCATACGGTGAGAGATGTTGTTGACCAGTACACAGAGAGCGGACTACTTGAACACACCACCATCTCTACCTCAACTATTACTACGCATGGATCACAATGGGTAAAGTAGCACTTGTGACCGTTGCCCGAACAAGTCTTTGAGTCACGGATACATCCGCCCAAACAAAGTGATCTGTTTTTAAGACAGTCCCGATCTTGCGCAAAAGCAGCCAGAAAACTACTTCTCCTGTTCAAAACTCTTATGAGTACCGGCAATATCACTCGCTTCTCCTTCACGGATTTCCAAGGATGCAGCATCGCAAGTATCGTCACACTAATCGCCGGGATCATGGAGCGCGACTCGGGATATGAAGCCCGAGTGACATTTGTTCTTGACTGTATGCGCAAGATGGCAACAGGGAATATCACGGCTAAAATGGGTGTGAAATTGGTCGAAGCTGTGCATTTTATCACAAATGAGGCTGCAGCCAAGATTCATCGAGAAGCATCTGCCTCTACGAATATTACACAAGATATGCAAATCTCAGCTGCCACGTCTGAGTACAACCAATGGGCTGTATGGTTTGCCAAGGAAAGTTCTCAGACAGAGGAACAAAGCCTTCTTTCAGGAAGAGGCATCGATGGAGATCGCAATGTTGTTCCATTCTCTGAAACACCCTTGTTGCAACCAGAGCAGTCGAATGATCCGAATATCTCTAGCTGGAGAAGTCCGAATGAGCCGATGAGCTGGTCTTTTGATTGACTTCGAAGGTATCATGAAAGTCATCGACATTATCAGATTTGACAAACCACGCATGTATTGGAGATGTGCCATACTGAAGTCCTGAGCGAATCCTACTGTGCCAGTTCAATGTAACCACTCTAGGTCCCTCGGGCCCTGCCCTCTGTCCAAGCCTAGATGCCTCCTAGCACTTAGTCCATAGATGTAAGCTATATGAAACAATGAAGGAGAAAGCTACTCATGAAGGAAGAGTTGTTTCGGACGATGTCTCTATTGTTATATCAGTTAATGATTTTAAACAACAAGATTCTGCTGTAATACCCGAAACTCACAACATGCAATGCCCAAAGATAAAATCATTGAACGCGAACAGGAATCTGACTATCCTCAGGCAGCACATTCCACCTGCTTTTGTAAACACGACCATCCTTCATAACTCCGAGAACATGTTCCTCGGGTCTATCAAAAACAGTAACATCCTCCAGCGGATTCTTATTCAAGACTACAACATCAGCATGGAAGCCTTTCTTAATCTGACCAATAACATCCTCCCACCCCATCATCTTCGCCGGGTTAATAGTAGCGCTGCGCAAGATCTCAACAGGTGTCAGTACTTGCGATCGCAAAGCAAATTCATGTGTCTGTGCCGAGCCCAATGGTCCTAGCAAATCAGACCCGTAGCACATAGTGACACCAGCCTCCAAAGCAACCCGCAAAGCATCAAGCCCAGATTTGAGCACAACTTGGTTCTTTGTCTGAGACTCAGTAGGCAAATAGTGTTGCCACTTCTCCGATGCCATTTGGGCATACGCGATCAGCGTAGGCGTCAAATAAACTCCCTTTTCAGCCATAATCTTCGCCGTGGGCGGGTCAACAAAGTTTCCATGCTCAATACCGCGAACGCCATTATCGATACAGTGTCGAATAGCTTTGACAGTGTACGCATGGGCCGTGACGAACGTCCCAGCATTATCGGCACATTCGACCATAGCTTGAATCTCCGCAGCGGTAAATTGGAGATGTTCCAGCTTGTCCGTGGGAGAAGCCACACCGCCAGAACCCATGATCTTAATGAAATCTGCACCGCAACGAATCTCTTCGCGTACAGCAGACATGCATTCCGGCACGCCGTTGCACATCCGACCGAGATGGTTGTTACTATGGGTACCGCCGCAGCAGCCGGTGGCTTCATGTGATCCGCGCAGATCACCATGTCCTCCAAATTGGGACAGGGCATGACCAGAAAGGAATAGTCGGGGTCCGGGGAAGACGCCGTCTTCGATAGCTTCTTTCAAGGCAAGTTGCGCGCCGCCGCAGTCGCGGATGCTGGTGAAACCGCGGTGGAGCATCTGCGATGCGGTATATGGTTGCCTGAGCAGATGCACATCATTTGGATTGCCGAAGGCTTTGGATAGATCCGTGAAGCCTGGAACTGCGCATAGATGGACGTGCGCGTCGAAGAGACCTGGGCAGAGGTATCTGTCTTGGCAGTCCACTGTTTGGAGGTCGGCTGATAGTATGGTCTCGGGTGGATGGGAGCCGACATAGGCTATTTTGCCCTCAAAGGTCACTAGTGTTGAGTTCTCTTTAATTGTGGCGGATTCGATGTCCACGATGCGGGCATTGATGAACTTGTATTCCTTTGGCGGGGGTCGGGTCCATGGCTTGATATCGGACCCGGGGAGGCTGGTTTGGGACATGATGAGTAATTGAGAGACAGATATTTAGTCGAATGCGTAGATTATAAGAAACGATATAGGTGTTTAAGTAGAGATAAAGTGGTGGGGATGCGACAAACTGACCATGGCAGATACCCGACGCCATCGGGCCGACGTCGATAGTATCAACTCCGCATGGCTAAAAGGCTGATCTTTCTTCATCGGGAGATAAGCCGTGTTTGTTAAATATGGGGAGCCCGGGGTCAATTGTCATGCGTTATGCGCGTCTTTCTTGTCTACACTCAAATTGAGTTGTTCAGGGCATCCCTAGAATCGCCGACACCGCTGGTTTTAGCACTGGCTACGAGTGACACACAGTTCAGGGTCACCACCCTTTTTGATGGGCATTTCGAAAGAGCGCGCTAGGAGCAGCGACAACGCTGATCGTACAGATGGCGAGATACTCGAATTGAGCGGCGGTTACACCGTGGGAGAAGAGAAGGCGGATCTTCGAAAGAAAGACATGGTCATCTTTCCTTTTGTAAGCGATACATATCAATATTCAGTTATGACTCAAAGTTGGCTAACGATCTGCACCATTAGATGTGTTTCGTCTTTTTCCTACAATATCTCGACAAGCAGAGCCTTGGCTATGCTGGCGTATTCGGCCTCATTAAAGACCTCCATATGACGAGCTCACAATACTCCTGGTCTAGCTCGATCTTCTGCGTTGGCCAACTTGCCTCCGAGTACCCTTTTATTTACCTAATGAGTCGACTTCCATTGACCCAATTTGTCGGTGCTACTGTGTATGTGTATTACGAAAGGAGTTCCCCGTCTTTCTCAAGTTGCTGTTCTCTCTTATGTTCTAACCCCTATATACAGAATTGTCTGGGGCATCATGTGTATGTGCCTCGCAGCTCCAACCAACTTCGCTGGATTCGCTGCGGTCCGATTCCTCCTCGGCTTCAGCGAAGGCGCCGTCTCACCCGCTTTCGTCACAATCACCAGTATCTGGTACCGGAAGAAAGAGCACAACGTCCGCACAGCATTATGGATCACCATGAATGATCTAGCCCAAGTAATTGAATGCTTCCTCATGTACGGCATTGGTAAAAATACCTTGCTTTCTATCGCGCCCTGGCGTGTTATATTCATTATCTGCGGTGCCATAACCTTCCTTGCAGGTGTTGGGTTTTTCATACTCATGCCCAACGGACCCAAAGATGCATGGTTCCTAAACGACCATGAGAGAGAGGTTCTGTCTCTGCGTATGGCAGAAGGTCGTGAAGGTGGTGACAAAACATCATTCTCTATGGCGCAACTCAGAGACACTCATGGACCCGAAGGCGTGGGTTGTATTTTGGTTTGGTGTTTTGGTTTGTATGCAATCTCCTGTCTTGACTTTTGTGACTCTTCTGTCCGATCTGTTAATAACCTCCGTAGGCTTCTTGCATTACCGCGTCGATGACAATTCTTCTCTCATTGGCCGCGTCAGACTTCAAGGGTAATACAAGGCGCGCCATCGTGAATGGGATGTTCTTCATTGGCTATTGCGCAGGCTGTATTGCCTCACCTCAGCTGTGGACACACAGCCCTCGTTATGCTTCTGGTGTAATCACGTCAATTGTAACGTGGTGTCTACTGTTCTGCGTGGTTATTCTTTTCCGCTTCTTATGTGCGATCAACAGAGTTAGGTTTTTCGTCATCCCGACATCAAAAGAACCGAACCAGAAATTCTGCTTTGGATGAGTGCCCAATTATCAGCAGTTTGACAAAGGAGCTTACATTATATCCGTAGATTGTTTCAAGCCATGCTTAGACCTGAGCCTTGACTGTATACGACGTACCAAATCAATATGGGAAGGAAACTGCAGGGGCAAAGCCAAAGCGAATAAGTCCAAGCTGAGAACAAGAAGCAGGGACTGTGCCAAAATTATGAGCAAGTGAACTTTGTTGTTTGCAGATAATCATGAAGACTATGAGAGATAAACAAACCTTTATACTCGGCCAGCCTATACTGCCAAGAACTCAGGCTTCATCATATCCCCAACCTTTGGCCCCCACTCCCAAGGCTGAAGTCCAAATTTGCCTCAGCGATTCGTTCATTCGTATAGCAAACCAAAACAAGGCATAAGCCGATTTATTCAAGGTGCAGCATAGTCGGCACAATGAACTAAAACGCATTTAAGCTCAAAGCTAAGGCAAGCTTCATTTCTAGAAATAAACGCCAGTCATGGCATGTTGCTCGTATACGCTAAGCAAACGCGGCTTAGCGTCAGTAAGCAGAGCTTCAAACAACCGGGCCAGAGTTTCCTTTTTACCTTCTTGAGGCTTAAGTCAATCCACAAAGTGATATAGCCGAGTCCATTGAGCCTCCGAATTTCATTTCCACTTTTTAGCATGGTCGGCCCCAACCGTCGGGTTTCCCGAGGGAGATCCCGGAATGGCTGCACTACCTGCAAGTATGTTCTGCCTTGGTTTTGCACATAGTGAATGCTTGAGCACTTGGTATGGCTCAAGTGTGAGTACTAATCTGGGATATATTAGAGTTCGAAGAGTTAAATGCGATGAACAAACCCCCGTATGCCACAAATGCCAATCTACAGGCCGAAGATGCGAATATGTGACCGATTCACCAAAGCCTAGTTCCAACGATCTCCAAATGATACATCATATACCTGGCATTTTGCAACTCACTCGCAAGTGGATGGTTCCTCAGTCGCATGAGTTCATGTCTGAAGCTGAATACCGATCGTTGGAATTCTTCCAATTGCATACTTCGCTCTGCTTCGGAAAGGATATCGGGTCCTACATACTGCAGGTAGCGTACCACGAACCAATAATCCGGACCATTGCAGTTGCAATAGGGGCGCTTCACAATTCGTTTGTATTCAACGACAAAGGATTATCAACATCCCGCGAGGACACACACTTCACCTTATTCCACTATAACAAAGCTATTCGCCAGTTGATTGCCATGAATCCAAAAACCACACCTCAAACCAATGACATATTCTTGGTGGCTTGCATATTATTTTTCTGTTTTGAGTGTCTCCAAGGCAATTACCGACTCGCCATACAGCATGCGACCTCCGGTCTCAAAATCATCAAACAACATCAGACCTTGGCAAGAGCCCATATTTTCCCGAGGTACATACCTCAAAAGTCAGTCACCCTGTTGTTTGCGATATTGGAGAATCAGATCCTAGAAATAGAAGGCGAAGTGCCTCTGTCGTCGGACATGCGACCAGCAGTCTTTTACTCGCACACCTCCCCTTTCTCCAATCCTAATTACCTACCATCTTGCACAGATGAAATGCGAATCTGTTTTGAGTTTCTCTATAACAGATTTGTACGCCTTCAATCAGTATGTGAGATGTTAGAAGAGTCAACCGAGGGTCAAGCATTTAAGTTTCTCGCCCAAGTCCAATATGTCCAGACAGAGCACCTACGGGTTCGTATTGAATTGGAAACCTGGATCCATACTTTTGATACTTGGATCAAAACCATTGGTCCAAAGAACTCCGAGGAAGCGAGCACTATCACAATGCTCCAGATTTGGAGATTGATTATGTCTCTCTATCTCAAGTTGAATTGGCCTCCTTCAGAAGACGAATGGGATACTCATACCGCCCATTTCTCCCAGATAAATGCACTGGTGACTGACCTACTTGGTCTGCCGGCAAATAGCGATGACCCAAGCTTCAAATCGTTCTTTCGTGATAATCCTGCAATAACGAGCACTTCCACCCTGTCTCTTCCCCCTCTGCTCCCGAAGCCTACAAGAATTCTGCCATCTACGTTTTGTCTCTCTCTGGGAATTGTAACGCCATTATATCTCTGCGCCACAAGATGCCGCGAGTCGCAAATCAGATATCGCGCCATTGAATTAATGCTTTCGTGTCAACGACGGGAGGGCTTGTTGGATGTCGAGCTTGCAGGGCGCGTTGCGAAGCGGGTGGTGGAGATTGAGGAAGCTACAGCTGGCATAGATCCAGGTACTTATTATAAATCTGTGGATATAGATCAAAATTCTCGGGTCATATCGCTATCCCCTCAATTTGGACAAGGGAGGGAGATGAGGATAAGCTATCATAAGCAAGGCGAAAGCAGTGATCTCGTTGAAGAAATTATCACTTGATGAATCCGAGCCCCCGTCCACAACTTATTCCAACAGCAGACTCGGATAAAGTAATACAACCGTGGTAATCAGTGTTTCCACATCCCCAGGTTCATATAATCTAAGGGGCTCCCCTGAGGCGCTTGAAAATGGACCAAAAAGACGCGAAAAAAAGAGAGACGAAGTTAGGACAAAAAGAATGCATTAGATGGCCCGCTCGCTTCTAGGGCTGTGTAAAGAACTCGTCTAATGCTTCATAACACTGTGAACAGACCGATGACTTGTGATGTATGCTGCATGGATCGACATGAAAAAGAGGGGAAACCAGGATACAAGCTGATCATTGTGAGCAGCTTGCACAATGCACGCTTTTTGCTAAACCTGCCTCGGAACCGGAGTGATAATGATTATGACGGTAGATACAAGTTTACCTACGGCAGCTGCGAAAGCGATATCTACTGTTCCCACTTCGTGTGCAGGATCTGTGACAATGTTGATATATTTTTGTCCTGCGCAAAACGACCCCCCGCCATAGAAGGCTATATCCCGATCAAAAGCACGAACTTCTTGAAGTGACCGATGTGCCTTATGATATTGGTCGATACGTTCGATCAGTGTCTAGAAACCTGAACAGTCTAATGAAAGATCTCCTGGGCGAAATAGGGAAACAAATTACTCCCTCCTCTGAATAGCGCGGTGTAGGGCAACTACTTAGCTGGTGTAGTGGTGAATCCCGTGACAGTAGCATGTTAGCGGCCTGAGGTATCACGAATGTCTTAGCAGAAATGCAGTCTTCTCCCACAGAAGAATCTCGGCATGATCGGACAACCTCAATATGACTACAGTTATTCACCAAACTTCTTGATTCATGATATAGCATCAGGCTCAGTACGACTTGCACCTTCAGGGACTGCTCTCCACGTCTCCATCAGGCCATGGGAGCGGTTGTGTGATCTCTTCGTTAGTATCGACCCGTCTGCTATGTCAGACTGCCATCGTGCCATCCCCGTTTCACTAGGTATTTATGGGCCAGGGTATGCATGAGATTGGATTTAAAATGTTGGTTGATTCCATAATTACCAAAGCCAAGAAGCCAAATTAGGACGTAGAGCACAAGACCTGAATATCTAGACTCATTGATTTGAATTGGTTATTTTTTTTTAAATTAGTATTGCTACTCCAAATAAACAGCTTTACAACTGAAGCCCCTTAGGGTCTGCGGTGTTTCTGCGGAAGATCAAAGCGAAAAAAACTCTTACTAACGATTGTACTTCATCCTGGACAAACCGTGGCTACAAAAACTTATGGTCGATCCGTTGTGAGAATAGCGGTATCCAGCTATCACACCCAGGCGCCTGCATTTGGTGGTAACCTAAATATGCCATGTGCCTACGTAGTTCTGCTTGTGGGTGAAAGGAAGGGGAAAGTTATTGCTCGAAACTGTCTTAGTGAGCATACAGGATCAAATTGCATCCAATTTAGAGGTTCACTATATTACTACCAAGTTTGATAGACAGGGACGGGGTTTGAGGCGATCTTGACAAATTATCACCGATAGTGGCTGTTTGCATATACCAGAACTCTTGTCGTTTTCTATAAAGGCATATCTCCAAGAGTATTACATGATAGCCCAACTGAATAGGCCAATGCACTGGTCGTCTAAGTCGAGTGAGTTCCACCCTGGTTGCCGCCTTTTCTATAGCGCACTCACCCTTCTCGTGGATGACCGAACGATATTACTATTCACTGCTAAGCCTGATCTATATATTTCTTTTCAACACTAGATAAAGTACATACGACCACAGGGTGTGGAGAACAGGGCTTCCCGTCCGCTCAGCCGTACTTAAGCCACACGCCGGTAAGTTAGTAGTTAGGTGGGTGACCACTAGCGAATCCTTACTGTTGTATGTTTTTATTTTTTGCATTCTTTTCTGTCGTTTTTCTTCATTCTTGTGGAAACTCCCTCCCTCCCTCTTGCCGCCCTACTCTTCCGTCCCTTCAGCCCATTCACCTGAACGCCCTAAACACCACTATTCTAAACCTGAATATCCTGCACACTCCTGAATCGCTGACGTGTCCTTCCCCTCCCATGCTGACTGTTTCTCAGGCGTGTTGTTTCGATCACAGCTCTCTGGTAATGGTTTCCACCGGTTGACACATGTCCTCCTAGTATTCAAATGACCGTAGGAAAGAAAAAGAAAATTTGCCGCCTTGGAGTATCAATCTTGTTATTTAATATACATTCGTTGGAGGTCACTCAGCCCACCCCACTACTAACTCACCGGCGTGTTGAGTATCCCGGTCGCTGAGATGATCACGGGGGCTGGGATCACGTGTATGCATGTATACCCGTCGACCAGTCTACTTGTATCTAATACATAACAACAC